TTGAACCTACTCCTCTTCCCAGTACAGACGTATGGAATCAACCTGATGGCCTACGACCACACTATTCGGACCAGACCAATGCCTTCATTGACAATGCCCCCATCCCATCGCCGGATCTGGAAGAAGAAGAGACACTTATGGATGAACTGGTGGAAACCCATCTTCCCGAGCCGCACCAACATGTTGCTGCTCCGCCTCCTGATGTTTTACCTGCACCTTCGAAGCTTTCTACTAGAACACCATCACCGCCAAGTCGCAAACAGAAAGCCAAATCCGCTCCAAAGGCTCCTGCCAAGCGTCGTCGCCGCCGTGACCAATCCCGATCCCGCTCCTCGAGCCCATTGTCACTCTGGACCTCTGAAGACAAACAGAAACTACGCACTCTGAAGGTTGACGAAAAATCTCGATTTTCATGGAAGGTGATCTCGACCAAGATGGGCAAGTCTGAAGAAGATGTTCGCTCTATGTGGAATAAGATCAAAGACCAACTTGGCTGACCATTGACATATGCGAATCACAAGGAAAAGGTACGTTGCGGTACGGTATTACTGTTTCACCAACCCGTTGGCCTTCATTTTGGGAATTTTCTTCTTGTTTATCTTCAGAACCATGGCGCTGTTGTCCCATTGAATTCTGACACGTCGTATCACACAACCCGCCAGCCATTTATTATGTCTCTCCGCGTTCACCTGGACCGCTATTGCCAACAGCGAGCTATGTCCCACGAGAGGATCTCACCTACACGACGCTCACGCTCTCCAACCAGGACGTCATCTTCCGCTATGGGCTCTACGTCATTCCGGCACCCACCCAACCGGTCTTCGCCTCCGACACCTCACCGACCGGTTATTTTCCAGTTGGACCTGAAGCCGATGCAACAACTGGCCGTACGCAACCCTTATTACAACATCTTGACCCCCAATGTCGCGGGCAACCTTCCTACGGCCACCTATGACAGCTTGTTCCAGACGTTCAAGGTCATCTACCCGGACTATGCTCGCAGTCATTTCGTTTCAGACCTCAAAACCGTAGTCACCGACACACTGCTACAACGCTGGTCCATACACCTACCAACGTCGGAGTTCTACATGATGATTGACACCGATCAAGGAGCTCAGATGCTTGACGACCTTCCTCATTCTCTTCTGGATGTTTTGAATTGGTTCTACCCGAGATGGAAAACTCATCAACATCTCGATGCCTTCACGACCCGCGAGTGTTCTCCGTTGCTGCTGACACCACATCCAGATGCACAAGACACTGGCTTTGCTGTACATGTTCAAGTGATTCCCCGTGGACATCCATTCGTCACGGCCACCCGATACACTAAAGCCGCTGGGTGATTAGCTGTCTTGATGGATTTTGACACGGCTCATGTCTATGAGGAAAAAGACCAACATTCGTTGTGATGTCCACCACCCCGGTTCTGATTTTCCCTTGTGTCATCCTTTTCTCGTTTTCCATTGGGTGATATTCGTTATTTATTCCTTCATCACTGACCTTCCCCACGGCCTTTTGGCTTCAGTTTAGTATTTCCCGCTATCATATTCTTTTGATCGTACATGATGACCTCCAACACGGATGATCCTGCTCGATTGGTCTCGCACGGTTCACCACCTACATCCATATATGGCCTTGCCTCACACTTGCCACCGGATGATCCTACCTCGGCATCCTATATTCCTCGTGCAGCGAGAATGATTCCGACCTCTACCACTGTCCACTCCGTCTTCATCAAGAAGCTGAGCTATCCTTTGTCTAACCGTTCAGATGAACTTTGGATCGTGGAAAGGACACTTGATGGTCTTGAAACGTGGAAACCAGTGGAAACATTCCTGGAGAACATGCACCTCACCAACGACCAGGCAACCTTGCGCACTACAGCTAACCATTGGCGCAGATACTATGATGTACCAATTCAACCATCATCCTCCTCCCCTACGGCAACTACTGTTCCCGTTTTACCACACCCTGAACACTCCAACGTCCATGTCTCACAGCCGTACGAAGCGATACCGGACCACCTCCATATTTTACAGTCATGCTGGGGACGCTCCGCCCAACACCATTCTCAAGGAACCACTACCTCTTTATATTGGCCACCTTGGCGGTCTACACCACCGTCTTCCCCACCGGCAACACTACAACGTACTGTATATCTCACTCGCCCCGCTGTCCCTCCTCAACAAGTACATGGTCCGTTGGATGCGAACGATATTGACCCGATGGATATGTCGGATTCAAGTGTGTAATATACCACATTATTTGTCGGCGAAAAAAGACCTGTGATTCATCGTCTCTTTGTGTGACCATTTACTAGGTACACCGTTTCTCTTTTATTTCTAACACTTTGTGCTTGTTCTTGTGGCTATTCCAACCCATTTTGCAGCTTGGGCTTTGCGCTTTATCCTCGATACTTCACATTCGACGCAATGGCTCGTTCTTCTCGACCCAATCCATATCGCGCTACATCTACGATTGAGACACCGCTTGGTACACGAACCGTTGGGTGGATTGCTGGACATCGAGGCCTCCCTGGTGATGCGAACCCTCCTCCAAACAGACCTGTCCTTATCTTGGTTGACTTCTCTCCCTTACAGGCATTGACTCACCGAAGCGAACCTGACCGTGAACACTACATGGCTCTGGTGAACTCCAATTTTAGACATGTCAGTGGCTTTGAACTTGCAGCTTTGTTTACCTGGTCACGTCAGATGGAACCAGTTGAAGCCGGCCTCATCCCAATTGCCGAACTCCGCTTTTGTATCTCCAAAAGATTGAGGTCCCAATGGGACATCCAAATTGATCCCTCGAACCTGGAGTTTCGCTTTTGCGACTTGGACGGTGATACATTCCAAGTTTCCAATGATATGACGGTCTTGCAGTTTTTGGAGGCATACCGACCTGAGTGGCGACTTCGGCAGTACAATTCCCGCGAATCCTCTTTCCTCATCCCGGGTACCAGACAGCCTTTCGTACTACGCTTGCAATGCTACAAAATTAGCTCCGGTGTGATCCTGCCCTGATGCACTAGCAGGCCGAAAAAGACCATGCTACAGGGTTTTCAATTCCTCCTTGACACCCCACTAACACAAAGGATTTTTCGATTTCTATTTTATTTGACTTGGAGCTGTGGCTTCTCCGTCGCAACTGACCCACTTGATTGAGGACTGGATTTCACTTTTATCTTTTTTGTGAATATTATCAATTTCGGGATTGGCTTTCTTCTGCAATTCTTGATGCTTCAGCCGTTGTTGCACTATTTCTCGTATTTGTGACAGTTTCACCCATGGAACACAAACGAGACGCGACCGTGGCGGGCTTGTCTTGGCCTGCGAACCCTACTCGTGGACTCGCTCCTACCGACCCAGTTCAAGTACCAGACGCCTCGACTTCTGCACTATGTCACTCAGGAGCTCCCGACACTACGACCAACCCTACTCCGGCACCTTTGGTAACTGACAGTACGGCACCTGCTACGGGTACCCTGGCCCATTCTGATACATATTCAGGACCAGCACCTCCTGGCGTTCCATTTCCGACAGAGTCAAGTTCTACACACAACTACTTCCATCGTGCTCAGTTCTCTTCTCGCGTGGTTCACCAGATCCAATTCAAGGTCATTACCCACTCCAACAACACCAGGGAGCTATTCATTGAAGAAATTCCTTTGTTAGGGCATTCCCGATGTCGTGACCCTGAACACTATTTCTATGGTCTCTCCGGCAACTGGGAGTGGTCCCTGCGCACAGCGGACTATTGGCGACATCATTTTGAGATTCCCCTTGTACATGGACACCATCCTTTTCACAATGTGCCCATTGAGACGACATCTCCTGGAGATGAACCAAGGCTGACCACCCGGATCCATGAATTAGCCAAAGATCTATCTGACACCTTGAAGGCTGCTACGGCATCGGGGGAATTCGATCAGACTTGGGCGATGGTTGAACGCATGAGCTTCCACGATGCTATGGAAGTCCTTCTACAAGCTCCGAATTCCTCTTCTGACTGAAGTGACCGCCCTTTTGTACATTAGGTTATTACAGGTTCACTTTCACTGGTGTCTTGCCGATTCCGCCAGCGAAGTTCTTCCAAAAAACCGACCTCGCTACATGCGAGGTGTGTGTGTGTACCATCTGAACAGATGTAAAACTTCTGATTGGTTTTCACTAATTTGCAGGGGGCCAGGAACCCATGACTGTCTGTCCTGGCCAACGAAGACCAGACAGCATGGGGGTGAAAACGTACCTGCGATTTTTTGAACTGTTGAACAAGCTGTTACACTGCGTTGTTTCGAATCTACACGGTTGCCACAATCTGTATTGCCTGCATCAGAACCTTCCTCAGATTTTCGCCGAAACCATATCGCCGACAGTATTATGTTTTTTGACTTATTTTCGCCGAGACCCTGTCGCCGACGAACTATGGGTTATTTTGGGAAACAATCGCCGAAACATTATTTTGGATTTCAACATGCTGGTCAAAACTCTATGGAATCTGGTTATGACTACGTTTGACAATTTCGGATGCCCTACATCGTTTGCGAGAAGTACCTCATGTGGCTCTTTTATTCATCAAATAATCTAGGCTGGTTTGCATGTTTCAGGATTCAGTTCCTGCCGGATCATATAATGATCCATTCTTGTCTAGTGTGTGTGCAAGTTGTGTGTGAGTAAGTTGTGTGTGAGCAAGTTGTGTGTGTGAGCAAGTTGTATGTGAGTAAGTTGTGTGTGAGTAAGTTGTGTGTGGACAAGTAGTGTGAAGACAAGTTGTGTGTGGACAAGTAGTGGTGTGGACAAGTTGTGTGTGACGGGAGGAGGCGACGGGAGCGGGAGGAGGAGGAGGAGGCGGACGGGATGCAGAACCAAAAACAAGAACCCCACACAAAGATGTGGGGAAATACATGATTCAAAGCCGCATTACTTTGCATGTTTTCCTAGAGTTTTGCTTTGCATTTCTTGTGCTTCGCTTTGCAAGCTCTTCCGTATCTTGCCCAGGCTGAGCCAAGTACGCCAAGCTGCAGCACAAAGGCAGACACCGGAGTCCGGTGCTGTGTCTTGACATAGAGTCAGTTAGAATCACACCGGCGGTGGCGCTGTGTGGAAATGGAAGCAGTTGTCATGACTGTTATTGTTCCGCAGGTGCCAAGTGAACAACCGAGCCCCCAAGTTGGCGAGGCCTTGTCTGTGGCGTTTCTTCAGTTTGCTGACCAAACATTCTGTCATGTCATATCATGTTCTGCTTTGCATTTCTTGTGCATCTCTGCAAGCTGTTTCGTACCAATTAGATCCAATTAGACCTTGGCGTTGAGAGCTGTCTTTGTGCTGTCTGTGACCTTTAGGGCGCCTGTGCAGCTGTCGCTGGTTTTTCATTTTATAAACCTGGGTGTGAAACAAGGGACGGGTTGTAAAGATGTGTACCGTTCCGCTGACATTTGGCTAAAGGGCCCTTGAGCTTCAGGCGTGGCGCAAAACACTGTTTGGTAGCGGAGCGAGGGTTTCTCGACTCCGGGGCTTAACAGGGCGATTAAACGCAAAGCTGCGAAAGACTCGTTGAAATAGCTACTGTACCCCTTCTTCCCTGGAAGAATGTCAGTAGCTGGACTCCGATATGGAGCCGGATCTGAGAGAGCCCAAGGTGGCTACTCCGAAACCAAGAGCGGAGCATTCATCTACCATGGAGACCCTTCTGCATACCACGATTGGGCGTACTCTGCTGAAAGTGGAACTGCTGCAGGCTCAAGAGGAAGCACTCCGCAAGGCGGCCATAAGCTCGGCAGTAGTTGGACCTGTAGAGGCCAACGAGCCAGCAGCATTTGGTGTGGAAGAAGAATTCCCCACGACCGAGGCGCCGTCAGGACCACCGTCGTCTGGAACCTTTGAATCCAAGACGTTCTCCAAGAAGGACCCAGAAGCAGACATTGCCAAGGAAAGGTACCTTGGCATCTCGTGTCATGGAAGGACTTCGATCGGATGCCTTCCTGGTGGCCCGAGACATGGGAACTGCTGCACTTTTGGCAGACGTTGGATTGCGTGCGTGAATGTCAAAGATCAAGCAATCGGTGTTCCCCCGAGCAGCAAAGGAACTTTTCCGAGTGGGACAGATCCGCAGGGGCATGCTGTCGCGCCAATCGTCCGAGAGTATGGTGTCCTATGTCGATCGGAGACGACGTTGGTGGCGAATGTTCAATGACCTGGATTCGGCAACTCTCTTGTCGGAATCCATGCGGGCAGAACTCATGATTGAGTTGTCAGGCATCTCGTTGCAGGAGAGCCTGGTAGTGAAATCCATGGCGGGATCCCCGCTTCAATTCGAGAAGGTTGCATCAACCTTGATTGAACAGTACGGAGCTGTTCATCTGAGAGGAGGCAGAACTCTGTCTACCTATGCCCCTTCTTCCAGTGGAAGATCGTCAAGCAAGGGCATGAAAGGAAAAGGGAAAGGAAAGCCCCCGTATCGACCCCCAGGGAGATCAGGATTCTATGGAAGTGAGTACCATGATGGTGGATGGACTCAGGAATACGGAAATGAAGATCAAGACAACCAAGATGATTACGATGATGGACCCTACTTGGGACTCCTTCCCACAGAGCCTGTGGATGAGATCCAGGAATACGCGGAAGAAGAAGTCGAAGAGTGGGAAGCCATTGTTTTGAATGCAGTCAGTGAGCTCGGAGACCAAGTAGACTCAGTGGACATGACCTCCGCAGGAGAGGCATTGCAGTTGGAACTTGCCGCACTGGCCACCAAAGCCAAGGGCAAGAAAGGCAAAGGCAAGGGAAAAGGAAAAGGTATTTGGTTCGCTCCAATCTTACATTGGAACAGAGAAGAGCCAATCTCTCAGAAATCAAGAGAAAAAGCAAATGCCTCCGCTGCGGCGGCTTCGACCATTGGGCCGGTGATCCCCAATGCAAATGATTTCCTGGGCCAGCACCAAGAGCTGCAATGATGGCGTGCTACTCGGACTCATCGGCTTCAGATGGAGAGCGCGTATCATTGATGGCCACAGCGCCCAAGCCAGCGGCGCTGATGGCGTACGCCACCACGGCCAAAGCAAAAGCCAAAGGGCAAGGCAGTGGAAAGGAGCCACCAAGGACTCCGGCACCTGACCCTGCTTCCAGCAGTGGATCAAGACCCGCTTACCAAGGACCAATCGCTTCATCGTCGCTTCCCAAATCCAAATCCAAGTCAGCTCCCAAGAAAACACCCCCGGATCCGCCAATCACCAAATGTAGAGAGTGTCGGGATTTCTCATTCAAGGGTTCAACGGTGTATACCATCAAGAAGACATGCAGGGAGTGTGGACACAGTACCACCGAACGTAGGCAAGAACAGTATGTATATGTGCTTTCACCTTTGAGAATTGCCCTCACGAAATCATCGATAACCGTGGGTCATCCAAAAGCACTTCACGTGTATTCTGGAAGCAATGCGGTATCTTCATTCATGAGATGCCTATGGAACAGAGAAAGCACCGTGAAGTTGTGGCAAAGGGTGTTGAGACCACGGACGACACCACTTTGAGTGTAGTCGAAAACATCACCAGAAGACTTGGAAAATTCAAGATCTTGAGTGAGGCAGACGTTCAGGTTATCGCATCCATGTTCAGGCATTCCTTGACTCGCACTGGAGTTATCACACCTGCAGAACTTCATGCACATCTGGACGACAGCATCACTCGGTACCTGATGGAGCAGGACCCCCATGGGGACGAGTGGATGGATCAAGAGGCATACCCGCCAGAGTCAGTTGATCCAGATGGGTATCCTGGATGGCACAGGTGTACATGGCTGTGAATTGAATACAGAGCCTGACACCGGACTGGTTGAACTGAATCTCCCTGTTCGTGATGTTATGGAGCTTGATGAAGGCTGCAATGGTACATGCCACAGCGAAGAATGGGGAGCTATGTGTGATCTGAAATTGAAGAGGCTTGGATGTCATTTCAAATGGGTGGATTCCAGTGAGACACCATCGTTCGCAGGGATAGGAGCACGGACCCAAACCTTGGGTCGCCGCGTCATGTCTTTCGGTTTGCTGGCTCAGGGAGGCAAGGTGGTGAAGGGAGACATCGATTCATTTGAGATCAGCGGTTCAACACCGATGTTGGTATCGTTGTATGCTCAATGCACTTTAGGAATGATCAAGAGTCTGGAAACTGGCCAAGTCAGTGTCAAATATCATGGATCCAGGTATGACATTCCCCCAAAACAAGTGCAGGCGAACAGGACTCCTTCTCAAGGACTGCTGTCATCCCTGGCAGATCCAAGCAATCCCAAGGCAGTTGCATCCGACATGAAATTCCTCAGGCAAATTTCGTCCATTGGTCGCACCCCCGGAACCCGTGGCAGCCATGGCGGATGGAGCAAGAGAAGCCCATCCTGGACTGTTGGAGGAGCTTCGTGGATCGGTTTGCAAGCCTGTGGTGATCTACGTGGACAAGGTCAACATCATCACGGCCCCAACCTGAGGTATGGAGAAGGACTTGACAAGTTGGTCATCAAACGTCTTGATTTCTTGGATCCTGCGAAGACCGAGAATAGGGGCCACATTGGAAGGCACCCCAAAATCATCAGTGGTCTGGTGGAACATTGCTCCAACCAGGTTGAGGAGAAACTCCGAAGCGCCTTGGAGTTCATATATGATGAGTGTGGGCCTGGATGCGTGGTGGTGATGCAGTGTCGCAGCAACCGTCGCCGGAGTGTGGCGATGGGAACGCTTTTGGCGCTGACGTCCCACCTGCGGGGGACACGGTATCATCTACACCATGCAGAAGCTCACCACGCTTGGCAGACTATGAACTGTGGAGCCAGTTGCGATGGATGTCGCCAAGACAGGAAGGCGGCAATCTGGGGGCTCACACCTGCATCGCCTACGACATCATGAAGAATTTGGAGATCCCGCAGAAGCGCCTGGACTACCCCTTTGAGATGATGGTTCAACACGTTGGACCAATCCCGGCAAGTGGCTCATGGCCCCAGTCCCTGGCGGACAGGTGGATCAGTTGGCCAAGATCCTCGAGGACCACCAGCACGCCATGACCCCCTCTGCAGTTGCCGAAGCAGTGACCACAGAGGACGAAGAGGTGGTGACAGCTTCCATGACCGTCGAGAAGATCGTGGTTGAGAAGATCGTGGACGAGAAGATCGTGGACGAGAAGAACGAGGACGTGAAGAAAGAGGAGCAGGCGAAGCCGCTTGGTGAGAAGGGAGGACCGTCACAGGATCCGGAGGAAGAGCCCTTGGCTAAACCTGTTCGGGCCCCCCATGTTGCGCGGAACTTTACCCGGCGGTCCTGGGAAAGCTGCTCCGGAAGCAAGAGGCGCCGTGCCTTCCGATGCATCTTGCTCGCAGGTGGGCGCCCTTCAACGCCCTCTCTGTCGACCTGCAGCGGCTTGGTTGGCATCAACGAAAATGCCAGCTAGAATACCAGTTCTCCCGGGAAGAGACCCCAAACAGTGTATACAGTGATGATTCTAGGGGAACACACTCCACACTTTACACTCTATACTTTACACTCCGCACTCCCCACACTACACTTTACACTCTACGCTCCCGACTCTACACTTTCCACTCCACACTCTACACTCCACACTCCACACTTCACGCTCCACAATTTACACTTTACACTCCACACTTGACACTTTACACTCCACACTCTACACTTCACGCCACATACTCCTCACTTTACGCTCGGTTCAAAGAAACTCCACCCCTGACACGCTTTGAAGTCCGGAAAAGATGTTGACTCAATGGGTGGGCTTAAAGCAACATTTATAGGAAGCCATACGTAATTTTCACCATTACATTTGACTGTTTCCTGCTGATTTTCCCTTTAAACCATTGATTAATCGAATCAAGTTGTTTTGCTTGTTGGAGGGATATGTCGGCAAAAACAGTTCTGGCCATTGTCTACTTATCCACAAGCAAGGCTTACCTGGCGGCAACAACCCAGGTGAGAGGCATGGGTCGCAGCAAAATGCCAAGAGAATCCGTAGCAGTTCACAGCCCCAAATGTGCCAGTCAAAACGTGGTAGCTGGTTTCTGGCCATCCATCGCATGACATGGGAATCCTTACAAGTTGCCAATACCTTTTCATTTTTTAAAATAGCGTTTTTTTTAAATAAATAACCCTCAGAATTTTATAGATGGTTCTAAGAGTTTTGTAAACAACTGTAGGAACTGAAAAAAAACAGCTGTAGGTTCTTTTTTTTTTTTGCTTCTAGGACTTTTTTAAATAACTCTAGGAATTTTATAAATAGCTCTAGGTCTTCACAGGCAAGAGGCCAGCCCAGCATCTAATATATATACATATATATACACTGGTCGGCTACTTTTCCAGCACTCGGACTTCTGATGCGATGTGAAAGAGTATATATATATATATATAAATATAATATGAAGTTGAACTCTCTGAGATGGCGATGTAGACAGAGAGAGAGATAATACACACACATGTAAATAAATAAATAAAATAAAATAATAAATAAATAAATAAATAAGTAAATAAAAAATAAATATATATACATTTGCTCTTGTTTTTCCGATCATTTCCCCTGTTTTTGAAACAGAGACAAACTGTAGAGTCCGAGAGGCCTAGAGCAATTCTTGAAAACACGGAATAACTTGAAGGAAACTCTGAACCAGTCCTAACAATAACAAAACCCTAAACCAAACCTAAATAAAACACCAAACAAATTTCAAAACAGACCCGAAATAAACTTCAATAGCCCGAACCAATAAACACCATAAGGATGTTTTCCTCTCTATGGTCACGAGGTCAGATTGATCCTACAAGTATCCGCGCTTCAATTTTGTCTCATGGTGATGGTTCAGATCAGGAACATAGAGGTGGAAAACGCCAAAAAAATAAGGAGAGGTTCGCCACAGCAATCGTTGAGCATTAGAAAATTGGTTATCCCGTGGGGTTGAGGCCGATCAAACACGGACGCATAAGACGACTGCATCAGATCATGGAAGGTCCACGATATGTCCGACTGTTTGACCTGGTATCAGGTTGAATCCGTCGTCGTGGCCAGGACTGTGCCGCACAAATCCGGATCCAATACGGTGGCTCGGCACATGCCAAGAACGCATTTGAGCTCGGCCTGTGCGACGACATCGATGGTTTCCTGGTGGGTGGGGCATCTTTGAAACCCGAGTTTCCGGACAGAATCTGCCGTGTCTCAGTAAACATGTCCCTATGAAACATGTAAACCCAATGACAAACCCAGTACACCTACCATGGCAAACTTATAGTGAATGAATGGTTCACACTTGGGAACCCAATGCAGACTGGGAAGGGTATCAGCAAACAATTCTTTTGCCGCCAATTCCGCTGGTTGCCACAAAGTAGAACGCAGGGGTCAGGTGAAAGGTGCTCGCGTCCGTTTGTTCTCGTGGGTCTCACGGTTTTTCTGGCAGGACATCGTCAATGCCATCAGTATCCAGAAAGGTGGCTGAGTGAAAATATTTGTCAGATCCCAAAGATGGAACAAACAGCAGAATGGAAAAAGGTCGATCCAGTCGCAACCGGCTGGGGGGGATGTCGATGTAGGTGTCGCTCCAAAAGGAAAACCGATTTGGAAACCGGTGACCTGGACGTGCCTTGTGTTTTTGCACATTGAAACATTTCCTGCAAGCAACTCCCGTTTTGGATGTTTGGCGCAGCCAAGGGCGCAAGAATGGGACTCTCTGTTCTTCACGCCTGAGATGTTGGCCAGAGCCCAAATGCCAGAGATACCAAAATGTTATACCGAAAGATACTAGCCGAAACTCCACCAAACGGAATAAAGGAGGGTGAGGTGACGTACTCTTATCATGATTGCTCAGCTGCAGAAGAAACAAGACATTGAATCTTCATTCATTGCGATAAAAAACATATATAGTCCAGTTTTGTTTTGGTCTGATTTTGGCCAGTCCTTTGGAGATCGTATACCAGGTGTTGTGGGTGTGGTGGAGTTTTCGGTTCAGAGATTGACTCTGAATAGACTCCTGCACCAAAGGCTATCATCAGGCTATCATCTTCAAATCACGCATTTGAGAAGCCACATTTCTGTCGGATGTAACTCAAAATAACTCAAAGCAAGGGCAAGTTTGAGATTCAACAGATCAGATCTTTCAGCATCAAATTTGGTCCAGCGCCACTCTGGAATATTGACCGTAAGAAATCCTCAAACGGGCCATGGCAATTCTGTTTGAAGGTGCCGCTGTCGGGGTCAACCCCAAAATCTGCATGACTTGTTTGCACTCTGCACTTTGAGCAATTCAGAGTTTGGAGTTTTGTTTCGTGGATTGTCCATGGATCTTTGTTTTGATTCTGGCGGCGTTTGTCGTTGTTACATGGCTGCGGCAGCCGCTGGGGGCTCAAGAATCAGCCGAGGGGTGGCTGACACATTTTCGATGCAGGGTGGCGCCAAGGAAGATTTGGTGCACCTGAAACAGGTGGGTAAGGCATGTGACACATGCCGGAAAGATCGGAAGATCCTTGGCTGCGATTTTGGATGATTTTGGAGTATGGATTCGGTTTTTTGATGTTTTGTGATGTCTTGTGAGAAGTTGCAGGGAGCCAGACCTTTTGTTGAACGCGAAAGCCACAGTGGTGGCGTTTGCTGTGATGGCAGTGAAGGAAAGAAGAGCCCGTGACACCTCCACTTGATACACTTCGAGTGGAAGGTGAAATCTTTGTCTCTCCAACTGCCGACGCGTTGCTGTTGAAGGTGGCGTGAGTTCCCGAAGTTCCCACGAGGTAAAACAGTGAAAGCAAAGCCATTTGACGTATTTGGATGTATTTGGGGCATGTTAATGTCACTTGTTGCCGCGCCATATGACACCTGGAAAACATTGGAAAACATTGGAAACCTATTTTTGTTGAAATTTGAATCTGACCCAGATTTTTTTTGCTTGTGAGGCTCACCGATGATTTAACGATGCTTTGTTGCCAGGCGCGGGAGCTCTTCGCGACCTGCGTTGCGCTTCCCATCGCTTGGCTTCATCTGGATGCGGATGTCGAAGGGAGCCGTCGGAGAAAGCACGAGCGAGTGAAGGAAGGTCCCTAGGGGTGCAGGGATGAACGGTTCATTTGGGTTAATTTAGCTATTGAAAATGGCCATTTATAGTGAGTTTTCCCATTAAAAATGGTGATTTGATGGTGCTCATGTGTGGTGGACATCCTTATTTGTGATCATCTAGATTTAAGTTTTTTGTATGGGATATGGACTTAGTACATGTCTATGTATATATATATATATTCCTGCTGGCTGGTGTTTTGTGTCCCATATATTCCTCGATCCCTTGAGGTTCTGCATGGATTCCTGTTGACGCTTCCCAGGTGCCGAGATTGTGTACAATTTGCAGCAGCGGCTTCGCACAAAGCTGTTGGACAGGTACTTCCTTCTCTGGTCGTTTTTTGCGGAGGCCACATCAAAGTCATCAAAGTCTTCGGATTCTGACCGTGTCAGTGTTGGATCCTAGTCGGACTCTAGGGAAAATTGAGGAACATTCAGGTTTTCGAAAGAGACACGTTTGAATAGAAACAGATGAAACGGCTCTCCGTTGAAAATTTGAAAATTGTGCTAAAAACATGTGCTGAAACATGAAGCAGCATGAAACCCCTGACAGAGACAGCAGATTTGACAGGAGGAGTTCTACCTGTTGGCCTTGCCTTTGCTCTTTTGGTGCGGCGATTATCGTTTCGCCCGGCACATGACCTACGTGGTGTGTTGGGGCCTCATCTGGGGGAACCTCCTGAAGGACGTCTTCCGCTTGCCGAGGCCCAAAAACGTCAAGGCCGAGGTCTGGGTGCCCAAAAGCGCTTCGCAGATCGATTCCACGGCCTGCCGCGACTTCGGCTTCCCCTCCACTCATGCCATGCGCCTTGGAATGCCTTGGAATGCCTTGGAGATCACGGATCACGGCTCATTCCTGGGCTGATCACCCATGAAAAATCATGAAATTTGTCATGAAAGAAAATGAAAGGATCGTTGATGAAGTGGGTTTTGAACTTTGGACGAAAATTCGATAGCAGTTCGTTTCAAGAAGAGATAGGCATAGATGTTGGGGTATGTTGGGGTTTCTGAATCCTTGCTTGATGGATGGTGGAGCCAGCCAAACAAGTCTTTTAAAAAAAAAATCTGACAGACAGATAGCCGCCTGGCGTGTCCATGAGACCGAATCGAAACATTGGTTCGCGGCAGCCAACAATTTCTTGGCAGTAGGCACTGGGCTCCGAAATACTTCGAAGAACACACTGAATAAAAAGGAATGTTGTAGCTTTGTTTCTATTGAATTCTTGGGGAAGGTGATAGAGAGAGAGAGAGAGCTTTGTTTCTACGGTGATTTTCAGAATTCCAGGACAAATTGACACTGCATTTCCAAGGTGACCTGCATTAATTGTATTGGGAAAGCAACCGCTAGCAGGAATAAAAATCGAACGTCTACCCTTGGAAATGCCCGTTATTTGTTGGAAAGCGCAGTGTTCTATGCAATGTTAAGATGTTGGATACGGGTGCCATTGCAATTGTACGCCTTTCTGAACTACCCGCTAAATCCCGCTAATACGTTCGAAGTATAGTCGAAACCAGCTCAAAACCAAGGAACTCCGTGAGCAACTCGCTCTTTGCAGTGCTCTTTTACTTCAATCATCCATGGGTTGATAGCGCTGGAGCGATGGCCATGGTATTTGGATTATTTGGCATGTGTTTCTGGATTTCATCCATTTCTTTAGGACGTTTGTATCTTGGGGTCCACTCCCCTATGGATGTGAAAGGAGGAGTGCTGCTGGGCACAGCAGTTGCTTTGATGGCGGGACCCCTACAGGCCTGCAACACCTTCGACAGATTCATGCTGAAAACGCCGCATGTCGGGCTGTTGCTGCTCTTTCTGGTGATTCTTGTCTTGGTGCTGAACCCTCAGCCACGACCCATGACGCCGACATTTATGCAAAATTGCACTCTTTGTGGCCTAATCCTGGGTTGTGCTGTTGGCTTCCGCATGGAGATGGATCATCTGGGTGCGCCCAGACTTCACAACTCATCTGTCAGTCAGATGCTGTTGCGGGTTGTGCTGGGCTATTCCATCCTGATGTTGGCTCGGATGGTGATGAAAGCGCTGCTGAGCCAGCTGCTGGGTGCCTTAGGCTTTGAACCCCATCCCACCAAGCCGAAGACCTCGCCTTCGCCTGGACCAGGACCTCCGGGGATCAAAGGATGGGATCTCTTCGCTGCAGCCTTCATGAAGACCTCGGTCTATGCAGTCATGGCATGGACCATCGTCTGTGGTGCGCCGGCACTTTTTGAGGCCATGAAGATCCCTTGCTCCGTGAATGGCTGAGGAAAAAAAAGAGGAGTTAATGCGTCAATGCATCTGAGGCTCCAACGAAGTTTCTTCATGGTCATAGAAATGCGACGTGTCGTTGTTTTAGCTGAGAGTCTGGCTGTTTTTATTGTGTACCCGCCATACGTCACAAAAGGATCTTCAGAATGCACAGCTGGCATTGATTCATTTGGTGCCAGGTGTCGAGGTTCAGCCTCCTACGGCGGTAGATGAACATGGGCACCATGCGCAGAAGATGGCCGCGGGAAAAAGCATGGAGTGCAGAAGGTGGCAGACCAGTGAAACCACCATAAACTTAACCAGCCACAAAAGTTGGACAGCGGGCGGACGTCATGTGGAACCTGAAACAGCTTCGGAAATTTCGGAGACAGATTTGTTTTCGCTGAGGCACCTCCCTTCGAGCCTCCCAATGCACCTCCTAATGGAGGGCAGGTTCCAGTGGAGTCGCCTCAGGTGAAGCAGATTCCAGTGGAGCTATCACTTTTCGATACTTTTCGCCTTGAATAATGGAACAATATGGAACAGTTGCAGTTTTACATGCGACCTTTGCAGATGTTTCATGAGGCGTTTTGGGAACACTTCGAACATGTTGTGCCGCTATTCTCACCGGTCCCCCACTGGGCCCCACGACCCTCCTGTCCCGGCAGGCAGACGTCGGGACTTTGCGGGCGCAGAATTCCATGGCTTACGCCTTCTCCTCAATCGCTTCGAAGTGGTGGCTGCTTGTTGGTTGCTGGATGGATTCATCACGGATTGGGTCTCAAAGCTTTTGCAGATTCACATCACATGGCAATGGTTTCGAAATGTTTCGAAGCATAGCGAAAACAATTTCCCAGTTCTGACATTCATAGAATTGGATGATGGGAAAATTTACAGGAAACCCCTATATTTGATGGTAAAAACTAAAAACCATGGTTTCCTGTAGATTTTCCCTTAAACCAATCCATTGAGACATTGTTACCCCGGAACTGGCCACCCCAGTTTGAGAGCCTGCAGATGACAAAATCGCTGCGAGCAAATGCTGGGAGCCGAGCAGGGACGAGAGACAGAGAGAGAGAGCCAAGACACACTGATCATTCGAAGAAGTATGTCGGAGCCAAATCACCAGGGACATTGACCGACTGGTATGATTGTATGTATATAAGTGTATATATATATATGTATGTATGCATAAATAAATAAATCAATATATATATATATAATTGTGTCACCTATGTTTGGATCCAAGCAGCAAAAGCAGTTGGGTTTTTGGCTGAGGTTATGCAACTGTTTTGGGAGGGTTGGTCATTGTTGTATCACTGTGGATGATCCTTACCGTTTTCAAACATCAAAATCGGTTATGGAAGCTGCTGGACTGAGCTCGACCTGAGGTATTGGCAATGCCGCCAGATGCTCCAGGAGACTGACAAATCTGTGGTGCCTTTATTTTTTTTGAAAATTAGGGGCCAAAACACGCGGCCAGCGGTTTGATTTATTCCAAGTCTGGATCCTTGTCAAATTTCGTGTTGCCCAATGTTTGCCGGGAAACAAGATCAGCTTCAATTATCAATTGATGTCGAGTGATTACTGCCTAGACGTTCTCATTCAAACCATGCCGCAGTCTCCACCCCGACTATGAACACACAGCTGCGGGGAGTGTCTGCCTGGCCCACAGTTCCGGTCAAAAAACGGGTCACAACACGCAGCACCGAAATACCAAGCAGAAGCGAGGTGGGTGACATGCGGAAGGCCATGCGCATGGAACCGTTCTGGTACTGCCGCTTCCTGAAGAAGTCCCGCAAGGTGCACTACCAAGAGCCACACAATGAGCCAATCATGTGGGTTTGTCTGAAAATGTTGGGTTAATCTTCCCAATTATAGCCAATAGGGATAATGATCAGCAAAACCATTGGGTACAATGGGGTACACAACATTTTCAGACACACCCACATACCAATCATGTGGCTCACCGAAAGGTCATGGTTTCTCCAAGTTGTCGAAATGTTTCGGAGGCAAAGACTTGAAAACCATCATTTCACTTGGTAAAAGAATGTTTAGCCAGTGGAGTTGACCAAACCCTGAATCACCTAACAGCCAGTGCTACGACATCAAGAAGTACCGCTGGACCGCGAGCGACTCCACAGGCAGACTGACAACAATCCTGCATATGCATAAACAATCATACCTGATTGCTGGTTTGGAATATATAATCATTCCATATATTGGGAATGTCATCATCCCAACTGACTCATATTTTTCAGAGGGGTAGGTGTACCACCAACCAGATACACATGCTGCATACATTTGCCTGTATCTTGTATGCCCTGGACATGAAGGCCACATAAGGCCACAATTTGTGCTCAGGTCTTGCACGAGGGGTTCGCAGTCGTTTGTTGGGATGCCCAACGTACACAACTTCTTGTTGCAACTGCCCATGGACTGCCAGCGAACCAAGAGTTACCAGGCCACTACCTACGGAATTGCCGGGATGGTTGACGCGTTCCTTCAAGGCCCCATTTAGAGAGCATCCAGTTGCAACGATTCTTCCATCCCGGGCCAGCCAAGTTTCCATTTGTTGTGAGGTTCCTGAGGAGACAGCCTTCACCACAGTGGTGCGCATCAGTGGTGCCGGTCGGAATCCTGAGAACATGGCAGGGGCCCCGGCCTCTGCGGCAGCCGCCCCAGATTGGATCAGATCTGCCTATGTCCCACATCCTGCACCGATTGCCATGAGGATGACCTGGCCGAGATTCCTGATTCGCAGCCTGCAGGGGATCCCAAGTGGCTGACTCCAAATGCACTGGAAAGCAGTCCAATGAAGGGGTTGTTGCAGTGAACACGAAGTTGATGCGCGCAGAGTTCTGACAGAGCCTTGTAGGTGACACTGAGAGTGCAGGCTTCAACTTGCACATGCTGTGGATGGATTTGAGGTGGTTTTGGTGATGCAGAGCTGTTCGCACGATGCTCCCTATGGTGAGTACTTCCGGATCCAGGCGGCTGTCAGTGTTCCAGTGTCGCAATTTGTGGAGAAGCATTGGCACAACTTGAAACCTGCTGATCTGACGCATGAGGAGACTTTGATTTTTGCGCGCAGTGTGTCGGGCACAGACCTGAAGCGCTGGGTGTCCGTCCTGTGGGTGAAGGTGCGTGATCTTCGATGTTTTTTTTCCATCTTTTTCTGTAGGATTTGGTCCGGATACCGGATGTGGTGCCATGTCAAGGAAAACCCAGGGCACTCGGTTGGGGGAATCAGTTGATTGGCGATGTCGAGCTCGGTCAGCGCCTGTCAGTCTCTGCCGTGGACAGCATCGCCTCTGAAAAACATCATTGAGTCGCAGACAGTGGCAGATTCCCAAAAGGTGTGAGCCCTGAAAACAGCGTTGCCACCAAAAATGCCGACAAGGCATTCTGTTAACAAAGATGTCGTGGGTGTCTTCTCGAAGCCGATGGCAACCATTGTGAGCCACTTTGTGTCACAAGGCCCATGATGATTTGGTGAAGTTTCTGATTCAGGTGCGGCGGCCCTTAGCCATAGTTCAAAGATGTTGAAAAAAAGCATTTCTAACCGAGGTAAACTCTCTGAGATGGCGATGGAGAGAGAGAGGCTGTATAGGACTGTGAAGGACCGTTTCTTTCACTCCCTGGCAGGCTGCTGAGGATGCGCGCGAAGCCTGAAGTGACACTGAAGTGACTCCGCGACGCGGTCTCTTGCGGAGCATCTGCCTCCGCCATCGTTTTTGTGGAATGGTGGGCACTTGCCAATATCTGCCACAGCCGTTCGTTGCACACATCTAGAAAGTAGTTCAAAGCAGAAACGACAATGCCATAGGATGCCGTAGATATCTTAGATATCGATAGAAGAATTTTCTATTTAGAAAAAGGGACCCTGGCAATGCGACAAGTGAAGCCATCCACCGTTGGACCCAACTTGTGGGGACCTGCTAATGAAGCTAATGCGGCGAAAAACTCGTGCTGACTGGTGGTTGACCTAGTCTTGTCATGTTTTGTCAGGGTTTCTTCTATGTGTGTTATGTTCAGGCTGAATGATTTAGGCTCCGAGGCTAGGGAAATTGAGGATGTTAGGATGTTTGCAGCTTGAGTTGACAGATGCTCGCAGTTTGGATTGGCCTGAATCCTTGTACTGATATGACTCCCGCCAATTTCCTCAGTGCGTTGGGCGAAGACTTGGTTGAGATGAGTGAGGGAACGAAGGGTAAAACAATCTGACCTGCCCTGACAATGGTGACACATGGTGACACATGGTGACACATGGTGACACATGGTGACAGTAGGACAAGAAAAGAGAGCTCTTCTTTTGGGCTTTGACAAGGCATGTTGTTACCCCGTTTGGACTGGCATCCCTGTCATCAATCTCTTGATGTGGCACATATGCATTACATCACACAACACTCTCCACGTTTTATATGTTCATAGACTGATCGCGTGACATGGCATGTGGCTTTGGCTTCTTCCGGCCTGCGTTGTGGCCTACCATGCGTATGATCACAGTTGTGGCTGGACAAACAAACAGGCCCCCGATAGATGAAGCAACCATAACTTGCCAGGAATATCCTGGACACCAAGTAGTAGTCCATGCACCAAAGATTTGGATATCGTAGTTGCATTCCCCCTAAAGAGCATCCCATATTCATTCCCATATAATTCCCATATTATTTCCATATTATTCCCCCATGATGGGCCGTTGATGTTCCGGCCAGGTGCTGTGGCAACGCCTCCGCCGCCGAGCTGATGCAGTGCTGGCGGGCGAGATTCCATGGACCCGAGAGAGCTGGGTGGAGCAGATTTCGGAGGAGTTGCTAAGTGTAGACTTTGATGACATTTGATGACCAAAGGGGGCACAACTTGGCATTTTTTGGAACACGTTTGGAGCATGTTTCTAATGTTTCTAATGTTTTCTAATATAGCCCGGCCTTCATTTTTAGATTCTTTGGTTGGCATGCGGCACGGGCATGACATGTGTCTTGCAGCCAAAGACTCCTCCGACGGCTCATCCCAAGTCACCTGATTTCCCAAGGTTGGTGAATTGCCCGTTTGGCGTTCACGTGTTGCAACTCCTAAATCTGAATGCAGCAGGGACCACAGCTGCGAAGCTGTTGGACTTCAGTGGTTCCAAAACCATGGGTTTCGGGTTGTACAACTTGGTGGGTTTGCTGGACATCGCTCTCACCGGTTGGCCCAGCTTTGGTTTCCTCCACAAAATCTGTCGAAGTCGACTTCATGACCACTGTGCAGGCCGTTTGGCAACAAAGCCGGCGGCGGCTGCTGTGGTGGTGGCAGCACAGGCGGCCAGGAGGAACTTGGAAAAGAACATGAGCAGCAGAACCATCGATGGTTTGGTGAATGACTTGGACCTTCTGAATGAGCTCAGGATGGCCTTGGAAGGGGTCAGGAAGATGTGGTTTTTGCGGTGGGAGGGGAATGACATGAGTGATGAATCCTTGGTGTCACGTTGGTTGGGCCTAGATTCACAACAGCCCTGCTGCCAGATGTGGGCGGAATTGGCCTCCCTGCAGGGTTCCTTGCGACGACGTTTCGAGATGCCCTGCGCGTCGGGACACCGCCGCTGGGACGGGGCTGTTTGCCCTGCCTGCCGGTTGCCGGCTCAAGCCTTCTGGTTGGATGAACGGGAAGTGGCCGAGGCGGCTGTAGCTGAACTCGCTGAACTCTCCAAAGTGAGACATTTGACACATCCAGCGCAAAGATTTCAGCCGCACATGTCAGACAATTCTCAAGATTTTCCTGGATCCTTCGCAATTGCAACGGTGCTCACTTCTGAGGATCTTTTCCGGAGCATTCGTCATGATGGGCAAGGCAGCGGACATTCTGGTGATGAAGACGTGGCGGATGCAAATGCCATTGTTTTGGCATACGTGGATGCCTTGCGAACCCTGGCATTTTCCATCCAAAAAACATCCTCTCAGAAGCCACTACTGGTGTTGCTGTCCCTCCGCACTGGGGAGTCTTTGCCAAAGGAAGCTCAAGACTCTCTGGAAGCTTTGGAAGAACAAGGTCTCACCAAATTGCTTCACCTGCCGGTTCCACCACAACATCTCTGGCCGCGCGCTTGGGGGAAGTTGCAACTTTGGAAGCCGCGTGGCTATGATTTGATCCTCTACATGGACGCCGACACCTTGGTGTTGGACAACTTGGAGGGTCTCTTCCACGCAGCCACTGCGATTCCAAACTTCGCAGTGGCTGCTGCCCTGACGCGATCCATGATGGGCTTGAACGGTGGAGTGATGCTCCTGAGACCGTCTCTGCAGATTTTCACTGCGCTTCAGCAGTCCCTGGAAGAACTTCCCAGTTGGCAAGGCATCTCACGATGGACAGGTCGACCCTGGTGGAATGCGCCGCCGGTACCGGTACAGACGCTGGATGCCTCGAATGAGACGGTCCCGACGGTCTCTGACTTTGGATCCTATGGTGATCAAGATCATCTCAACGAGTGGCTGGCCACGAGCTTTGATTTCCATGGGGAACTGATGTTGGATGGATCCGATTGTCGGAAACAACCATGGCATGTTTCTTATGATGCTGTTCGGGATGGCCCCAAAGTAGCGTCTCTGGGTGGATTCTGCACCTTGCCAGTGGGCTTCAATTTTTGTGCCACCGCTGGATGTTTACGACAGCTGGCATCGGGTGAACACGCTTTGGCCCGCGAGGCTTTGGCATCTACTGCGGTCACGGCTGGAGTTCGGGTGCTCCACTGGCCGGGTGCCCTGCGGAAGCCATGGCAACGGTGTTACCCTGCCACGCGCTCGCGCTTGGACGTGCTGTGGTGGCAAGTCTTCAACGAGGCCTGTGCAAAGGCACCAGCCAAGGCACCCTGCAGGGTGCGATGTTTCGATTGAAGGCACCAGAAAATCATAGAAAAGCTCCAGTGGCATGGCACAGCTGTTTCATGACAGTTTGTTTGTTCACGTTTGTTCATGTTAGTTCAAACTTCCGCCCAGTCACGTATGCAAAACCTTGATGGGACTTTGGTAGTATGTCTTACGTTTCGTCTTTTGGCTCAATCTGTATCAGACTTTATGTCAACACGTTTGTCTGCAGGACGTCCAGATTGAAGGGTGGATGCGCTATTGCTGGAGTAGTCCTGAGCTCCACAATCAGTGGGTCACCAGATAAACCTTTCTGGAGCTCAACTTGGTAACCTCTAAGGTTAATCATCCTAAAAGAAGGCATAGAAAACCAGCAAACTTTGTCTTGACACTTTTTTTTTTGGCTCCTTGCCTGACTAAATGCCGCCATGATGCGCTATGACGCTGCATGCCGGAGCTGATTCCACAGGCAATCCTGACCAAGAGTGTGATAGTGACAACCCGTTCAGCCAATGAGAATTCAGATGCCCGAGAGTGAAATACCTCACGCCAGAGTAACTTGCGTCTCTACTTGGATTTTATGGTGATTTTATTATGTCATACAGTTATACAGTTATACAGTTATACACTAAAAATGTAAAAAGATGCAGGGTCAGCATCAAGGCGAAGACGTCGAAATGGAGCCCATGACATAGTCGATGAAGCACGGCTTAAAACGTCAACTGTGGCGCAATGGCCTGGCTGAAGATGCTGAAGTGCTTCTGTTTAATGTTGCGAAGTGGTTTAGATTCCACACCCTTCCCATCTTGCGCAGTTTCCAGCGACCTGTATGAGCAGATGAGACATACAGATGATTATAGTATATGTATATGTATATATATATATATGTATGGATTATAAATGAAGGAAGGCCTCACGCCAAAGCCAATCCTTTGCATTGGTGGCACCATCTCGGCCCCCAGCCTATCCTAAAAGCCGATTGAAGATGCTGGGAGATGATTGAAGGCATGTGAAGATATGTGAAGATGATGTTGAAGATGATGTTGAAATATTCGTGGCCATGGCCATCAAGTTTCCAGGCCATGACTGGCACGCTGCTGGACCTCTGCCTGGAGTCACCCGGTGCGTTGGTACGCCCCAGGAGCCCTGGTGGCCAACAGGATTTCCAGCTGGGAAACTAATGTCAAGCATTATGAAATGTAAGACATATATCTAGAACATCGAAAAAATGAAGCGCACAACATTAATAAAACCAGGGAACAGTGATAAAGACATCATGCATGATTTTTAGGAAGAGAAGGTGCTGTTTCCCTAGCATAGCTGATCTCTTTTATTGGATGGGAAGCACCATGGCGAGGTTTCACACCTCCAATCGTTGCCCAAGGCGTTCACGAAGTCGCCCCTCCTCAGCGCCCATCCGGCACGGTAGGGCTTCCAAGTGGGACTGCACACATACCAGATTCAATCATATTTAATCTGTCAATATTTGTAGTCTTGGAACCCTCATATATTCACACGCACACACACACATGTATCTATATATATATAATATATATATATATTTATATACATTCTAGTTGGCTGCCAGGCACACAAAATCATAATGTTGGAGTTCGATCGTGTCATTGGGTGAACATCTTGAGTCTGCGTTTCAACTGAGGTAAAAGGCGGTCGAAGGCCTCAATCGTGCTGTTGTGAGACTTTTTAAAGTGGAGATGTGGGTTGGAGTTTTGCGTAGACATACAATGGCATCACTCACCTCTGGCACATTTTCATTCAGGGGAACACGCAGTCCAATATGGATTTTCTCAAGTCGAGCACGCACGCTCTTGGGCATGTGACATTGAAACACATTTGTGTCAAAGGAACCCTTTGTAACTTTTCAAGGCAAACAACTCGGCTGGGCACAGGGGAAGCTGACAATTCTGAAGCCCCCCTGGGCCATTCTGGTGCGACTCTGCAGGACTCTCCGCATGGCCCATCGCGGAAGGACACTGCACCATCTCTGATTCGCCATATTCGATGGGGATTATAAGATATTATAAGATATTATAAGCGGGATATGAATCATCATAGGCACAACAGTTGAATGTGGGAACATGTTGTGAAAATATGGGAGCCCGTATCCACCACCATCCACCAACCGGAATCAGCCAGCAGCTAATTCCTGGGAGGCGCTCGGACGCCGCAGCCCCACCTGTGGGGTGTGCGGCCGACCCTCAGCGAAGACCGGTCCAGAGCTGCCCTTTGAATGGCTGTGGCCTTAGCGGCAGCTAGGCTGATGGCTGAATTGAACGTTACAAAGACGTGAGGTACACAGTTGATCACAGTTGTAGTTCTGTGATGTTCTGTGTGGTGACCTCTACTGGCACAAGCTCCGAAAGAATCATTCTTCAAGTATTTTTAGCGGCGTTGGATCAATGTATTTAATCGAGTTGTTGACTCAGGGTCAACCTGTACCAAGAGTCCAGCAACCCCAAGCATGGCTGGTGCAGTCCTCAATCAGTCCTCAATTCACGAGAAAACTTTCCTTCAGTCCAGACGTGGCCTAAGCATTTGCAGGAAGAGCTGCAAGACGATACACGCAGACGTGGGCAAGAGCAAAGGCCTGGCGACAGAGACTTGACACAGCTTAGTCTTCCAAAGGAAACCGCTGCGACCTGGAAACAAACCATTGAAACCGCAGCCCCCAGATCACCCAGGTCTACCATACATTGAAACGCCAGAATTGCTGTGTCGATTTGTGCCAGGATCGCCCGTGTCAGCCGAGTCTGATGTTCCTCCCAAGGAGTTCATCCTTCCACCCACGCGGCTACCCAGGCGATGCTTGGTGAGAAATGGTGAGAACGTCTTCCCTTTCTCTCAGTCTGAGAGCTATTTGCAAACTTTTGCAATTTGTTTGATTGGGATTCTTGCAGGCCCAAACCTATGCCAAGAATTTTTCAAACCGCGGAAGAGGTGGGTCGAAGGTCCCGAAGGTTCAGGTCACAGCTGGACTTGGCCGTCAGCGGATTTGACATGTTCTACACATCCAACATCATCTCACCTCAAACCTATCTTAATCTCTAAGAAGCTCACAGAAACTCTGACATGATCTAACTATATCTAACATGATCTAACTATATCATACTATATCTAACTGCCTTACTACCGCCGCACTACTGCCGTTTCGTGGTGTCCATGTGGTCGCAGGTGGAAAGCCAAGTGGAGGCTTGGCGACGACGAGTTTTGGGCGGCGGCCGAAACCTGCGCTGCAGGCGGCACGTGGCTTTCGTGGGACGGGGACGGTCCTACGAAACGTTGCAAATTGAGCTGCTTCAAATTGCTTCAAGGCAAACATCTGTGGTGGATTTTGTGGATCATGTGCCAACCTTGGGATTTCAGCCACTTCCGTTTTTTTTTCCTGTTGATTCGTCGGAAAAAAGTGTCACCGAGGTCTTAGCGGGAGCCGAGCTATCAAGTCCTAAAGGCGGCTGTTCAATCATGACCTGACTCATGACACTTGACCTTAGATAAATTTGGGAACTGTGCCTGTTAGTTCATGTCTTTTTCATGTCTTTTTCTATGTCTTGATTTTCCATGGATTTTCCTTTTCTATTCTTAAAACTTCCCTAAAACTGCCGAAAAAACCATGATAATTTCCATGTTTTTGGATGGTTTTGGTGCCCTTTTAAGGGGACAGTTCCCAGAGTTCCCATGGCCTGTGGCATCCCCTGGCATCCCTTTCAGGTGCCGACACGGTGAAGTTGGAGCGTGGCACCGAGCACGATCCCGGCGATCGAGGTACACCCGGTACACCCGCGCCATGATTTGTCATGATTTGTGCTGTAACTGTAAAGATTCATGTAAAGATTCATGTAATTGACGTGTGAAAAATACGGTGACATGATGTTACATGATGATGTTTATTGTCATACTGGTGATATTGGTGATATTGAGGTTTCTTCTTATTCACTCCCTGGAGAGACGACCGGATGTGACCAGTGAGCAAGTCATGGCAGGTTTGAACACACCAGTGGAGGAGACCGACCTCCCCGAGGCGACAACCTAGGGCTTCTGGACAAGAACATGCTGGATGATCATGCTGGCTGCTGGACCTGCTGGACTATCTGACGGATGCATGTGAAATCCTATGATATGTAAAGTGCAAGTCCAGTCCAGCCTTTGTGCAGCCAGATTGAGAACTCAAAGAGATCAATCTGGTTGAAAGTTCAGAAGATTTCAGAAGTCTCTTTGAGTTTCGGCATTTCGGCAGAGCTCCCCACAGGTAGCGCCAGTGGAGAAGGTACGGGAACTTGTCCTTAGCCTTGCATCAGGGTGGGAGATGCCCACGGTATGACGACTTGGGTGACTTGCAATCGAATCTATCACCATTGACAATATTTGAAAATGGGCCTCAATAGCATCAATAGGGCATAGCCTGCCATAGCCTGCCATAGCCTTAAAGTTAAAAGTTGTGCTGTTTGAGTTGTTTGTGTTCCTTTCTTTGCCATGTTGGTTTATGTTGGTTTGTTTGTCCTGGGCTGATCTTAGATGACATGCTGCACTCATTTTTTGAAAACCATTTCTTGTTGTGTAGCATTGGCTTTGCATGCTGCAGCCTTCTCACTCAAGTGGCTAGTGGGCGTAGGTGCCTTACCAGGGCGGTCGAGAATCATTTCCTGCCCGGCGCGAAGAGAGACAATCCACAGAATCCACAGCGATGCTTTTCGTCCATCAAGCGCCACGGATGTGGCAAGATCCCAAAGGTGCCACAGCCACACTTCGTGGTGCCAGTGACCGCCCCAGAAGCAAAAGATCTGGCAGCGCCGGATCTGGACGTCGTCCCAGCAGTGCTGTGGGCGGAGGTGGAGACGGTCCGCATCGGAGACACGGTAGCGATCGGCCCTCGCGGCCAGGCAGCGCCTCCGGCAGTGCCCGCTTCGGCACGGCACTGCGGACCTCATCGCCACCGGGCAGTGCACGGTCACAGACACCCGTTCTGGTGGCCACCAACAGCGATGGAGGCGGCGCAGGCGGCATGCACTTCCGAGTTTCCTCAGCAGGCCGAACTTCACCGAATCGACCTAGGACACCTTCGTCGCAACGGCGTGCACAGGCACAGGTGGCGCAGGGCAAAGATGCCACGAGTTCAGTGACCCGTCTCGATGGTCAGAGTGATGGTGGAAGTACCCCTTCTGCAGCTCAGAAGGGCAATGGCCACTTGATCGCACCAGCACGGGCAACACATGCCATGTAGGTCCGATATATCAAGGCGATTCAAGTCACATACTGTATCGTCTTTGAATAGAAAATTAATGAAAATTATGCACACACAGATGCAATCAACAGGCACAGCAGTTCTCATGCGATTTCCCCAAGGCAGTTTGACAACTGTGATTTCCTCGGCTCTCGACTACAAGCGGTTTCTGGATCGGCGGAAGCAAATGATTCAGCAACAAGTTGAGTCAGCGTCACTGGGTCAACTTATGGAGGGTCGTTGTGATGGGACTAGGTCACCCAAACGCTTTCAACATTCCATCAGTCCGTGAAGTCTTGCGTGGGTAGGTCTGAATAGTGCTTTTGGAGACAGGAAGCCAATAAAGATATAACATGATATAACATGTGAAACTGCATGTGAAACAGCAGTGACATAGCATTCCACCTTTGCAGCATTCAGTCTTGCAGACATTCCATGCGCATCCCAGAGCGCTCTTTTGCCCAAAGAAAAAGGTGCCTCACTTCCCGCACGCCGCTGCCGGGATTTTGATGGTAAGCGGAGCCCTGTTCACTCAGGGCCTCTGCTAGCTGGTGCCTAAGGTTCCAGCCCCTTGCGCTCGTTGTGCGACCTGCTGGCAGCCCTGCGGCACCAGCCTCCTACTACTGGTTGGAACTTCACCATTGAAGGTGTCTACAACCTCCCATGACTTCCTCTACTGCCTCCAAGATCATTTGCGATCGATACGGAGTTCCTCAGTATGCTGGCGAAGTGGAAGCTTTTGAAGAATATGTAGAGCGTGCCTGGGACTTGTACTTTGGAAGAGAAGGTCAGGAATCCCAGGTGTCCACTCCGATCCACCTTCGCTCAGGCCTTACAGGCCATGCATACGAGGCTGTCAGAAAGCTGGAGCACTCAAAGCTCCGAACTGCGACTGCTGAAGGAAAAGCCACTGAAGCGGGAATGAAGTTGTTGATTCAGACTCTCAAAGAGAGCATAGCAGCTGAGACGCCAGTGAAGATCAACGAGCTCTTCTTCACTGCCTTCTACAGCGCTGATGTCTGGAGAAAACCGCAAGAAAGCATGCAGCAGTATATCATCAGAAGGGAACAGGACTTTGCTCGTCTCAAGGAGTCCTCCCAAGAGACCACCGTCAGTGACAACCTGAGGTGCATGATGCTGCTGACTTTCAGCGGATTGGATCAACGTGAACAGCTAGGAGTTTTGGCTTCTGTTGGAAACGAGTACGACTTCAAGAAGGTCTCCCATGCGCTGAGGATCCAGTTTCCTCAGATCAGTGGCAAGCCAGTGTTTCGACGTGACTATCTAGGATGTGCACGTGGAGGTGGTCAACATGGCGCTATGAAATCGGCCAAGTGGAAGGTCGGTCAGGGCAGGTTCAAGCAACATGCCTTCCTGGCTGATGATCAGGCCGAAGATGATGAGCCTGAATATGATGGCGATGGATATTACGAAGATGATGACGCTGAGGCCGAGGACGACGAAGCAGATGACAGCTACCTCGCCTACAGCGACGACGATGGCCTTGATGCTTTGATTCAAGAATGTGGTGGATCGCTGGATGATCCGCATGTTGCGGAAGCCTTTGCAACTGTGGCTCAGTTCAGAGCCAAGAAGAAGGGTTCTGGGAAGAAGAAGCCACAGTCCAGTGGCAGCAGCCATAGCTATCCGTTCAAAGCTCATGGCGACATCCAGTTCGACACCAAGGCCAAGGAGAACCGGAAGAACGCCATCAAGTTTCTGAAGAGCATGTCAACCTGCACCTCTTGCAACCAACGAGGTCACTGGGTTGGAGATCAAGAATGCCCCAATTTCAAGCCAAAGGGGAAGGGAAAGGGTCAGAAATCCAAGAAGTCAGGATCTCCGAAGAAAGCCTCTCATGCCATGTTTGTTTTGCACGATAGTTTGGAATCTGCAGATGAGAACGAAGTTCGTTTTGCATCCTTTGGAAAGCTGCGACCTGTGCACTCCAACTCTGAGCCCAATGCAGCCCTTGTGAATGACGCAGCCCCTGGGTATGACATCCCTCCAAAGAATGCCAAAGTTTTCAAGCCCTCCGCAGTTCCAAGGAATGACATGGTTTTTGAGAATGCCAAAGCCCCTGACGCCACTGCAGTTCATGTGAATGCCCTGGTCCCTGACTCCAACGAGTACAAGGTTGATGGATCTCAGAACCAATGCACTGCGACAGAGAAGAAAGGCCCTGCTGTGCCTGATGGACCAAGACTTGCCGATGACAGCAAAAGTTTCACCGATACAAGTTTTCATGCGGAATGTTTCATGGTCTTGAAAGAGACCCAGCACTGCGAGCATCTGAGCTACTGCGGCGGAGATGAGAAGCAAATCCACCGTGGCGCGAATGGCCACACTCGCCATTTGACCTGCAAGCAATGTGACAAGACTGTGATTTGTGGCCGTCGCCGCGAAGCTATCCAAATGTGGTCATACCTCGTGCAGGTGGCTTTGTGCACGAAGTTTGGCAGCAAGCTCAGATCGACTTTGATTTACCGGATCTGCTCCAGCGGACTCACAAAGATGCTGGAGGACAAAGACAAGCAGAAGGCTCTTGGCCATGTTGCGTCCCCTGGCAGCCCTGGATGGAGTGTGATTCCATCTGAAGCTGACTCCAGTCAGTTAGGCCAACGTGGCTATCCAGATGTGCCACGACTTCCAGCTCGGAAGACAGCAACCATTGTGAGGTCGCCTGAGACCCAATGCTGGCTCTTTGGTGTGCTGCTCGCTCCAGGCGTCGACTTGCCGCCGTTTCCGGAGCTGAAGCCTGAGGATTTGGATGTTTTGCAGCCCTTGCCAGGTGACGACACTGTGATGCCTGAAGGACCATTTCGTGGCTACAAGTTTGTGGACATAGCCACCAACTTTGAGTCCGAGCCCTACTGCAAGCAAGTGATGCACATCGCACTCAACCTTGAGCCCATGTCACCACCTGTTTTTAGGCTTGCTTCGTACTTGTATGTTCGGTTGCAAATTGCCTGGCAAGCTGGTGTCAAGCTCAGTGGAACTGGTCAGGTTCTACCTGCTGGCAAACGTCCTTTCAGCCCTGAGGACATGTTGACAAGCCGGACCATCAAGGTTCCCCTGCAGCTGGATTACTATGATCCGAGCTCTCTCAAGGTTCATGAGTGCGAAGTGATGATGGTTGATGAAGACCTCAACTATGAGGCCTATGCCGTGCAGCCTGCAGACCCACCTGGTCTTGCCATACTGGACTCTGGGTGCAACCGCACCATGCACGGCGAAGAATGGGCCAAAGCCTATGAAGAGAAGCTCGCTGAACTTGGACTTCAACCTTCAATCCGAAACAAGACCCAGCTGTTCAAGGGGATTGGAGGACATGCTGAGTCCAAGGTCGTCAAGGCCTACCCTGTTGGACTTGGTGGAGTCAATGGCGAGCTCCACTCAGCAGAAACACCAGGAAAAACACCAATGCTGATTTCACGTCCTTTCATGCAAACCCTCGGCACAATCATCAACCTTGGCGAAGGGACAGTTTCTTTTTCCAAGCTCAACATCAGAGATCTTCCCTTGAAGAGAACCAGCCGTGGCCATTTAGCCATCTCTCTTTTGGACTTTGATTTGAACACCATGTCAGTTTTTGACGAGCTGGTCAAAGGATATGATGAGTTTGATGTCAATGCGGCAGAAACTGAGGCCTTGGACTTGGCGCCTGGATTTGAGCCGGCCTCTGAGGCTATTGGATTTCCTGCTCTTGGACTTGAGCAAGCCTCCGAGACCTTGGATTTGGCTCCTGGACTTGAGCCGGTCTCGCCGTCAAGTGATGCCCTCAGCCACGACGATGGATTTGATCCGGACACCAGGCGCGAGTCACAAGATGCCTGGGATGTCGTTTTTGGCATCGATGAAGCTGAGTTAGAAAGGGTCATGAATCAGCATCATGAAGGTTTTCACTGTGAGAGCACAGATGCTTTTCTGGAAGAGGTTGAAAAGGGTTTCTTTTCAGTTCGAAAGCCCAGCAGCCGAAAAGCCAAAAAGATTGCTGCGATGGACACCGCACTTTGCGGGATGGATGCTTTGGTTTCCAATCAGCTCAGGATGCAGCAAGCCTCAAAGGCTGCCAGAAAGCCTCCAACCGGAAAAACATGGCTCAAACAAGTTTTTGCTGGACAGATGGGTTTGACCATTTTGGCAGTTTTCCATGGTATGGTTTTTGGTATCCCTCGCGACATCTCCTTGGACGGCTGGGACGCTTTGACTCCTGCTGGAAGGCGTCAGCTTCACCAAGACTTCCAACAGGAAGATCCTTTTTGCACTGTGCTGACGCAGCCGTGCGGTCCATGGGGAAATTGGTCGAGGTTCAACATCTCCAAGGGTGGCAGCGCTTCTGTCACCGTCCTTCAACTGCGAGAAGATGGTCGTCCCTTGCTGAAAGTTGTCAACAAGACCATCAAGGATAGACTCCGTGCCAACAGGCACATCTTCATGGAACAACCTCTGGGGTCACAAGTCCTTGATGAACCTGAAATGGCAGATGTTAGAAAGTTGGTTGAGGACGGCACTTTGCTGTTCATTGTGGTTGACGGCCGCATGGTTGGCTACAAAGACTCCGTCACCGGATTGCCCAACAAGAAGCCTTCCTTTTACATCACATCAATGTTGTGTGCTGAGAGCGTTTTTGCAACATGCCGATGTGATCATAGCCATGAACATCAACCACTTGAGGGCAACAATGAGTTTGGCCCCAGAACCACTCAAGCTGCAGCATGGCCTTCCGAGCTCAATCAGATGGTTTTGGATTGCATCATACAACAAGCCGCCATTGAGGAGCACCTCGCTGATGAGATCTATGCTGGTGATGCTCAGCGCCGTCCTGCGAGCGGTCTCTCTGGGAGATCTCCCAAGCGCCGCAGACAGGGTCGAATGGCAACGATCTCAAGCCCAGCTCCGCCAGTTTATGTGCGACCACAAGGAGCTGAAGCACCTCAACCAGTTGGCGAACTTGGTGATCTACCTCCAGATGATGACTCATCTTTTCGAGCTCAACAAGCTGCAGCACTGGACCCAATCCTCAACCAGACAGAAGCTGATCGCCGACATCAATGGCTTCAAGTGGATCCTGAGATTCGCAAGTTGCTCAGGACCTTGCATGTCAATTTTTGGACATCCAACCTCAACAACAATGCAGAGAATCCTGCGACGTCAGGGGGGCAAAGCCGGAAGTCGTCCGAGCCGCTGGACTTATGGCCTGTGACGCTTGTGGTGAATCGATCCGGCAGAAACGTCCCAAGCCTGTGAGAATGCCATCGGCCTATGTGTTCAACCAGCACATCCTTGCCGACACCTTCTATGCCAAGAACAGCCAAGGCAAAAGTTTAGCCTTCCTCAACATCCTTTGCGATGCAACTGGGTTTCAAGTGGTTTCTTGCCTTGGAGAACTGACTGGGACGCCATCATCTGGCATTGTGCTCCGTCACTTTTTGACTTCATGGTCATCTTGGGCTGGACTTCCCCATTCTCTCCAAGTTGACCGTGGCAAGGAGTACATGGCTCAGTTCTCAGACTACCTGAAGCAGTATGGTGTCGAGCAGCAAGTGATTCCTCTTGAATCACCTTGGCAGAATGGAAAGTGCGAACGTGCTGGTGGCCTTTGGAAAGAAGTCTGGGCCAAGACAGTTGTTGATGTTGATGTTTCAACACTTGCAGATGCAATCACTGCTGCGTCAATTGTGACGCAAACCAGAAATGCCTTTCCACGCACCAATGGGTACTCGCCCAACCAGTGGGTACTTGGCCATCCTGAGACCCGCCTTCCAGGCAGCCTTCTCAGTTCAGATGAGAGCCAACAACTTGAAGTTCTCGAAGCAGCTGAAAACCCCCACAGTGAAATGGCAAAGACTTTGGCCGTTCGTGAAGCTGCTCGAGTGGCTCAAATTCGTTTGGATTCAGATAGCCGTGTGAGGCGAGCACTGTTGAGAAAGAGTACACCAACACGTGGACCTTTTCCTATTGGATCCTACGTGTACTTTTACAGGCGCCAGCCTCAGCAACGGCAACAAGATGGCCGACCTTACAACTGGTATGGACCTGCGAGAGTCATTGGACTTGAACTTCGCAATCCACGCCGCACTGAGGACGGCGATCCAGCCACTGATGGCTCAGCCCCAAGCAGCTATTGGCTCCGCTATGGTCCCAGCGTGATTTTGGCCTCTGGTGAACAATTGAGGTTTGCAAGTGAAGATGAGCTTTTGGCAGCTCACTATGTGCCCCACTATGCCGTGGAGCAGGGAAGCGACCGTGGAGCCCGCAACTATGTTGACATCCGCAACCAGCTTCAGCAACCAATGCTTCAGCTGCAGGGGGGTGGTGTCAACGCCGATTTTTGGCGAACTTTTCCAGATGGACGAGTTGTTCGGGTCCACAACGTTCCCAGAAAAGCACTTTATGTTCCTGATGCTTGCCCAGTACCACTTGACCAACTCCAAGATGAACGAGTGACTGAGGCCATTTATGAGGCTGAGATGCGTGATCACGTCCTCACGGACACCATCACCGACAACTGGCGTCAAGACCTTGGACGCGAACTTGTGGCCAAATGGGTTGGCGAAACAATTTTCAGGACAACACCAACTACGACCTTGGCAAGTTCCTCAGCCCGGCCTGCATCAGGACAATTTGTGTCCCAACCTGCAATGCCTGCGATTCCTGAAGAACGACCAACAGTCTTTGATGACCCGCCTCCAGATGCAGAGCAAGAGATAAGGACGGGCGATGTGCCTTTGCAACAACAGCAGCAGCAGCAAAGCCATGCTGGCCATATGAGACAGGTGACCGAGCAAGAACCTGATCCTGGTCCGCAGACCCCGAGGGATCAACAACTTCCTCAACAACCTGCTCCTGTTGCTCCCTTCATTGCTCAGCTTCACCAAGCGATGCGGAATCCACAACGACTTGATGGGCATCCTGGCGGAAGCTATGGACTACCTCGAATAGCACCAGAACCAAGCTATGGTCCTCAAGGTGGAGGTGCCAGAGTTTTCACTGGGCCTTATCTTGGAGAAGCTGTCCAAGAGAATGATTGGCCTGCTGGATGCGAAGATCTATCTGACCGACTTGCTCATCGACGTCTGGCTGATGCGTCAGAGCACACTGACGATTCCATGTCTGATGACTCCACATGCTACGAGGAGAATCCCAAGCTTGAAGCGTTCCTGACTGGCAAGGCAGTTCGGTCCGAGATCGACCTCAACGACCTTTCAGTAGAAGACCGTGCCAAGTTTGACCAGTCCATGGAGAAGGAGTGGAACTCTTTCAAGAAGTTTAGCGCTGTGGAGATCCTCTCAGAAAGCCAGATCGCAGCTCTTCCTCAAGACGCTGAGATTGTGAACACGCGATGGGTTCACACTGACAAGAACCAGAAGCCGCGCTTGATGGCTGGTGCAATGCGGCGACGCACTGGGAAGTCTGAAGCTCAGATCAAGAAGGAGTACCCCTTCGAAGCCAAATCCAGAATGGTTGTGCATTGGCTGCCAGGAGAAGGACACTGGCATCAGATCTGACTCTCCCACTGCATCACTCCTGGCCTTCAATTTTGTGACTTGTTTGTCAGTTATTTTTCAGTGGATTTTGGAAGCGTATGATGCGAGCACAGCATATCTCCAATCTCAAGGAATAGCACGTCTCCTGCTTCTCCGTCCTCCTCGACCACCACCTCCTGGAGTTTCCCCACATGACTTGCTGCGTGCGAAAGGCAGCATTTACGGCACGCGAGATGCTGGCCGTAGCTGGTGGAAGAAACTTTTCAAAGCTCTCCAGCGACTTGGCTGGGTGATGTCAAAATTGGAAGCCGCACTGTTTTACCTTTTTGACTCTGAAGTTTTGGTTGGTGCGCTCGTAGCCCACGTGGATGACCTTTATTCCACTGGCACCGGAAAGAAGTATGAAGAGTCCCTGAAAGTTTTGGAGAAAGAGATTTATTTGAAGAGGAAAGTTGGTGATTTTCGTTTTTGTGGAAAGAATGTGAAACAAAACCAAGATGGATCTGTTTCTTTGGACCAGATCGACGCAATTGAGAGTTTGGAATATATGGTTTTGCAGAAGAACAGGCGCGTCATGCCGAATGCGCCGTTGAATGAGGATGAGAAGTCAGCCTTCAGAGGGCTGATTGGTTCACTTGGATGGATTGCCCGTCAGACCAGACCTGACGTGCTTGTGAACGTTTCCCTGGCATCCCAAACAATGGGAAATCCGACGATCAAGGATGTCGTGGAGCTTAACAAGGTTGTCAAGGTTCTAAAGGAGAGCTATGACTTCAAGTGGAACTTTGTCCCAAGCTCCAACCTCACTCTGGAGAATGCCGTGGTGTTTTGCATGGCTGACAGCAGTTTCGCAAACACGACCAAGCTGCGAAGCCAATGTGGCTATGTGGTTGGTCTGACCACTGCTGACTTCACCTCCGGCTATGACACGCCGGTGATGGTACTGGAGGCTTACAGCGGAAGCATCAAGCGTGTTTGTCGCAGCACTTTGGCTGCAGAAACAAACGGGTTCCTCACCGCGACCGAGGCCGCCGACTATGTGAGGATGCTCTTGCTGGAAGTGAAGCATCCAGGCGTTTCCATGGTTGACTTGGATAGGTTTTACCTGAAGGGCCTGCTGATCGCGTTGACGGACGCGAAGTCTTTGGAAGCCACCTTGAACAAGGACGCTGGCCAGCCTGCTGATAAGCGAGTGAAAATACTTGTCAGCCAGGTGAAAGAGTTTCTTGGCGGCGACAGCTATGAAGATGATGGTTCAGTACGCTGCCATTGGTGTGACACATCGCAGATGCTAGCCGACGTTTTGACGAAAACTGGATGTGAAAGAGAACCTCTTTTGGATGCGATGACCACTGGAAAATGGCGCCTGAAACCAAGCGCCGAAGCCGAAGAAACCAAACAGAAGATCCGAGATGGAAGGAGACGCAGAAAAGCTGAAAAGCAAAACGCTGCTGCAGGTGAGGACGGGTGTGAAACTGCATGTGAAACAGCAGTGACATAGCATTCCACCTTTGCAGCATTCAGTCTTGCAGACATTCCATGCGCATCCCAGAGCGCTCTTTTGCCCAAAGAAAAAGGTGCCTCACTTCCCGCACGCCGCTGCCGGGATTTTGATAACATGTCCAGGGGAGTTCATATCATTCTGTGCCGGAATATAAATATAATACACACACATATTATATATACGTATATATATAATATATATATATATGGTGTTTTCAAACTCTGCCCCTTTTTGAAATTTCGCCATGTTTCGTTCCTGCGGGTTTCCGAGGCAGCAGGCGGACAACATCGGCGCGAAGGCTGAGCCGCAGGCCACAGCGGAGCCAGAAGAGGTTTCACGCCCTGCGGTAGGTGGGTCATGCCGTGGGGGATTTCGGTCCATGGTGTGTTGGCACAAACAGTGTGTCCACACTGAGGGGTTCTTACGGTAAGTGTTAAGGCCGGTGCTTGATCATGGTGCTCCATTTGGCCTCCGGCTTTTTTCCGGTAATTTTTTACATCATGTTCACCCACGATAAATTATACTCACCCTAAATAAAGCTAACCAAACTCCCAAACTAAATAATAAATGACCCCTAAACAAAGCATTTTTTGTTTGGCCCTAAACCCATGAAATGAATACTAAATCAATATCAAATCAATACTAAATCAATTGTTGGATTCCTTATTTTTTTTTGAAGTTGCATTTTATATTTCATTTTAGATTATTGCAATTGAAAACCAATACATACAAACAAGTTTGATGGTGGCTAGAAATCTATTCAGGGTCAAAGAGGGGGGTGCCCCCCTGTTGATTTATCATAGGTCAACAACATTAGTCCACATTAGTCCACAATTTCTTACACCTGGCATCACCTGGCCACCTTCCATGCGCAGGTTGGAACGCGAGGCCAGCAGGCCCCGTGAAGGGCAACCATGCAGCGCACGTCGCCGTAGCGCAGGCGATCCCCACAAAGCGACCGAAACTTGGCGGATTGGACACCTGATGTGACAGCGAAACGTGTGAAATGACGACTGGAACGTGTTGAACCATGTTGAAGCATGTTGAACCATAGGACTCAGAGGACTCAGAGGACCACACCATTGTTGAAATGAGATCCAGTATTGTTTTCCTGCTCTTGAGCACTGTTGAATCATGTTTCAACTGAAGTCCCATGACAACATCTTGCAAAATTCTAGTTTGTCGATTGTTTGTGGCGGATATGCTGCACTGCAACTGCGCTTGTACGTGTTAAATCGTGTTGATATATACATGTACACACTCGGATCCAATACACACGGACACACATAAACACACACACAGAAAACATATATATGTATATATATATATATGATATAATATATATATATGTATATATCATGGCACATTTGTTGGGATAAAAAATGGAAAGGTTCAATATCTTACAACGATGACAAGATGTAAAACAGGTATGGTACCCCTGCCGCATCAGGAGCTCCTCAGGCACAACAGCGACCACAGCCTCCAAGGGCAGTGGTGAAGATTCACAACCAGAGGCGCAGTGGCGCGGCGTTTGTGCATCACATAAACATAATATGCCTATTTATAAAATCTGTAACATTCTGATGCTAGATGACATTTGTGTTTACATGTGCATATACACAATACGCACACACACACACATATATATATATATACACATACATAAATAGGTTAGCAAAGTGGTGGACGATATGGGATGGTATTCCGGATGGTGATATGAACATTTGCGTCCCATGTCATTGGATGACATCGAATCGTGAAGAGTGGTGTTGAGTAATCCCGAATAATCTACGATCATGTCACATTTTCCGTGGAGAATGACACTTATAAGTTGACTTGTGGTAGTGCTTGCCTGCTTGTTGCTGCGTTGTGTATGTTGTTTTGGTTTGGCACAGGACTCGGGGACTCCCCTGTCAGCGCGCAGCAACACCAATACCCACCTGTTGCGTCGAGTTTGCGTCATGCCAGAGAAGCGCGCCCAGCCCCTTGGCTGCCAGATTTATGGAGGGTCCTTTCGTTACTTTCGTCATCTTTCTTCCATTTGTCGATTTTCCGCCTTTCGTTGCATAAGTCAGATATGACAAGGCTGACAAGGCCCTCCAGGGTGTTACTGGCATCGTAAGATCATCTTTCCATTGGTACCCTCTCGTAATTCATAGTTGATTTACCATGATTTACCAATTCAAAATGGTGATTTTAAGATTTTCCATGGTTTTTGGTATGTTTACCAGGCCGGGTAAGCCAATGATAAACTCAGGACGCCCACCACCAGACCGGGATCAAGCTCGGGAGGTGCGACATGGGGTTCTCCACATGGAAGCGGAAGGTTTGGACCAGGGGCCCTGGTCACTACCATATGGAATTATGATTAGAAAATCTAGAAATTACCATAGAGATTCTGTTGTGATTTGCTAACTATTAATTAGATTATTGCAAGTATTAGCATCATTATTATTGTTATATATATGTATATATATATTTTCCCCTTTGTTAGGGTTATAATTATCTTTATCGTTATTGTTTCTATCTATCCATCCATCCATCCAGCAATCTACCTGCCTACCTACCTATCTAATCAAATCTATCGAATCTATTCTATCTAATTTGTATAATCTAACCCAAGGGCTCCATGACCTTGTATATTAGGAACTAGCCTGGTTACCTGTATTTCAAGGTTCTGGAAATCTGGATAGGAACCGTGAGACAGGAACCAGCCGTATGGCTCAAGATTGTCGCAATTCAACATGTTTTATCACGTACTGATGTCATTTGAAATCAAAATATGGGATGAAGCGGGCGATTGCACTTGCCCGGAGTAAAAAATGGAAAGAAGGTGCCATCCCCCCCTCTGCAGCCGCGGCAGTTTTGCAGGTGATTGTTTGTCACGTGCAGTCAGGTGCTTTTCCAGCGCAGCCATTGCAGCTCCTGGGAAGTGCCGGTTGGTTCACACGTGCTAGCCATGGTCCATCGATCTAAGGATCCTCAGCCCCCCAGCTCCACATAAATTAAAATGATTCCTCTTCAAAAAAACATGTATTATTTTGGGATTACAAGGGCTGTTTAGGAAATCTTGCCCCACACACTTCTGAGGTTGGATTACTTGCAAGAGGTCTTGGAGCAATGGGCGAAAGAACTTGGGGTCCAGGACTTGCGTGCTTCAAAGGACCACTCTCTAGTTGGTGAGGCTACAGCTGAACCTTCTGATGAATCTGTGGCAGCTATGTTTAACCCGATTGCTATGGTCTTGGCAAATTTTGGGACTCAGATTCCAGTGGGATCCAAAATGAAAGCCACCTGTCAGCATGTGAGTCAAACATATGGAAAAATAAAGGCAAAGAACTGGATAGATTCAGCGAAAAATCTACATTCATAGATGTGTGCGTTTTTTGTCTGACCTGAGGCTGCCTTCCTGTACCTCAACGAGACCCTAGCGTTGTGGCCTGTCACAACCTTGCTGAAGGACTTGAGTGCTTGGGCAGATCTTCAATCTAGCACATTCAGGGTGCATTGCACTTACATGGTGCGGCTGTGGAGAAAAACGCCGAACAATTCCAAGTGTTTTGGCTATTCAAGAAAGCTCACAATTTGGAATGCTTTAGGCCTATGAATTCAACTGCGTCAATACCCTTATCCAATCATTCCCATAATCAGCTTAGGAATGAAATGGTGCAACAGCTCAAAGACATCTTGACTGCTTTGCACGAACCCGAAGATACTTCAGAATCTGCAGAAGCACCGGCAACAGGGGATGGTGGGGAGGCAGACGCCGCAGAGGAGGCTGCCGCAGAGACAAGTGAGGGGCATCTGGATGGGGAAGCCAATGAGGATAGTGGGGAGAATGAGAACGAAGGTGAGATGGGCGATGAACCACTAGCCCCGGGATCCACCATTGACCAAATGGAGACCTTGCCCTTCAATGGTGAAGTTTCTGAGGAGTGGCCACCTTGCCCATGGATTCCTAAGACATCACTCCGTAGGTGGAAGAAACCCAAGGCCAGGTTTGAACAGTTTTTATTTCTACGTGTATAGAGCCATGTAGCACCCATGTAATGTAGCCCCTCTAAAGTTAACTACAACAACTAGATGTCACTGCCCTCGGCGAGGACCATGCCCCTACGATGTCGACCACTGTGGACACTGACCACTGCGAGGCTGTGCACTCAGCGGCCATGACCATTTAAAAAAACATGATATCTTCATCGGCTTTGTCCATGAAAAGTCAGAATATACCATGAAACGATATGAAATAGGAACGAAATGCCGACATGGAGGTTAGGAAACACCAGCACCAAACAAACCCAACTAGTTGCCCACTACTGCTTGCAGGTTGTGGAGGAAGCTGCGTGCGACCCTTCAAATCCAGATGCAGCTGATGTTGAGGCTACCGCTGACCTCCCCTGATTGTGTTCACATGAACATTGGTTTAATATTATAATATAATATAATAACAAATAGTATCGATATGTTCACATGTAAAAAACATATTGACTATTGAGCCTTGGTTGTCTAATTCTGCCAGGTGCCTATCGAGGGAGAGCCTACGCTTGCAGAGGCACACTCTGCTCACCTACATGTTGGGACCAAATGTTCTTTGCATTTTTCTCTCATTCTGGTTATAATGATATCCACCCAAACAGGAAACTATGGAAGACCCAGATCCTGAAGATGTTGAGGCAGGGAGTCAGCCTTTGCCCCACCCGCACTCCTTGGTACCAGCTGCATTCAACGGCAGGCGCCAGCTGAAGATCCTGATCCAGCAATGGAGGAGGTGCTATGATTATGGGTGTCTCTATAGCCATGAGGAACACATGTGAACACATTAAATATTCCATTTTGTTTCCATAGTGATATCGTGGAAGGTCGCGCTTGAAGAAACTCCTGAAGGTGAACCAGGTGGTGACCAGGAATCAAAGGAGCGCAGCTTACAGCATTCAAATCTATTGAGTTGAATTTGCTTCCCTACAGATGTGCATGCTAGCCACACAGCGCACCCACAACTGGAAGGAGTGGGTGGGCAATTCTACGCTGGAACCCCAGGACTGGAAAAAAATAGTTGAATCTTGATTTACAACATGGCATGCTATTATTTCGCTCATAGCTCATAATCTTGTGTTCCAGCAGGAGGAAGCCTTGGATGCTCTGAATGAGAAGCCCTCGATTGAGAATGGGCCGCCCAGGCTTTGCCACAGCCATGCGGACCATCACTTAGCTTGAAGGTTACTGCAATTTTCTTGATTGGTCAAGTTCATCCCCAAATTCATCACAATGAGGACAGAGAACCCTTGGTGGCTGACCCGCCATCCTTGAATGCAGTTCTCAGTGCCATCGATTTGGACGACATTCCTCCTGGGAAAGATATCCTGGCCGAACAACTTTCTATGAGACTAAGCTGAATGATTTTAGGTCAATGCAATTTTCATGTTTCCTCCATGCCCATCATGCTCCCCACTTGCCCGTAATGTGGATAGTGCCTCGTGTCGCATAGGCGAGCCAAAGCGAAGAAGGCTGCAGCTGCAGCTTCCCAAGAAGCTGAGCCTGGAAGTGGGAAGGGGCGTGGTCGTGGTGGCAAGGGAAAAGGCAGAGGGAGGGGCAAGACCTCTAAAGCATCGGAAGAGACTGGGGGTTCAGCCAGCCAGCCAAGCATGCCTTCTAAAAAGGAACCAAAGGTCAAAGCACCGAAGGTACCCAAGGCCAAAGCGAACCCCAAGAGAAAGTCAAAGAAGGATGATGACTCGAAACATGTTGTAGGCGCTTCTTGCATGAGTTGCCAAACTTTGTATCACTTCTAGTCTCATGATGTTTGGCGGGTTACCGTACCCCACTAGGTGCAGAGGAGAAAGAGAAGATCAAAGCTACCCTGCCAGATTTGGCTTCTTACAAGGCTATTCAGCTCACAAGTTTCCAATGGCCAAGCGTTTGGAAAAATGCATCTCATAAATCATAAGATCAGGAATATGGAAATGCTGTTTTTGTATTTACCTTGATTGCAACCTTCTGAAGCCCCAGTGTTCTTCATGCAGGTGGTCCCGTACTGGACAACTGGAAACATTGGCATTGAGATGAAAGCCACCCGTGAAATCAAGAAAAAAGAGGCCTGCAAATTTTAACAGTGTAGTATAGTGATGACTACTTGATCGCTTTTGATTTCTCGACCTGCCTCAACCTTCCCATCAGCTGGCCTCAGGTGGGATTCATGTCGGCCATCCCAGGATGTCCCATGAGTGATCTGGTGCAGCCTTGCAACGCGTTGGCACGGGACTGAGATTACTGGGTGTCATATGCCGAGAGAAAACACACATACACACACATACATATACATATATATATATATGTTCTGATTGCTTGTTTGTTGGTTTTTGACATCATTTTTTACCAAGTGACCTGAAATGTGTTTTTTGGGCCCTCATACACAACTTTCAGGCCACTTGATAAAATGATGCATTTGTTGGTGCTTTGGGCGCTTGTCTCTTTAGAACTGAAGGCCATCGCTCTTGAAAACGGAGACGGTTTGACTGCCTGCATGAGATCTTTCTACAGTGCCCGCAACCAACTGATGCAACAGCATGGCGTGGACCTGAAATCCCGTGGGAAACGTGCAAAGCACGATTCAGTGGAGGATGTTGATTAGGAGTCCAAGCGGGATGCAATGGTATATGCACAATAGCTGCCGAAGTGTGGTTGTGCAGCGTTCACGTTGCAATGCCCTTCTACATGTTCATTTATATTTTTTTGAAGCCACCAAATTCATGGGGATGGGACGCAAGTGTGCCTCACAATCACATGCCCAGCTAGCTCTCGGTTTTCAATCTTGATGGTGGTGCCACCTGTGACTTACAGTGTGGTGGAAAGGCGTGGCAGATCAACTCAGCAGGCTAGCTGCTTTCGCATTACTCGTCAAGAAAAGGCTTGGAAAAAATATGGTTTCTCGTTTCTCGTGTTAAATGGATGAATGTTTCCACAGTAAAACAACAACATTTGTTGGCATGAGTCTTTTGATGGCAACCTGTATTTGCTATATACCCGCTCTGTCTTGCAGGATTTTCTGGATTCAGGATTGGTTAGCCTATCCTCTCAGCCTGGACTGACTGCTTTGCCATGGTGGCACCTGCGCTAAAGTTGACCAATCTTCAAGTCGCCATGCTGTTGGCACTAGGAGCTCCATGCATCCTGTTTTTCAGCAGCAGTTTAGATACTGAATTAATACACACATCTATACATATAAGCATGTAGCTATCTATGAATATATACATACATAATTCAAAGTCTTGCATCCTGAGACAGTTGCATCAAATAACATGCGGCCATTGGCCTTGGCCGTCCTAAGGGTCCATATGCTGGACTATGTCAGTATGACGAGTGATGCATCCTATCGCAAGGCACACTGGGCATTTGACCTCATGATATTTGTAAGAACTTTGAACTCTTTCTTGGACATCAAACAACTTTTTTCTCATCACAGGACCTGCAGTGCTTCGAGATCTTTGCAGGGACTTCTGGGGTGTACAAAGCTTTTCGCCTAGTCCTCATTTAAGCTTGCAGGGCATTCCCAATGATCATTTGATGTGTGTTGCACTTCAGCCTCAGCCCTTCTGAACCACCTCTCCATCCTTCTGAGGTCGCCGCGGACTGGCAGCAGCTCGGTACGACGTGGACCTCGACAAGGACTCTATGGATTTCACAAGTGTGTTTTTTAGTATGCAAACAGTCTGAAGCTGGATATTATATAATATGATAATGTTTTCAAACATTGTTTTCACCCAGGTTGGGCTTGCTGGTGGCTCTCCAATACGTACTCAGGATGGCTCCGGGATCACTTTTGTACAGTGGCCTTCCGTGCAGTTTACATGTATGGATAGCTCGGGGTACTTCATTGAAAACACGATGCAACCCCAGAGGAAATCTTTTGAAATCTTGTGTCCGTGAAGCTAATCTCATAGCATGTCGTTTCAGTATGGTCGTTTTGGTGTGCTTAGTACGCCAAATTTGGCACCTCACTGAGCAGCCGGGCAGCTCAGTGGCACGGCATCTGCCGTATCTAGAGCTTGCGCTCCATCCTGATCGCATGATGATGGGATTTCAATCCTCTCTATGCCAATATTTGTACCATGTCTTCATTCAAGATGTTTGTGATTTTACAGTACCAAGTGCTCCTATGTGCCACTTTGGGGGGAAAGAAATCTGTTTTTGCATGTGGAAACTAAGTTGGATGGGACTATTTGGGCATCGTTCATTGAAGAGGAGCATGGCATTTGGAACATCGTGGCTGGGTTGAACAGCATGACAGGGTTTGGAATAACCATATTTGCGCTCACTGAGTTTGGGGAACATCTTCTTTGTGGGAATGAACCCAATTCATCATTGAATATGTATGCAGGTGTTGGGCCCATATGCTGTCTCTCCAAGCCCGTCTCACGAAAGCTGACCGAGAAGAACATCGTTGGTCTTCTGCTGGGAACACCAAGGTCACCCGCAATCGCCAGGGTAAAGTCAAGAATGTGTCATTTGGCTTCACCATCACTAGTCACTATATACGTTGATTCAGTTGGAAAACAACATGATTCCATTATGTTCCATGTGGTTCAATGTCCATGGGTTCTTTGGTTTCCAAGGAGCGGAGGGCCAAAGTTGAAGGAGACACAATCCTATCCCTCAAAGTTCTGTTCTCGAGTGTGTTCTCTTCACAAGACCTGGTGCCTTGAAACATGGCTGAACCTTGAATTCATTTGATGTTTTTGTATTCTGATCTACATTATGTTGATACCACAATATAAACTGAGGATACAAACTCCGTCCCTGCAATTCCCGACCGCCACCAGCTTGAACATGGGCCACACAACTTTGTCCCTTGGTGGGTTTTGTAAACATCAAGAGATGAGGATACACATGCAACTTATGCCCGGTGTGATGAATTGGTTGAAGCCGAACCTATAATACAATAATAATTTGATTTTGACTTAGGCCGACAAATCCATATGGGATGATGCCCAACTGGTGCCTTGATTGCATTTACAGTGTGGTCTGAATTTGATGGATGTATGTAGTTGTATTTATTTGCAAATGAGCTATCTTATTATACAACACCAAGAAAGACCCCACTCGAGACTAACTTGTACATTTGCACAATAGAAACAATACCCCATCCTGATGTATTTTTTTTACTAGTGACTAGTGTATTTTTGCCCCCTTCACCGCTGACGCCGGCCCAGGAAGATCTCCTGAAGTTCATCCAGCAGGAGATGTTGTTGGAGCACTTTGTGCCTCGGTCCACCGTGCCGTTGCAAACGGCGCCGATCAGTCATGAGCAGGTGGGTGTTTACTTTAGTTGCCTGAATGCTGAATCAGGCCCTAAGCGAAAACGGGGCCAATAGGCTGCCCTGTGAGATGACTCTGGGAACCTTGAACAACAACAATTGCGCAGCTTGCAAGTCCTTTTGATTTTCAAGATTCACATGTTTGTTGCCACACAGAGTCTGACAATTAGGATTCAATTAGGCGTGTTGCCTGTGGATTACCGCTGCTGCAACAAGGGGAAACAAACATTGCTTTGATTGCCCGACTGTTGTCATATATGAAATGGTCTTCTTGGTTTGAACCAACGCACAGTAGTTGAAATTTATAAACTGTCCATGCATCTTGGCCCAAAAAGCCCTGTGTTTCCTTTGCGGTGAGTGGCTAGCGAGTCTTGAAGGACTGAATTTGGGGTTCCATGGGGTCATTAACCATTACTTTCTCTAAATATTTTGGGAAAATCTGGGGTCAGGAACCGTGATGGAACCGTTAGGAACCGGCAGGAACCGTTAGGAAAGGGCCTGGAACCGTGATGGAACCGTGATTCAAAGTTTCAGGAACAAAACAAAAATGGTTCCATGTGTTTTTTTCACATTTTGTCACTGGTACTGGTTAGATTTAACCCTTTGGCCAGGATTGAAGATGCCGAAAGCAGGCAAAGCAGTTCCAGCACCACCCCCACCAGGGCCAAACATGGATTTGGTGCAAGGTATTCTAGCAAAAGCACGTGCTACTGTGGACGCATGTGCAACCAAGAGAAAGTTGGAGCTTGGAGATGGCCCTGCGCCTTTGACTAAGGCCAAAGCGTCACCTCCACCACCACCCACTCGTGCAGCACCTGCAGATCCTAAGGCACCTGCTTGTAGAGTGCGTGGGAAAACACCTCCCCCACCAAGCGCCAAGAGCCCTGTGGCAGCATGTCCCAAACCTGCACCGCCTCCCAAACCTGCACCGCCTCCCAAAGCACCCGCAGCTAGTAAGGTGGTTAGCCCAGCCAAGAGTTCAGGATCTGAACCTTCACCTTCCATGCGTGTGCAGCATCACCTCCAAGCAGCTAAAGAAGCACGGTTGGAGAAATCACACACACCAGAAGAGTTGAAGACACCACCCCCAAAGCTTAGCATGAGATCACCCGGTTCGACCCCGCCGCCACCTCCAGTGCCCAAGTCTGACGCACCCCAGGTAGGATCTGGTGAGAAGGAGAAGGAGATCCCTGACACCTCACCCGAGTCTGTCAGCTCTGAAAGCCCTGTGTGCTGTTCACAGCGTGAATACTTTGGTCGAAAGGGTCAGTCGTGGTGGGGGCCTGGTCATCATGACTACCCTGCTGAGTCTTGGTTTTGGGATCCATACAAGAACAGATATGTTGTCACTCAGGGTGACCGCTGCTGGTTTGAGTACCCGGAAGAATGGGGTCAGTCTTGGTGGGACCGCTCATGCTCTGACCAGGATCCATCTGACTTCGAAGAGTGCCTGAAGCAACTTGATGAGTCCCCCAAAGATATCAACACACCCCCGGGTGGTGATGATGACAATGTGAGGGATGCCTTGGTCACTCGCAAGCCTACCGTCTATTCCCCTGAGAGCCCCATGGAGGTTGAACCAGGGTTGAATGAAGAGGCGTCTGAAGGACCAGCTGGGGAACCCGACCATGAGACAGAAACCCCAGGTGATTCAGCTCGTTCAAAGCCTGGCAAGTCAGAAGCTTGGAGGTTGGACAAGAAGGGCAACCCCATCAGTCCAGAGGCCCTCTACATGAGGTTCTACAGGCGTTTGCGCAGTGCCCTGGCTTAATTAATGGAGTGGGGCCCATCTATATTATTACTATATGTAAATATGTATATATATATATACATATATATATATATCTTTATACATATACGATCATATACGTATATAATTTGCAGAATACATTTATATAAATAAATACATCCACCCATATATATATACAGTTATATTTAATAGATTTATAGATATCAGAAAATATATTATTATATTATCATATACCCACATGGATCAGGGAGACACCTCCCATCACCTATTCTCAAAGCATACAGTTTTTCAGTGGATTCAGGGGTAAATCAATTTCCAAGCCAAAAAAAGGTGAAGCTTGGAATATTCAACAACAACAAAAACGTGGCAGATATGCAAATTGAATTGCTTAAACGTTTTTTACCGGAACACAATAAACACCACCAATTTCCACTTGATGTTTCCCAAGTTTCAGTCACCAACTTTTGAGGCCCAAAGGAAAACATCCCAGAGGAGGTGATGCAGAAGAAGGTGGATGCCGAAACAAGCAACCTAGATGCATATGGTCTTGTTTTACAGAAAAAGATAGCGTAGCACATTGTAAAAAAATGCAGTACTTGCGAATAGAGCAACTGCATGGTTCAACATATTGACATTGTGGCTCACAACATTCCGATGGCCTTCCAACTCAGCTAGCCATGTACCAAACCCCAAAGAAAATCAAAGCCCATTGCTTGCCTTTGCAATCCTCAGGTGCCAATGGCAAAGCGAAGATGCACGAGCTGTACACCCTGTGGTTGTCCTGCAAGGGCATTTGGGCTGAGTGCTCCCTGGTCATTAAGGCCACCAAATCTAAGTCCCAGGATGCCGTTGAGACCTATGACTTCTTGGTCAAGAAAGATCTTATCAAGGAGCTAGGTGATGAGACGTTAGCCAAGGATTTGATGGATCGTCATGTTCAAGCGGAAGCAAAGCTTAACCCGAAGCAGAAAGGACAGTTCATCAAAGTGTACTTTGACCAAATCTCATATTTTTAACATAATTATTTGAACAAAGTGGATTGAAGAAGTTGTTTGGTTATTTATCTGGTAATATATGCAAATTCCAATCGTTTACATCTAAGGAACCCACAATTCCCAGACAATGAAGATCTTTGGAGATACAAGTGCTTCGTGAGCTTTAGCCAGTCCAACCGTCAGTCAACCGGTACAGAAGTTGTGGCTTCACAGCAAGCGGTGGTCGAAGAAGATGGCTTCGACAAAATGTTGTGTCTAGACTCAACTCTACTTGGGTGGACACGTGACAAATGGGTGAAATTGTGATTTGTTCATCTCATGTGGCAATCTGTAAAAATGCTTGCATGGACAATGCCGCCTAATGTCTTATCAAAGTGTCAGCATCGCTGAACCAAGGGATGATGCCATTGATGGTACTATGACTATGCCGGCGCCTGGCAACCCAGGGGTGCCAAAGCCGAAGAAGGAAAAGAAGGAGAAAACATCGAAACAGAAGTTGGAGCAGGAGTGAACACACCATCAAGCTTCCAACTACATGTCTACTGTCTACTTGTTTTGGGGGTGACTGATTATAGCGTACAATTTTTAAGCCACCTCCTCATTGGCAGGCAAACAATGCTGCCAACCGGCACTTGACGGAGTCCATTGAGCTGTCCACCAAGTTAAACTCTGCTGGGCCAGAGCTTGTGACCCTTGGCATGTTCACATGCAATGGATTGAAAACCACTTTTGAAATTGACATACAAATGTGGTGTCTTAAAATCTTATTGTCATAGAATACCCGTCCACCAACAAAATAAAGGTCCCCTCTATCGTTGTTCCAGCTCTCTCAGGAGTGATGCCTACAAAGCCGCTTTGCAGAAAGATCTCCAACACTCCTCGTCTGAGCTGCAGTCTGCCAAAGGCAATGCAGTCAAGAGCCTGGCGCAGGAGGACGATGCTGACCATCTTGCCCATTTCACGGTTACTAGTTTGAAACATTAATCAGACGATATCCCATAAGTGTTTCGAATGTTCATCAAAATTCAGGTGTCAGTTGAGGTTTCTTCCAGGGGTCATTCCCAAAAGCGTGCCCGAGGCATTGGGTAAAGCCATTGATGCTTTCAAGAAGCTTGCCGTCGCAGTGAAAGCCCATATCAAGCCAAAGGCTGCCGCAAAAAAGGCAGTTCGTAGGCCGAAGGCTTAGACTATTTGTGGAAGCTACATGTGTTTAATCACCGCTTTTGGGGTTTATCATTTGTGGTTGACGCTGCAATGTTAATATCATGATCGTCCAAAAGCAATTAATGATGGTTGGTTTCAGTGGCTGTTCAACCTTGCTTTCCATTTTCTTCTGGGGTGCAGCGTCTGTTGACCACAAGTGCTGTTTAGCGATGTGATGCCGACAAATTTGCGAAATGGTCATGAATCTTGATCACCCCTTGATTAGGCCACCAAAGAACTTTGCAGTGGACATCGGCTTGGACATGAATTTCACCAAATAAAATAGGGGGGCCACTGAATCCCCGCAACTTGTTTCTCATAGTTGATCGTACTTGGTGGCCATTGCAAAGGTTCGCAGGCAGTTCAAGGGTGATTTGATGTGATTTGAACTTGCAAACCGCACGTGACCAAACAGCCCGTCAATGCTGGACTTTCAGGCGGTATGACCATGAAACTTTCATGTTCCATTATAACTAAATGGTCAGGATGTTCTTCTAAATAGTTTTACCCCTATGATCACCTATCTTCGCCATAGCATAGACATCACCAGCCCAGTGCCATTGCCCCAGCGCAGGTGATGCCTCTGGATCTGCTTCTTCATCTGCAGGATTTGCGGCCCACCTGTGTCATGGACAAATTGGGCATCTCTGTGAATATTTTAAGGGCGTAATAATTAATATATTGCAACCGCCCGGGTGTGTATTCTTTAGCGGATAGGTATTCATGATTACATTGATTTTAAGAACAAACCAGGCTTGACCGATTAGGTGAAGGCCGTGAGTCTGCAGAAGGAGCAATTGGGGCCGCAAAGGCCGTTGTTGATGAAGTTGGTGCCAACAATGTTCATCCCGTAACCAAGCAAGTTGCAAAGATGCAGGTGCACAACGCGAACAGGGACCTTTTCAGGTTCATACGACTTCCTCTTGATCTTAGTTGGGTATCATGCCCGGTCTATTCTCGACCTGGTTCATCTGAAGTGATTGAAGCTAAGCTTCCTATGTATGACCCCCATGAACTGTTGGAATACCTTTGGAAAACAGGGCGCCTCAAGGTAAAAACCTCAACCCTGCAGATTCACAGCTGTGTTCATTACAATTTTTATTGTTTTTGCGGTTTCATTTCATACCCCATCAAAAAAAAACATGTGGGTTTCAAACTTTGAATTCCCAATTAGGAAATACTGGGAGCATTGGAGCAGCGTGGCGAGCTGGGCTGCAAGCCACCCTGGAAAGGATTCCATCGCTATGCCTGTTTTCATCTATGGGGACGAAGCTAGGTACTCAGAAACTCATGGAGACAAATTCATAGCACTCTGCCTTGGTTCACCACTTGTCTTCAAACAACGTGACTGGGTAATAAATAAGAGGTCAGTTTTTTCTTTAGGAATTTGTTCATGAAGTGGTTACGTATACCATTATTCTAATTTTTAAGTGCAGCGCAAAACCTCTTTGCCAAGGATCTTATGCCGAGAACTTTCTTTTCAGCATTGTGATATCTGCAATTGCTGTTGGGAGCTTTGGATCTGAACCTTGGGCTATATGAATCAAACAGTATCCACCCCTGTTGATGCTTCAGTTTGTCCAGCCTTCTTGCCTGTGAACGCTATTTGTTGATCACAGCCACGTTCACCCAGACGATTCCTTGACACGGCGCCGACATGTGTAATATGACAACGTTCCAGAAGGGGACAATGATTAGCATTCCAAAATCAGACCAAATAACCAAAAAGCTGCATCTATTTCTTTCGTGTGGGCCCTTGAAACCCTGAATCTTAATTTTGCCTTCCTCCCTAAGGTAACTTTGTACCCTATTCTGAAGAGGGTGCGCTGGTCATTCAACATAGCATTGATTGGCCGTCGGCCTCCTAGAAGCTTGAGACCTGATGATTTTGAATTGAATTCCCGTCAGAAAAACTTGGAGGGTTCACCGCTATCCTACACATGGGCTTTGACTGAAGTGAAAGGGGATTGGCAATGGCACACTGCCTTGTTCAAAATGTGGTCTCATTACTGGAAATGTGGTACAATATGCTTTCGTTGTGAGGCAGCCCGTATCCCAAAGTAACTGAACACGCAATAGCATTATATTTTTGCGGGGTGCCCCAAACAACTATTCCAAAGTCTTAGAAATCAAAATGGGTTTATTGAGGTTCTGCCTCCCACTTTGCAGGTATGGTCCATTGTTCACTGACTTTGGTCGCCAGTGGACATCCCGCGCAACCATTGAGTGGATGCAGGATTGCTTGGGGGTCCCGCTGAACCCCTTGGTGTTTATCAAGGGGTTTGATATGGACATGCTGCATCTTAGGTGTCATTTAGCAACATTTTTTGGGATTAATTTGTGGTGTGGAATTTCCCATACTGACATCGGTTATACTGAACTTTGTGTGGCCATCCCATCTACCAACAAAAGGAAGTTTTGCGTAATGCACTCCAACAACCTTGGCCTGTATGCTGTGATTAACGCGGAGGGTTTGATTATGTTGGCGGAGTTTCGCGTCGCCCAATGGACTTGCACCCTGGAAGAGGCGATGGGACATTTGTACAATGATTTCCGCTCATGGACACAGGCCAACAAGGTGAGCTGTTCACACAGACGCTGGAAATGGGCCCATCTCCATACTGAAAATTCTGATGGTGTGAAAACATATCCCTCTTTGACAGCAAAAGCTTACAATGCCAGGGTCATTTTGGCATGGCTAGCAGTGGCTTGACCATGATGTTGGGTCCCAAACTTGATGTCCAATCCCTAAATACCAAAAGCTTTTGGACATGATTTTACAGTTTTTTTTTCCCCGTCCACATTGAAACCAAGGCGGAGCTGAGTCAGGCACTTGGAGCCATGCTGCAGCAATGGCCAGGCGAGGCAAACGCAGCATTTGCGGAGCGCAAGCAGCTATGGAGTGTTGGGGTTGCTACTGTGTTGCTCGAACAAATTCTTTTTTTTTGAAGTGGGGATACCTTCAAACGTCGTCTGCTAGATCTCCAAATAAAGAATGTGGTGAGGGCCTAGCTGTACTGAGGTGTGGTTTTGCCGAGTGGCAGCGATTGACAGAGGTGTTTCCCTATTACCTTACGCTCGAACGGGCTCAGCGCCTACACGCTTTGGGGATTCAAAATCTACATTTTCTACATGTTTCTGCGATAGTGGCAGTCTTGCAGAACAAACTGCGTTGGCTAGTGCTGCCAAAGAGTCATCTGTATGACCATGTATGTGCTGATGTCTTGGCTACTCTTCAAAATCCACGAGCATACCATTGCTTCAGTGGTGAAAGTTACATGGGTTTTTTGAAATGTTTATGTCAGGCTACTTCCATGGCCCCAAATATGGAGGAACGAGTGTTGAAGCGTTCTTTGCTGAAAGTTGTCACAGCTTGCCATGCTGAAATAATGGGCAGGCGGAGCTAGCGAGCATACAAATGCCATTGAGCGTGGGAAAAATCAGTTGGGTTCAGTGTGGAAGGGTTACAAACTTGAAGGAAACTAACATCCCATTATATAATTTTATTATGATTTTGATCTATGGTTCCAGTGGTTCCTCGCTGGAACCGTGGTTCCAGTGGTTCCTGGAACTGAGGCCTGGGTACCTGGGAGAGAGGGTTCTGGGAGTGCTTGGGTAACCTAATCTACTCTACTCTAATCCAATCTAATCCAATCGGGCCTAAATCTGAATGTAATCCTATCCTATCCTATCTACCTATCTTTAAGCCTGTGAGTCTTGGCCTGTGCGCTTTGTTTCTATGGGAGGTCGAAGTTCTTAGGTTCAGCGAGTTTGCAAAAGCATGGCCTTCTGACCAGCTTTGCCGTTTTCATTGAACCAATTGTTTAGCCGTTTCATCGTTTTGGCTGTCCAAAGTTCTCCTGACACTGACCTGAATGCTTCTCTTGGTATACAAATTATATAAACTTATGATCGTGCAAGTAAGCAAGTGGGATTTGAACCCCCAAAGTGTGTAAAGGATTGCTAGTCACTCACAGCTCTGTGCAGGCGATAGATCAGATAGCATTGGACGAGTGAGTCGAGTTTCACTTCCTGCCGGCGGTGCTCATCAAGCTTGTCGAAGTTTGGGACAGCTCCTTGTCCGGCCAGGGGTGAATCATGGTGAATCTGCAAAAGCTTGTTGCAATCCCCTCAGTTACTTGGAAGTTTTAATCTTGAAAGACCGCAACCATAACTGCGTAGATAACTCTATCATTACAACATATATCTGCATAACACACACACACATGTCTCCATCACTTGCCAGGTGAATGCCAACAGCAGGACAAAATGAGATGGCTGTGTGATATATATATATAGTATAACTGGCAAGTCAACTGATACAGTATCAATTGATAATTCTCATTACTAACTACAATTAACGACATATAAGTTAAGGTATATATATATACAAAAAAACAACACATACACAAAATTAATACATATACATACACACAATTAACACATATACATACATACATACATACATACATACATACATACATACATATATATATATATGTATCTAGGTGAATTTCATGAACTCCCCAAGGGATTCGTCCTGATCCGAGGGCTGAGCAGCGCGGTGAGATCCTGGGTGGCGCCTCCAAGGATGCCACCGAGGCGAAAGCAACATGATATCCCAAAATAACATCCAAATATATGAGCGTTCCCTGATTTTCACTCATTCATATATATATATATTAATATATTAATATAATATATTATATTATTATATTATTATATTATTATATTATTATATTATGATATTATGACATTATTATTATTATATGTAGATAGATAGATAGATAGATATATATATATGAGAGAGATGATTAAGTATCCATTTTTTTCCCGAGTGCTCTGATTTTTGTCTAGGATTGGAATACGATTGGAAGACCATCGGAAGACTTTTAACATGTGTAGTTGCCCAAGAATTCGCATCGCCAGACTGTGGAAGTCTCCGGTCGCAAGCAGCGCGATTCGTTTGACGCGCTTCTCAAGGCGCCCGTCATCGATGGAACCTGCTGATGCATCATATGGTAACCTCCGACAGAAAGATGCACCATTTTGACACTTATTAGCTTATGGAATGGTGCAACATCCAGTGATTCATACCCATTCTATGCCTTTGAGCATCATCAAATCTTGTAGAAGAAGCTCAGGAGAGGCTGTCTCTACATGTTTCACTCATATCCAGACAAGCTTCGCTGCAGATGCATGGCAGATTCCCCGGTGTGAATTGCTGGCAGGATGATATGAGTGATGGCCGGCCAAGCACAAGCACAACACTCTCAGGCAGTTCGTTGGATGACTACATCGTCCAATTCTCAGGAGAGGCATAGCTCGCATAGCTGTGCTGTTGACACCTGTTGTGTTCCCTGAGGTGGGGAAGCAGATTGGCCAAGGAGCCTATGCCACGGTGGCCTTTGGATTGCACAAGGAGTCCAGCAAGAAGGTCGCCATCAAGATTTACGATGCTTGGACCACGTGATTTCTGGTGAGGCCATACTGTTGCCAACAATTCAAAGCGAAAGGAGGATGACTATGACTCTGACTATGTATGACTTGCAGATTTCAGTTGGTTTTATGACTAACTTCTGGTGCCAGTTTCAGTTGATGTTCACCCGCTGTTACCGGTGCTTGTGTTTTTGCCTCGTGGCTCAGGAGAAGTACAAATTATTGGACCCGCAGCGCCGGAAGAGTGTGCGCTGTGAGATTCGGCCGCTTGGGCAGAAGCGCTTCAGCTGGACGATGGGATGTGCGTTCAACGAACTTGTTGTATCTTGTGATGAATTCACCTTATGATTTATGATGATCGTAAAATTTTAACGAAGATGAAAAGCTGACACGAGCTGTCAGGAATCTCTTCGTGAATGGATTACTAATTGATTTAATGCTAAACTTGATGAATGTTACGAAGGTGGTATATGTATAGTACATTTGCCATGTAATGTATAGTACATTGGTTACAATGTCATGTAACGTCATGTGCATGTTCCATTTTGCTGGCTGTTGAGGCTGATGGAACGCCTGCGGCATCCAAATATCGTGGAGTTTCATGAGGCGCTGGATACGCCACTTGGCGCTAGATTCGCCGCTAGGTGCCCAGATGAAGCACCATGGCTGTTGGGTGGATGTTGATGATCCCAGATGATCCTAGATGTTGGGTGGTTGTTGAAGCTTCTGACTGAGTCCAACATGGTAAATAGATGTAAACGGTACATGAGGCCAAAACAAATCTATTTGATCATGGACTTTGTGAGTGGCGGTTCCCTACATCACTTCTTGAAGAAGCGCCCGAACCGACGAACTGACGACCCGCTGGCGAAGCGTTTGTTCTTTCAGGCCAGGAATGAAGGGACGTGGACAAAACTGTAGGTCAGTGGATCACCTTCAGTAAAGATTGATCGCACTTAAAAGCTTAACCCGAAGAATGACAGATTATCTTCCAAGCCTCGTTGTTCAGTGGGACAGCTGCAGCTCTGTTATGCGTATGATGTGCATGGCTGAAATGATAGAGTGATGACAGGTTCCGGCAAGGCATTCTGGTCCTTACCGTCGTTACCCTTCCAGGTGTGTCAGGGCATCAAATACCTCCATGACCGCCACATTGTGCACCGCGACGTGAAGTTAGAGAATCTACTTCTTGACGAGCATGGGACAGTTCCATGCTTGCAAGGATGGTGGTCACCGAAAATAACAGTGGTGTTTGCAAAAATATGTCAAAGTGTGTGCCCCAATCAGTTTCGTCATCAAATCCAACTTGGAAGGTTCAAGACTTTTGATGCCAGTTGGAGGATGCCCAACATGGGTTGAAGGTTGCCATAGGTTCCCATAGGTTGCAGAGGTCAAGTTGCCTTGTTTTGCCATGCCCAAGGTGAAGATTATCGATTTTGGCTTCTCCACCATCGTGCCTCCTGGAAAGAAGCTGAAGGTCTTTTGTGGAACTCCTTCCTACATGGCCCCAGAGATTGTGGCCAGGAAAGAGTACACCGGCTTCTGTGCAGACATTTGGGCCATGGGCGTTTTGCTCTACGCCCTCCTCTGTGGGAGCTTCCCTTTCAGGGGCCAAAACGATCGTGACCTCTACCGCAAAATTGTCCGTGGAGTCTTCCACATTCCGGACTTTGTGGGCGAAGGTTCGGAGCTAGTTGTTGGAAGAGTTGTGTCATGACTGGCTTGGATTTGGTGGCTAATACATGCCGTTGGAATTCAATGTCTTTTATTTTTGATACTGACGGAAGTTCTTGCAGTTCTTGATTTGCCTTTGGTCGGGTCGCTGTATCAGGTGCCAAGTCGATGGTACAAAAGGCGTTGACCACAGATATGCTCCGTCGGCCCACCGTTGATGATCTCCTAGCAGATGCCTGGCTCTCTGCCCATCGTGAAGAGGTTCATACTGGTACCTTGGTTAATCATTTGGGTCCAAATCAAGACATTTGTGGAACTCCAATGATTAGTTAGCATTGCTAGTTAGCATTGCTAGTTAGCATGGTCATAGATGTCACATGGTGATCTGAGGCAAAGCAGTGGCCTACCAACCGAACTGTTCGACCTCCAGCACCTTGACCACCACAGCCCCATCCAGTGGCAGTGCCCGCGAGACCAGCGGTGACAGCCCCCGGTCCCGGACCTATGCCACGCCGCCCCCGGCACCGGCCCTGGAGCGGGGCGACCGGGGCGACCGGGACCACAAGGAGGAGATCAATGGAATCAAGGACCATTCGGTGGCCAGGACAGCCACACAGGCGGCGGTTCCACTTCTTGGAACTTGGTTCTTTTTGAATCTGGAGCGTTTCCAAGTATTTTGTTGTTTTTGCGGAGTCTTTGTGAAGGTAGTAGGCTAGCCACTGGTTTTGATATTCGACATATACTCGCCTGTATTCGACATTTTGCATCACCATGATGTAACCGGATGTAAGACAATGTAACATGCCATGGGTTTTCCCACTCCACGCAATGCCACGCAATGGCACCGTCACAGGCGTCAGAGGCGACCATCACGGATGAGCGCTACAATCGCCGAGTGGAGGAGGAAGCCATCAGCAAACTCGAACGCCTGGGATATCCACGCGCCTTGGCCACGCCGGGGCAAATGTGAGGCAACATAGAAATACATAGAAATACATAGAATATAAAGCAACTGTGGAACATTGTGGAACTGTGACCATGTAAAAACATGTACAAAACATGTAAAAACACGTCAGATGTTTGTTGAATGGGCTGTTTCGGTCTTTCACGTTCCTTTTGCAATCCGTTTTGCTTCCGATGCACCGACCAACGGACCCAAGGAGAGGAAATTGTGCGACAACTGAAAGATCCCTCGTCCCACCTGTGCACCTTGGTTATCTCAGCGGTTTAGGCGGAACGGAACGGGGCAATGTCCCACTATGTCCCACTAGTGTTGACAAGTTGATGAATTCAAATGTAAATGTTCCAAAGGTTTTAGTTTTGCCCGTGGTCAAAGCTAAGCATATTGGGAACTATTAGGAACTTATACGCAATTCACCCATGTCATATTTTGTGTGCGGATTCGCCTGGCTTCAAGGGCAGACACTGAGGCAAGCTTTATCACCGCTTCTTAAAGGCCTTGACAGCTTGGGATAGCAAAAAGTGACGCCCTGAGCCCGAGATGAGGCCGTGACGTGAGGCCATGACGGGTTTGGAGGTGCCATGCTTAACCCAAAATGACTACCACTTCACCGCTGGATGATTAACATGGAGAACCACACACCATGAATTCACAGTAATTAAGGTGGCATACGTGGCATACGTGGCTGATTGTTGCTGTCAATTTTTTCATTGCCATTTGAACCCGTCGCGCAGTGCGCAGCTAGGCAGTGCAGACGCGAACGCGTGCAACTCATGTGCTAGCCTCTGCCGTAAAAAGATGAATGATGTTGAATGGACATGTCTTGATCCAGGATGAACCAAAAATATCCAAAAACATCTTTGGAGCTGTGCCACACGGCTTCTAAGTCATAAGAAGATTAAGAAGGCAGAGAAACTGGTGCAAGCTGCATCGCACTGAACCCCAATCACCTTGCATCGTGCTATGGCACACAGCTGCTCTTCCTTGGGAAAGTTTGACGCATTTGACGCCACAGTCGCCTAAGCTGTGCTAAGCTGTGCTATGCTGTGCCGCAGAAGCTTTCTGGTAGCTCGGTACCCTGAGGAAGTGTTTTCACAGGCCCTTGCTTGGCGGTAAGGTGCCTGAAAGAGCCGCAAATCCGCAAATCATCGCTTGGACATGTTTGGACTTTGGAATGGGGGGACTTTCACAGACTTCCATGGACTTTCATTTCCATTGAAGATATTGAAGCATGGCAACACACCATACGTCCCCATGGCAGCTGGTCAGTTGGCTGGCTCTTGCCATGCCGCTATTGGCGGCAGCGGCTGTAAGGTTTTTTTTCATCGCCACAGTTTCACCCCAACGCTGTGAGCTGCAAGAAGCGTCTGTGAAAGACATGCGGGTCAAAAACCGCCATTTTTTGTGGGTCGATGTTTCTTGAGTATTAGGCTGCTAGACTGCCTGCTAGACTAGTCAAGTCATGCCAAGTCTATTTTGTTGCTCGGTTTCGGTTTTCCGTCGAGTTGCTGCGCAGTTCGAAAGCCAAGAGCTGAAGTCAGCTCTTCCCCATGTCGTCTGATGGCAGCGCTCGGTGGATTGCTTGCGGCCTTGCAGCAACTTCGTCGTGCTCCAGGGCCGTTGAGCACAGCCCTTGCACCGCTGCTGCTGGCTGATTTGGAATGGAACCTGTACTGAAACATGGATCCAGAGGATTCCAGATTTAAGGGTTTGGATATTTTCCGGTAATGAACCATTTCATATTCCTTTTTTCTTAAAACTCATATTATATACAGTTATACACGCCTGAACCAGTTGAGTCGGCTCCGGCTCCATTCTGGCAAAGATCACTCTCTCATCTCAACCTCATCAAATGAAAGAGAATGGAACAGCATATAGAACTACCCAACACGCCAATACAACTCCCTGGGATAAATTGACATGCCATTGTTTCATGTTTTTGCAAAGATCTCCATCTGGATTGGCCTTAACTTTCTGAGGCTTGGGGACTCTGCCACTTCCGTGCGGCAGCTGGCTCAAGAGCTGCTTCGTCGAGAGGTGGAAGAGGCATCATCAAATACCGTTATCGTCAGCCTATACCTGGATGGTGTATAGGTATATTACCGTAATGTATAGCTATAGATATTTGATAGATTATATGTATACTGTAAAAATATTTATATACATACAATATACATATATATATATATGTAAGTATGTAAGTATGTATGTAATGTATGTAATGTAATGTAATGTAATGTAATGTAATGTAATGTAATGTAATGTAATGTAATGTAATGTAATGTAATGTAATGTAATGTAATGTATGTATGTATGTGTGTATACATGTATCTACATATATCTACAGATTTATATGATATGTATTTGATGGATGGTATCTGTTATGTATATATATATATAACATTTTTATGTTATGTAATTACCTACAGTATAGTGCTCCTATTGTATCATAATACCTACAGTATAGTGTAATTACCAAATACGTATATCTTTGTTTGCAGACCATATATACGTGTATATTTGTTATCAGGCACATAATACTCTTATAGATCGAAGAAGGGATGGATCAGTAGATAGGTCCGTAGGTAGGGAGGCAGGTAGGTAGATAGGTAGGTAGGTGGGTAGGCATGGGTGAAAATTGGGTGCCCCAATAATTATATAGATGATCAATATTAATCATAAACCAAAATCTGTGGTCCCATATGGCTTAAATTTTTACCCATAGGTAGGTAGGTACGTGGGTAGGTGGGTAGGTGGGTAGATAGATAGATGATTGTAGTTATGATGCAGTCTTGTATTGGGAATCGGTCATATATCCACATGGAGACTCCTACATCCTTGGTAGAGATTCTAATATCACCAATCGATCCATGATATCGGCAACTGAAACTTCCTTGACTTCCTTGGTACGGTTTGGCACAAGGCGTCACAGTGGTGATAGGATCAACTCATAGGAAAATCGATGGTGGCATTGTGGTTGCCATGAGAAAAACGAAGTTACACCAACATATACCAACATAGATGGTGGTTGCACCGACAGACACATCTGGGCACTGTAGTCACAAGAAAAAAACCTAGTGGAGAAAAAAAGTGAACTTGGGCCGTCCTCACGGCCTTCTTTTCATACCTAGGCAACATGTCCTGTGGCGTTTTTGCATCGAATCATTGATGTTGAAGGTCTTATCTTTGATTTTCCAGTACCGAAGAATCTGGGAGCGAGGAGATTTTCGTGTCTAGCGTGGACTCTCATATCCTCACCACGGATATCAAATGCCCTCCATATCAGAACTGATAAACTGCGCGCCGATTGACCCACCTTGCCCACAGGATGACGGTTGGGAGCTAGTGGAAGAGCTAACGCTAGCAGCTTGGCTGTGTTCCCAGTGAGCCCCAGCCAAAAACTTGTCTGCGAAACAAAGATCTCGCTCATTTGGATCGGCACCAGACTGTCAGACTGTCACTTTTGGTCACGACATTTCAAGCCACATTGGTGCCCCGGTGTTTGTTCGGGTGTTTGTTGTTGGCGAAGTTGGCCATCGTCCCAGGATGTTCCAGACACGAAGGATCCGAAGGATCCGTGGTTGGAGACTCTTCTGCAGCTGCTCCGCTGTCACAGCTGCAGTCGGAAGACAGGCCACCGGTTGCGTCTCGGGTTCCTCGAGATGGTAATCTGGTGATGTGTCGTTGGAATAAGCTTAGGATGTGATATGTTAAAGTTAGGATCATCATGAGGTCATTGCTGTCACGCTATCATCATTCCCTTCTCGCCCTTCGCTTTCAGAGGAACAGCTCCATTGGATGTGTTGGTGCCGGCATATTGTCGGGGGTCAGTTTAGGTGCAACGTCTCATTCGCCACCAAAAAATAGCTCCACCATACTCCTCATATCTCCTCATGTGCTTGGGTGGAGGAATCTATGTTGTCAGCATTGTGTCCACTGTGGTAATCACCGTTATCATCGTCATCGCCATCGCCATTACCATCGTCATAGTCACTAGTCATTCTTTATCTCTCATTCTCACTCATTCATTTACTGACTCGCCCACATGTTTGCCCTTTTCTCTTAGGACAGATGATGTGTGATGCTTATCGCTATACACTCATCCCAGCCTATCTTTACATATTCCGAACATCAGTGAATCAGTGCTTGCTTTTATATTGGTTTTCAATCTCTGCTTCTGGGACTGGTGCATCACGGATGCAAACTTTTCAAAACAGGCATGGAACCCTGGAACTCTGGAACCCTTACTACTGTTCGGTTGAAAAGCCGGGTTGTCATATACATCCCAAACATAAATTAATGTACACCTGAATAGCACAGATACTTGAGCACATAAATAGATACTGATGCAGCACATTGTTTTACCATTGAAACGGTGTATGGATCTCCACACCAATTTTTTTCGTGTGGAGGTGGCGCCTTCTGTGACACCCACGTCACCACTGTGGAATTCCTCTTGTTGCTTGGCCTCAGATGTGGACGGGCCGTGGCATTTTGACGTTTTCCAATCACGGTTTCAACCATAAGGCCATAGGTGATACATCAAGGCATTCGGAGGTGCTTGACCTGTAATTTCCATGACTCTGTCACCAGGGAACTGCAACCTCCACTGTTGGAGACCTCTGCTGGAAGGTGGCAGGAACTGAGTGCCTTGGCACAAGCGATATGCAAAGAGGTGGGCAGAAACGAAGATCCACGAAGAACATCAACACACGAAATTGTCAGGCGACAACTTGGTAATCGTTTGATTCGCCACAAGCCTAGGAGCGGATGACCCCAAAGTGCAGGAAGACATCGACTCCTGTGAGGCCCTCTATGGCACAGTGCCTTGGCTCATCTGCCCATATCTGCCCTGTTTTCAGTAGCGAACTTAGCTCAAAGACTGCAGGATGCGGTGATGCGTCAGGAAGATCGCGTGGAGGTCAAGGTTGAGGCCGAGAACATGAATGGTTCGTAGCAAAGGGATATCGAGGGCTTCCAAATGTGTCCAAATGTCTTCAAAGACATGTTTGCGGATAGCAAAGTGTCCTGCAACTGGCGGAGGATGTTTCTGTGGTCTACCGCTTCAATACGAAGGCCCACTGGGTTCAGTTGAATGTGTGGATGTGCGTGGGATGGGAGTGGATCACATAGCTTGGGGCAACAATTGGCGCTAAGTTGAACACTGGATTGGTGGGTTGCCTCTGCGATTATCGATGTCCGGTCCTAGAGATACAAGGCACATCATTGTTCGCACCAGCGATCCCTTCCTCAGCCGCAGGACCCGATGCGAGTGGAAGTTCGAGGGGGGCCTGGTGCAACGACTGGCCAAGAACGCGTGCCCAACGCGGCCTATGCTGTGTTGCAGAGGTGCCCAGGTGAGGAAAGAGATCCTGATCTTGGATCCTATCGTGGTTTCCTGGGACTCTTGTAAATCCAACCTTCCCACGCATCATCACACATCCAGATCATCCAGATGATCCAGAATTCATGATGATTCATGTTCTCGTCGCTTCCACCAAGTTTATTTCCATCAGTTTCTGGCTTCAAACATCCCACCAACGTTCCATTTGTGCGGGTTCTACGATTCGAATTCTGACGGGAGCCCACATTTGATGACATCACATGCGTGCACACATACACACACACACATTTGCATAATATATTCATTTTGTTATCTTATGTAACATATGTAACTATTTGTTTAATTAATTAATTAATGAATATAACAAACACACACGCACACACACACACATATATATATATATGTATATATGTATATATGTCCAGGTGAGATATGTCACATTTTTATTATCTCCATTTGGGGGATCCGTCCCTCCCAGTTTCCGCGGTGGCGCCTTGACGCTGGATGAAGCCGTTCGCCTGGCTGCCGAAGCGCGGCGCTCGGAGTGCCTTGGTCGCCTTGTTGTGGGAAGCCTTCGGGGAGCCAACATCGGTGAAAAGTTGAGGTTTTATAGTTTCTCCTCATTGATATATATATATATATAATATATTGATATATAGATTCATAGATCTAAGTTGAGTTTTTTGATGTTGGATTGGTTGGATTAGTTGGGTTGGGTCAGATGAAATCCTTGAAAGCAATTAACTACATGTAAGTAGGGAGAAAAATCACTTCTTAATTGCTTGCATTGGATTTGATGCGACATTGTTTTTTTAGTCAAAAATAACATGACTTCCATTGACTTCCACATTTTCTTTCACTGCAGAATGGTTGGCACAAGGGTTGACATGGAGGGTGAATAGGTCTCTTCAAGCCAATGAAACAACATATTTGACAAGACGGAACGCATTGAACGCATGGTGTGCACTGATTCCTACTGTTTTCTTAAGATCACAGCAGGATCGTTTTTGTGGCTTCATTGCCCTCTGCCATGAGACCAGGCCATCCACCTCATCATCGACCCCGCTGATGTTGGCCACTCCCAGCAGTCAATGGCTGGGGCTGAGAAAGGCTGGGATCCCATCCTATCCCATCCTGGCGTGCAATGTACAGTCGAATGGCTAGAGATTGGGGTAGAACTGCAGAACTGTAGAACCAAACGTCAAAGATATCAAAGATCCAACCAGCCAAAATGATAGCCACCCACGGCAGGGAATAGATCTTCTTGGAAATGAGTCAATTCTCATGAACTTGATTCACAGAATAAGTTATCTTGCAGTGGTCTCATTGTTTCTTTGCCAAATCTTACCGCAGGAGACAGCCGCAGTGAAGCTGGATTTCTTCAGCCCAAAGGAGGCTGCGCCTTGGGCTGCAAGCAGACGAGGAAGTCGTCGCTATTCGTTGCTGAACATGGCTTTTGATGCACCGACTGGGGGAATTTTAGGCACCTCTTTTGGCGCGGTAGATGCCGTAGACACGATGCCTCAGAAGGGAAAGTCTCAGGCAAGAGAAGCCGCTCAAGTTGTGAAGAAATACCTGGAGCAGCACAAGACTTTCAAGCTGCCTGGCCCAAAATGAATCAGAATGATATCATCAGGTTATATCCATTATCCATTATAAAAGCACAGGGCTTTCCCTTACCCCAGCTCCGTGCCCCCAAAAGCAAATTCGAGGCCTGCTGGCTCAGCCGAAAGCGACGCTTGCCTGCGGGCAGCACTGCACAATGCTGTTGATCTTGGGAATGATCGAAAGAGTGTTCAGTGCTACTCCTTGGTATTTCCGCCTTGGATTTTCGCCTGAGCCGGAAGGATCCATATCTGGGAAAATGCTTCGCCCTTCGCCAGGGACGGGGAATGCACCTTGCTCCGAGGTTGTGAACGAAGGGTTGGCCACACGTTTTGCGGAGAAGTTGGCCCAGATGCGCTGCGACAGTCAGGGGCAGTTTGTGACCCCTTCGCTGGTCTTCCATGGGGCACCTTCCCAGGAGCTGTTGTGTGTCGTGTTGCCACAGCTTGCCACAGCAATCACTGACATTGACTTAAAACGGGATGCGTCAGGAACAGCTGGTTTGAATCGACGCCTTTCGACTTTTCAAGATTTTGAAGTCCTGGATGTGCCTGTCAAATGGCTTATAGCTTTTAGCAGACAGCAATGGGTCACACCGAAAGCCCGAAGCAGCAAACAAGAGCTTTCAAGACAATGGGCATGACGGGCATGTAGGAAGCAAGAGGTCTTGCAGGAGTCAGTAGCGGCAATCTATTTAGCCGCTGCAGGCAACAAGTTAAGAAGTTCAATAACTTCCAAGCTGGTCTGGCAGAAACAATCCATCAACGAAGTCATTCAACTACAATCCAATTCAATAATTTCATGCCACGTATCCGCAGAACTTCTGAATTAAGTGTTTGCTTGCTAGTCCTGCCCGCCGGTAGATGTGCTCTGTCCCGGGGTTTGGAGCCCATGGCTGGCAAATGGATTCTGCCTTGTCTACTTCTGTGCTGCTCTGCGTGTGATCTCACTGGGTGGCTGAACGAAGAAGCAGAGGCAGACCACGGCTACAACATTTTGTGTGTCACAGACGTGGTGACGGTCTATGTGACTTGACTGAAACTCTTATGCTGATGCACTTAATATATCTTAATATATCTTAATATATCTTAATATATCTTAATATATCTTAATATATCTCAATATATCTTAATATATCTTAATATATCTTAATATATCTTAATATATCTTAATATATCTTAATATACTTTGACAGTGCCGACGGCACCTCTTCTCTGTGAAGTTGGTGTGAACATTTCATAAAATTCCACTGTAAAATTCCACAGGTGAAGGGATACGTTGGATGCAAAACTGTGGAGTTGGCTTTGGACGATTCGCTGCCGGAGAAGTTGGAAGACGAGTTGCTGCTCCGCGGTCGGCTCCTCTTCCGTCGCGGCGAGCGCCTCACAGCCTGGCCCAAGCAGAGCTGGGCCGTCTTCACCACGGCAGGGGAGCGCTGGGAACCACAGGAACTGGTGCAACGGGCAAGAGCACACCGAGGCGACGTCAAAATCTACATATCTGTTGCATATCTACAGAGATTTGTCCAGATATGTTACATATCACATATAAGCCAACATTTTGTTGGTGAACGTCCTAATGTTTGCTGCCAACATCCATTTACAGATATGTTGTTCATGATAGCTGTTATCATGTTTTGAGGGACGTTTATGACTTCATTTAAGATGAATAATTGCATATTTATACCGGAGTGGGGAATTGTTTCCACGATTCCTCTGAAGGCACTGAGAACTTCAACTTTACTCACTTGATGCTTTGATATGAGATTGGGGTCCGGTTTGACCAACAATTTCCATCCCATTTCTCCCAAAGAAAATCGAGGCGTTCCGTTGTTTCTCGTGGAGGGCGGTACCTGGCGTTGGCCGGCCATCCGCGTGGGCTTCTCGCGGGAGGTGCTCAGTGGGGTTCGGTTGCGCACCGTGGCGGTGCAGCCTGCACTCTTCGATTTGGAGTTCAGCAACTCCGAAGGTGCCGGGTGGGGATGGTATGGGATGCTGAGATATGCTGAGGGGTGCTGATAGCAATTTGTGGTTTGCGAGGATGGTCTACTGAGTCTACTGCGGCGTTGGTGAGTTGTTGGCACTCATTTTTTTGGCGTCCGATTCCTTTGTGGAACTGTCGACTCCCAGGCATTCCAAAGCTTCTGAAGGACGTGGTGAAGGCATCCGAGAAGAGCTTGTTTCGCTCCATCACTGAGGGCAAGGTTTCAGACAAACGAACCAGCGAGCAAGCCTGGCTGGGTTACAATACTCAACAGCTCAAGGACTTGCTGAACTTTACTGTCCAGGCAGCTGCCAAAGCAGATGGGAGTCTGGCAGTCAAACAAGCTTGTACTTCTACTTAGTTCTCTGAACTTGATTGACTGATTCCAATTTGATTCCAATTTGATTCCGATCTACATCGATGTGTGGCTTTTCTTACTGCGGTTTGCTGTCTTCCCCGTGTGCAGATTTTGCGGGTCCCAGAACGCTATTTTGAGGAGAAGTTTCTTGGCTGTAGCAGGAGCAAAGTCTGCCCAGATTAACAATTTGGGATAAATGGCAAAGCATCTTCAGAATACTTCACACCAAGATTTCTACTTTGAGAACCTTTTGTTTGGATAGAGAAGTGGTCTTGCGTGGAAAGTCCTGCATGTAAGGATGCAAGTGCTGCGTTACACGTTGGGTCAGTTCTACGATGCGCATCGTGACTACTGGGATCCTGAAGAGTTTCCGGATAAGCATCGCTTCATCCATCCCAACAGCAAAACTTGGTACAACCGCCATGCGACTCTTCTGTGGTATCTGCAACGGCCTGAAGAAGGCACCGGATGGTATCGGAACTTGATACTGACATTGACTTGATATCATGACCAGACTCTGGGTGCGTCGCTAGAGGTGTCAGTGCCAATATGCTTTCAGGGGCAGATTACGATGCCAAGGTGACAGGTTTGGGATGGCTTTAGTCTTGGCAGGTAGCTTTAAAATCCCCTTGCGACTTGTGTTGCACTGTCACACTTGGGGATCACTCAAAAAGTAATTTGTGTGAGGACAATGCTTAAACATGTAAAAAACATTTATATAAAAACATTTCTTTGTTTTTCCTAGCGTGCTTTCAGCCTTCCTTCGATTTGTTTACTTTCCTTTCGTTTTTTCAAATAACGCCATGCCAATTTTCCTTCGGCAATCTCTGATTCTTCTTACTTCTGATCTAGGTTTTGAATTGGTTGCGTGGAGTAGATCTCAAAGAAGAACCAACGCGAATGGAGAAATATCTAGAAAAAAATGGTTGTTGTTTGTATTCCTTCCGCTTCCTTTGGGATCCCCATGGGCTTCACAATTTTCCAAATCATGCGACGCCGCTGGTGTGTCACATCCTGCGAGTTCCAGGTGGTGAGACGTGGTTTCCACGTGCTCATGGAGGGCCTATTCCGGTTAACCGGTGGACAGCTTGCGACGATGCCGGAGTCAAGATGGGAAACACGAGCGTGGCAATCCTCTTCTATTCGCTTTATTCCAGTGGAGAAGCTGGGTTTAAAATGGAAAGATGCATTTTTTTACTCTTGTGGACTGTTCATGAAGTCAGTGATTTGTCTCTTCCTTTTGAAATTTGCAGTGTGTCCAGGCACATCAAGTAGATTCACTTTCCATGATGTTTTTTTTTTGGGTTATTTTCAGGATATTGACACCTACAGTTGGCACTGCGGCTGCCCGGTGATTCGTGGTACCAAATGGGCGTCCAACGCTTGGGCGTGGAACCAGCCAATGGAAAAGCCCCCGTTTGCCACACGCCGCCCGCTACGTCCGAAGATGGCTGGCAACCTGCCACCTGCTGACGAGCTCTAAGGTGGAAAAATGAAAAAAATGCTGCTGCCGACAGCTGCACCTTTGAAACTTGGTTGGAATCCCATTGGACCCATGTATAGATGGTTTATGATGATATATGATGATTTACCTATTAAAAATTGTGATTTTCCCATGGCTATGTTAAAGAACCAAGAAGCAACGGATTTTGGGGCCGCAGGAGGTGCTTCGCAGCATTTGTCGCCGTGGCTTCCTGATGCCTGGAGATTGGATTGAGCCTGGGAAAAACGCTGGGAACACATGGAAACCCACAACCAGCATCAACCAGCTTATACAGTCATTGTATGTCATGGGTATGTCATGGTTGTTGATTAATTTTGAAGTTCATGAAGCCTTAACTTCTTTTTTGATTCTTTGTATGGTCATTTGCTAAGACTGCTAAGAGAAATAGCAAGCCGAGGAAGGCACTCCGGATTTTCTGGAGGTAGAACACGGCAACGTCAAAGGCGCATTGCGAGCACCTGTTGTTTTCTACATCGCAGTTTGGAGTGACAGAGGATATGATGATTCGATGGTGAAACTGTGCGTTTTACCGTGCTGATACCGTGCTGATCCAGTCGATGTTTGCGTTCGCTTTGGAGGCCTGGGTGTTTATACGTCGCCGTGCCTCGACACTGCAGCAAGATATTCAGGAGCAGCGAGTGCTTGGAAGATCTTGGAAGTTTAAGCCCCGATTTTGCGAATCTGTATCGACATGTATCGACTCATATCGACCGGTTTACTTGAAATGGCGGGAAAGCATCGCACTCCTTTTTGACTGCCTTTGCATGTTCACTTCAGTTTTAGCAAAAAACAAAGGTTGCGGAAATGCCTAGTCCCCACTCGGGCAGTCAACATATCATGGCTTTCAACCCGTGCAATGGTGTGACCAAGATTATCAGACAATCTCCAGTCGTTGTGCGAGGAGTTTTGGATGCAACAGGTTGTGGTTTGGTGTTGGTGGCTTTAGCGGCCCCGGGCATTTGTTGGTACGAGAAGAGCCGTAACCTGATTGCAACCGGAAGCCTTTGCATAGGGGTTATGATGGTTTCTGGGTAAGCCTTGGGTGGGTTGGTTGGTTATTCCCTTATCATCATTTATCTTTTGCCATGAGTGGGGACATGTGTGCTAGCCAGGACAACAAAGCAAGGCATCCAAGATTGGCCATGGTTTATTTACCCAAATTGGCCGTGACAAATCTTCAGCACAACAGCCCAGTCACAATCTGATCATATCTGATCATATCTGATCACAGATACCACAGCTTTCAGCCCTACATGGCTAGGGTCACATGCCGGATATTGGGCAGATTATGGATACCTTCCCTAAATAGCCATAGACTCTCACCATGGATCCCATGGATCCCATGGATCCCTCCAAGGCCAGCATACTCAGCAGCTGTGTCTTGGACGAAATGGACGAAATGGGCGAGAAAGAAAGAGAATCAGACACAGCAGAATTGGCAGAAGTTTTTCTGAATTTCTATGTTTTTTTTCGATGGTTGACTGTGAGACAAGTCACTGAGCCAAGGATTTCCAACTGGTTCTTCCCTCGGGCTCCAAAGGTGGGGTCCCTCGGTGCGCCGATCGCCTGTTTGTTGTCCCAGCTGGCAGGTGGGCACCGAGCACAATGGTTGGGTCTGGCTGGGTGATGCCTGGCATGTCAAAACCGACGGCACAGCCTCAAGGAGACCAACTGCCACAGCTTTCTGTTCTCATTAGCTTTAGGACTTTAGTCTTTAGGTTCATCAGTTGGATTAGGAATGATACTAATGCACACACACACATATATATATATACACATATACATATGCACATCAATATTGTGGAGATATGTTCCATGAAGTTCACTCATGGATCACACCTGACACTGCATTCCACAGATTCCCGGGTGGATTTCCAGGAGCGCCCTGGCCGACGTGGCCTTCGCCCCCGGCACCGCTGCGTGTTACGACGGCGCGTTTCACTCGCGGCGCTTCGGGGGCGGCACAAAGGTCTCGGAGGAGTTGGTCTTGGCCTCGGTGGATCAGCTGCTGCCACTGCTGCTGTTGCCCTTCGCAGCCCGTCACCTGGTGGAATGATGTGGGATGATGTGGGATGATGTGGGATGTTACATGATGTTACTGTTGAGTGTTTTTTTTTGGTGGCAGGGGAGAAGCAATCTTTTGAAATATGCAGTTTTAGAACATTTTGAATCATTTTGATGCGTATATGTTGGTGGTATGCTGGTATCCAGGTATCCAAATGTAATCTTTGGATTGTGAGTGGATCAGCCAGTTGCGCCTTTTTCAGCCATCGGCCAGGTCAAGACTTGCAAAAGGCGCCGCTGATGCCATTGCCACGGCTGAAGAACAATGGCCGAAGGCGACGCCAGCTGTGCGGATCCAACATCTACAGGCACCTGGGTGAGAGCAGTCCCTGCTGCGGGTTAATGCTTCCATCTTCAAAAAGTCAAGCTCTCTAGCCTAGTTTAGCCTAGGTTAGCCTTCATCTTTTTTCAACCGACCTGGTTCGTTCGATTCAGACATGTTCCAAGAATGGGCGTGCCTCTCAGGCCCACCAAAATTGGTCAATTTGTAAGGCTTCGAGCGGGGAAACCTAGGAAACCTATGGTTAGAGGATATTTCAATATCTTCCAGTAGTTTCATGTAGTTTCCACATGTTTCCACTCTGCCTTGGACTTTGCTCGGGTTTCCAGGTATCCTTCCGAGGAGCTGCCAGAGAAGGAGCTTCTGTGCTCCAAGCTGCTGGATGCCGAAGAAGCCAAGGATCAGCTGTGGGCAGTGCATGTTCCGGTGAGCCAAGGTGCCACGACGTGGGGAAAATGCTGAGCCACGTTTTGTGTTTGACCCAAGGACTGTCAAGGACCCAAGTCATTGATGTTTCATGGCTCAGGCGCAAAGTCAAGTGGAAGGAACATGATACTTAGCTGCACTATGTGAATAGAAGAAGTGCTGCATCGTCTTGAGCAGTGTGAGAATAAAGGAGCAAGCAGATGCCCTTTGCGAAGCGTTGTAACTTGAGCTTGTGTGAATTCGTGATCATATTTGATCATGACATGCCAGGATCAAGGAGCTTTACCCCTAAAGTTCCAGCAGTAGCTGGTACGGGTACGCGCTTAGGTGTATCTTTGGGCAATGGCGGCCAGTGGCACAGATGAGGCATCTGAGTTTGCATCGGATGGGGAGGATGTGATGCTGATTCCTGAGGAAGTGATGCAGCAGGCAAGATTGGCGATGGAAGAAGGAGACCACCATGAGATCATTGGATTGAGACAAGATGGCCGCGGTTTTGTGGTCGAAGCGAACGCAACAGCGTTGAAACGATTGTCGTCCCAGGCGGATGAGATAGAACCATACTGGGCCGTTTCATGTCTTGGAAGCACCGGTGCTGGCAAGAGCTTTTTCATCGCAAAGCTACTGCAAGCATTAGGCCACACAGGATCTGCGCCCTACAGCATTGATTTTAGTGAAACCGAGATTGGTGATATCCCAATTTCCGTCACCTGCAACATCCTTTGCTACCTTGCTGGTTCCAAGCTGCTGTTTGATGTGGAGGGCACTGATGGTACTTTGCCCCTGATGCAGCGGATTCTGATGGGGATTGGTGCTCGCCTGCGCCTGACAGCAAAGGAGAAGAGGATGCAGATCAAGAGAAGAGATGCAGTTTCAAAGTTCTTCCCACCAATTGCTTTTGCCATTTCCAACACGGTGATTTACATCACACGTGAGTCCCTGAAGAACAGCAGCACAAGCCAAGCCATCAAAGAGTTTGCTGTACGCATAGCAGGATCAAGCACAAGTGTACGGCCATACTTGGTCATCATACACAATCTGTGCCCCATCAACCAGTTGAGGAGAGGCAAAGAAAGTGAGGCAGCATTGGTGAAGGAATTTCTCCATACTCATGATGACTCCAACTTTCTAGCCGAGACCTTTCGTGGGGTTTGGTGCATGACTTTTCCAGATTGCAATGTTGTTGACAAGAGAAAACACATTGATGGCGAAGCAGTCTTTGATGAACAGCTGACTCGCTTGTGCCAGCTACTGTCCCAGCAATACGACGAGAACAAATTTGTTCGGCGCTCTCTTCACTGTGCTTTGCCTCCGAGATCCCTCCTGACTATCCTGCCTGAAATCGTGCGCCAAACAAATTTCAAAAAACCGATCTCCATACCTGACATCTTGAGAACAAATTTGAAGAACAATCCAGATATGGACTGCTTAGTCCTTCGGCGGGCATGGAGGACCGTTTGCAGCCTACGGTCTGGTGAGCCCGAGATTTTGCAGGGTCAGGTTTTGAAAGATGTGTTGTCCCTTTGCATTGGCATTTCCGCACATTACTTGGCACGCAAACTAGCAGCGCAAGACAAGGCAGGATTTCCAGATCAATGGATTGAGGAGCAGGCCGCCTCTTTGCATGACAAGCTGATGGACTATTTCAACATGGTCTTTGCAAGGTGCCAGGCCAAATCTCCCCATTCCTATGATGACGCGAACGGCCCGGTGCGCTGTGGTGCAAAGCTACTCGGTCATGATTGCCATATCACCAAAGACCACGTCATTCCTTCCAGGTTTAACTGGTTCAGAAGGAATATCACACTGCCTTGGTTCGGTGGCATCTTTGACCGTTGGGGAGGCGAGTTTGAATTTGATCCTGTTCTGAGAGATGCAGGGGATTGGGGCAAGAAAATCATGCAAGAAGAAGCAGTCAACACTGTGAATTTGCTGCGTGTGAGCACGCCTCCCGAAGACACCACTTCAGAAGCTGGGGTTTCAGCATGCCGCAGCTCACCCCTAGGTTTCCGCCACTACAACGCAAGACATTTGCACGGATGGTGTGAGCTCCTTAGGATAACCCCTAAGGTGGCAAAGAAGCTGGAAGGCAACCCCAACATCTTTGATGAGCATGGCACTTTGTGGCGCCTTCATCCATTCTGCTGCGTGTGTTTTGGGTTGGTCAAGAGCAAGACAGAGGACCTGCATATTTGCTCCGAGTGCATTTCTGTGTGTGACAGCAGCATGGGAATCCGGACCCGCTTTCCCCGCGCATGGAGCTGTCATTGCCACTATGTGGACTCTGGGCTTTTTCAAGTGCATTTCGTCTCTGATGCAGATGAAACCCAAGTCTTCAAGGATGCGTTGAAAGTGACTCAGCCAGATGAGCTTGGGAAAGGTCATGATGCAGAAAAGGGACTACCCAGGTACACGGGCCTTGAACTGAAGCACATATGGCGAGTGGAGGATACTGTCCAGTGGCAGAAGTACGAGAGTAGCAGGTCCCAGGTGGTGAATGACCTGAAAGTGGTCAAAGGAATTGGCGAGCGCAAAGGCTTGTCCACAAGACTTGATGCAGCAACTCGACGCTTGTTGCAAGAAGCCGACATCGCTGCTGGAGGAGTCATGCTTCTACACGGAACTAAACCAGAGTTTGTCCTTCCAATCTTGCACAGGGGCATGAATGAGCGTTTGGCATCTGGTGAAGCAGCCTTTGGGACTGGCATCTACTTATGCGAAGACCCTGAGAAGATGGACCAGTATTGCCGTCCAGCAACACGTGCCCAAGCCCGACAGCTTCAAGAGCACCTCTTTGTCAGCGGCCATGGCAAGAATTTTGACACTAGGCATGAATCGAGGATACGTGTTTGAATGATACTTTATAGTTCAGTGCGTTTAAGGTTTGAATAATTCCTTATAATCTTTGCGACTGGAAGGAACACCAAAACTCCACCAGATTTTTCCAGGTGGTTGTTTGCCACAGAGCCATCCAAGGAAGGTTTGTGCTTTGCATTTGCTATCCGGGCAGCGTGTGGGCAGCCGTTGTACACACGTGGTTTGACCAGGGATGAAGCTGCCATGCATGATTGTGAGACTGGGCAGGCACTCTTCCTGAACCGGGGCAGGCGTGAACTTGCACAAATTCCTGGAACTGATGCTGCTAAACCCATCTACCATCACTCCCTTGTGGTGAACACCGGCAAAGCTCTCAAACGTTTTCGGGAGATCGTGGTCAAAAACGACACGCGTGTCTATGCAGAGTACCTCATTGCCTACAAGCGAGGTTGAAAGACTTCTGGCACAGCGGTGAAGTCTTTGCTGTCGGCCCAAGCTTGAAGAGTCTTAAAGCAGGAGGCTGTGTCGGCTGTGTTCCGGTGAATTCGATGGCCCACAAGAGTGTCCAATCAAACACAGAAAACGCGGCGCCCTCTTTGCATGTGAATAACAAGGAAGTTGCAGCGGTTGGATGATGTGCAGTCCAAACATGTCTGAGCCGAATGTTGTTGAAAGAACTTGTGGTCTGTTTAGGGAAGGAATCAATGTGATACTCAGAACCCATCAGAATCCCAACTAATGAACTTGTGTGTGACTGTCTCCAGCTTCGCTTCTCTCGACTTTCCAGCCTGTTTTTGTGGATCTTGTGGTGAAACGGTGAAACCCGTGTGTTGCAGGGCGCATGAAACTGACACCCGATCCGCAGATATGGCCGAGCATCTGCATCCGCTGTGTCGGAGCCATGATCCTCAGAGCGCTGCTGATCTTCGGCCTTTCCGCGGCATCCGCAGCGTCCGCGGAGCCCGGAGATGCCGCTGGAAATCTCGTCGTTCCCACGGTGAACGGCCCAGTGCAAGGCGTGTTCCGAGACTTTGCACAGCAGAGCGCGTCCTGGTGGGGGATCCGCTATGCAGAACCTCCGGTGGGTGCCAATCGCTTCAAAGAACCCAAGGCAAGGCAAGGCATGTCATAGATGTCATTGCGAAGGCTTGAAGATGCTTGAAGCAAAATGCCCTGCCACAATTCACCAACATATGATTGTAAAGGGGAAATTCATTGAATAGCCATCACATTTCCAAAGATTCCGACCCCAAATTCTCCAAAAAGGAGTAAGTGTTCGCTGTTGCAGGCGTACAAAGAGACGTGGACAACGCCGCGATTGGCGAACCAAATTCCGATCCAATGCATACAGCTCGCAGGCAAGTCGACTTCAGGCCAGTTTTGGGGGAAACCTGGGGTAATCATCACACGCCAATTCAGGATGAAGATAAATCTTAGACGCGGGGAAGAAGAAGTGGTAACGAAAACTCGTATTTATTTGTGACCGAGCCATGCCACAAGGCATGCCAACTCTTGAGATTCGCAGGATCAGAAGACTGTCTGTTCCTGAACGTGCATGCTCCTGCCATCAAAAACTCTAGCGCCCTTCCGGTCATGGTCTTCTTCTACGGGGGAGGCTTTTCGGAGGGAAGCAGCTATGAGATGGGGCTTTATGATGGACAGCACTTGAGTTCCAGCCGCTTGGTGATCGTGTTTGGTTGCAACTTCGGCATACTTCGGCTGGATCACAAAGAAGATAGCGGAGGCGGTCTAAGGTATTACAAGTAATATGTATTAATATCTTTGAAAATTAATGTCAACTAGGGATAGCAATTTCTGCAAGGTCTTCCCCCTTTTTTCCCAGCTATGATGAACCCATGGATAGCCCAGGACATGACGTCATCATCGTAACCTTGAACTACCGCCTTTGCGCGCTGGGATTTATGGCGCTGGATGCTCTTCAAAGTGAGTCGGGCAGCACTGGAAACCATGGGCTTCAGGATCAACAGATGGCGCTGCAGTGGGTGCGGCAAAACATCCGATCTTTTGGAGGAAATCCCCAACTGGTGACCATTTTTGGTGAGTCTGCTGGAGCTTTCAGTGTGATGTGGCACCTAGCAACTTACAGTGGAATGCTAAAGTCGTGCCTAAAATTTGGAAATCATCGTAAATAGCTGGGGAGCACTTGATTTGAAAAGTCGTGCCTTTTTAGTAAAACGCATAGGAATTGCAATGTTTTGTTGGATTTGGTCTTTGGAATAGTTTTTGTTAATAAATCTTGCGTTTAGGTTGTGTTTAGCATCAAGGGTACCTTTTCCATATTGTTAATAAATCTTGCGTTTAGGTTGTGTTTAGCATCAAGAGTACCTTTTCCATATTGTTAATAAATCTTGCGTTTAGGTTGTGTTTAGCATCAAGAGTAACCTTTTCCATACCAAGTCAAACTGGATGTGAGTGTAGCGATGAGTTGGTGTTTCTATCTTTTTCTTTCCAGTGTGCTGCGGCAGCCATTTTCACTTTTCACTGCGTGCTCAACGCGGCATTGTGGCACTTCAGCGTGTTGCTTGAGATGGAGGTGAGAAGGGTCATTGTTGTGTCTTCGTGTCGGTTTTAGTTTCTTTTGTGGTTCCGCAGGCGGGTGGGCAGAGAGCCTTTCTTGTTATTTTTTGACGTCGTTTGCTACGTCGTTCGGACGTCGTTCGGCACGTCGTGGTTTCAAAAATAGGAAACCTATAGGAGAGGTTGGTTGTTGTGAATCACGGATGGCAGAGCGAAGCCACTGATGGACCGAGAGCAGCAAAGCGAAAAGAGTCAGCAAAGCGAAGAAAGTCAGCGGACCGAAGCCTCAAGTATTTCTCAACCCCAGAAACATGAACGGTAGAATGCAACTGTAGACGGATTTTTGCGAACATTTGATTTTCCCAAGTGTGGAAACAGTCTTCTTATACATACGCGATTCCATGGTGTTTTAAGATTTGGGCATGACTTAGGCATGAGTTTCTTGAAACAGCGATTCCATGGTGATTTACTAGCAAGTTTTGACCCAGGCATGAGTTAGGCATGAGTTTGTCGTTTGACTGTAGCTGAAACATGCTGAAACCATGTCACCGGTTTTGGTCCGCTAAGTTACCAAGTAATTGTCATCTAGAAGTCATCTAAAATTCCCATCAGACCAGTTGAGATCAGTTGGACTGGCTTCGTTGTCTCGTGACCGTTCCAACGCTTCGCCCAGGTGAGCCCCAAATCCAAAGGTCTCTTCCAGGCAGCGATCATGGAGAGCGGCACCGTGGATGTGACCTTCTTCTTTCAGCCTTTAGCCCAGGCGAAGGCCTATTACGAGGACTTGGCCAAAAGGTGGGACAGATATTGACAGATGACAGGGATGCACTTCAATCTCCTTTTAAATGCATTTGAGAACAGCATGTGCGTTAATCATTAAGATTCCTCAAATAGTCAGTTGTTGTAGGTCTTGTTGGATACAACAATGCAGCAGAACTTGGACCTATCTACCCTGTTCGATCCCTGTTCGATCCTATAGGTTGGGTTGTCCCACTTCGCCTTCACAGCTGGAATGTTTGCGGAAGCTGCCAGCAGCTACGCTGATTGAAGTGGAATCCGGCTTGGATGGACATCGACCAAAAGTGCGCTCGCCACTATGGCCCTTGATGCCCAACGGGCCTGCCATCGATGGCACTGAGAGCGGCTTATTGGATGTCCCCATGAAGTTGGTCCGTGAGGGGTGTCTCAGCCGTTGGCTATGCTTTCATGGTTAATATATATATATATATGTTAATATGTTAATATCATCATCTGTTGTGATATATTCAGACATTCTTAGAAATCTATAGAAATCTTAGATCTGCAGAGGTTGATTCTTTGATCATTTTTTCTTGCCAAATACCATCCAACTGAGGCGTTTCAACCGGGTCCCCCTGCTGTTGGGATCCAACGAGAACGGCGGTAGCATCTTTGAACCGATGTTGCCCATCGTGCTGCCGGGGGTTCGCTTGCCGGTGAAGCGATTTCCTGAAACCTTGGACATTGCCATGCGCTACTTCTTTCAGGACAACGTGTCGAAGGTTGAGGCCAGGTTATGATGCAGCAAAAAAGGCATTGATTTGACATGATTTGACATATGCTGAATGACATACTGCAGCACAGTCAAAAATTACGTTCCATAAACTCTGGGTTGTGGATATTTGAGTGCTGCCAAATTAAATACCAACATTTCTCGACACTTCCTGTTTTTGGAACCCGTCATTTTGACACCCTGAGGCGGTCTACCTGCAGAAAGAATTTGGCGATGGCGACAAGTTAATCAAGCGGATGATCAGAGACCTGATTTTCATGTGCCCTCTGAGGGCCTTGGCATCTGCCTGGTTTTCCTCAGGTCTTCCAACCTTTCTCTATGTCTTTGACTTCAGCTATGGCTTGGCCAGGTGGATTGGTCTGGGCGACTTCCATGGCTCGGAACTGCCCTTCGTCTTCCGCAATTGGCTGGAGTGTCTGGGGCGACAGGCTGTTTTGAATTATTTTGTTGTTTGTAGAAGTGACGGGAAAGAGAGCATAAAACAAGGACATACATATAGTAATTAATGTGCCAAGTATAAGTGAAAGTTTGTGTTACATCATGATTTGTGCAAGAGCATTCCAATGCTAGGTGTTTTGATTGCCTTGTTGAAACTCCTCTAAGCCTCTAAGCCCAGGTTCATCAAACCCATCGATCCATTTCAATCTCCACGGCGTATGAGCGACATCATCAGTTGCAAATGGACTTCCTTCGCACATGGCCACGACCCAAATGGAGGGACCAACGAGAGCAAATGGCTCCCTGGATGTCAAGACATCCATGGCAGATATAGCGCTTGGCCCAGTTTCGGCCCGGAGCGATTCTTTTATACACTGAAGGCTGTACCAGAACCATGGATGCGCTTGCACCGTTTTCTTTTTTTGCTGGGTTTTCTCTGATTCAGATTGATTGAGTGGTTTCTGGTTCGGTCGCAAGGCATCGGCAGTATGGGGAGGTCACCTTCAAAACTGCGTCCTTTACTGATGTCCATAACATTCCCACACCGCAAGCACCTCGGACAGTAAAAGCTCAGTCCCTCTGCTGCCTCAGGAAGTCCATGGCATTTTGGCCGACAATTATTATCCCGACGACACCTTCCCAAGAGATGAGAAATGCGACCTCTGGGACCAGTTGGGGATGTACATGCCTTGGGTCCACGAGGAGGATACCCATTCAGAGAAAACCCTAGTGGTTTGAAATGTTGGCTGTTGAAAACAGAAAACAACAAGAGAGAATGATAGAGAATCTGGTTTGCGGCAATTGAATCTGCCTACAGATCACCTTATAGCCATGCGTCATGGCAAGATTTAGTCGAAAGATGTAGTGCGACAAAGCAAAGCTGCGCAAACTTTTGAAGTTTTGCGCTGTGATGCGCTGTGCACCTGGCCGAAATGCAGCGCGTTTGCTGCAGGGCAGGGTGTCACTGCACGGTTGACCTCAGGCAACTTGTAGCATGACCCGCAAAGCGAACCTTTGAAGGTCTTTGAACATCTTTGAACTCTTGTCTTCCCATGTCTTCCTATGTCTTCAATGGGACAGAGGGACAGAGGACGAGGTGAGGAAACCTGTTACGGGGACAATGTGCCTGAGTTGGCAAGGAAAAAGCTGTGTCCGTGCTCAACTTGGGTACCTTTCTGCTTCGAAATGCCGCAGCCCACATCAGACGTCTCAGGAATGCCATCTTCCTGGTGGACGAGTCTCTGGCCGGCACCGAGTTCAAATCCCAGGCCAGGGCAGAATAGCCATGGGGCCATGGACATCCATGGACCAATGGACCATTCATCGACCACTGACTCATTGATTGTCATTGATTGTCATTGACCCTTCCAAATCCTCCGTCACCTTTCAATGACAAATATGACAAATAATTTGATAATACAACATGTGTTTTGAACAATGCAGAAAAAGATGTGCGAAGATACGATTCCTGCTGTGCAGAAACTGCTCAGATGAGGTGGTTAGCCTCGTGAGTTCCTTAAGTGGCCAGCTGCAGGCGCGGATGGAATCTCAACTCTACAACATTGAAGGGATGGATATCAGATGATGTAAGTGTAAGAATGTACAGGATACACACGCACACATATAGGTATATACAATGTAAAATAAATATATACATATATATATATTATATTAGATTATATTATAAATATAGATTATATTATATTATATTATATTATATATTATGTATATTATATATATTATAATATATATATATTACAATGTATAGCAAAATTTTGCAGATAATGTTGCAGATAATGTGTCGGAAAGTGGTTCAATTCTGGGCACCGGGAAGTTCAGAACTCCCGGAGGCGGTCTCTGCAGCTGCAACCTTCAACAGTAGTGGCATCGCGCAGAGAAACTTGGCCTTGAAGAGTCTACAGGATCCTGAGATGACCGCATCGCATCGAATTGAATCCAGTTGCAACAATGGCAACAATGGAGATGGAGGTCAACAAGGTTCATTTTGGAGACTGTCATCGACGCCGAACACAATGAGATATGGCTCTGTGAAGTTGATCCCTACTTTTCTGATCTTTTCTTCCTGCTTCTGAGGCATTTCCTTCCTGCCCTGCGAGACTTTCCAGGCAACTTTCAACTCCAGATGGCCACCTACTGCACCAGGTTGGCCAAAGCATCTCAAAAGGGACAAGTGGTATGTGAAAAAGGTCCATCTGGCTTCCATAGATTCATAATGATTCATAGATGTTTGATGATGTCTGATGTATCTGGATGCCATGTGTTTCAAACATTTCCGAGCACTGGCAACGCCTGTGCCACATCGATGTTGACAGGTGAGGCGCTGGGTGACCTGGCCTCTGCAGCGGAGTACGCCACAGATGCCGCCATCGCAAAGCTGGTGAAGGACCGGGTGGAAGGGCTCTGCTGGCAACCACCCAACTGGGAGATGCCGGGCCTAAGTTCTTGGGCGTGTTTCTGTGACTTGAGAAACCGGAAGGTTTCTTGGGCATGTCATTGGTTTCAACACTTGAATCTCCCAGCATGTTTAAAATGATCATCATTCTATGGACATTGATACTGCATGGGTCCTGAAACTCTCAAACTTTGATACGACAAGCGGGGGGTGGCCCTTAAAGTTCACAAAGGGTCAACTGAGTCATATTCCCTGGTCGTATTTTGTAACATGGGGTGCGTTCAGGGATGCAACTCTATCACTTCCATTTTCCAACCAGATGCTTAACTTCAAAGATCATCCCATGCCCGAGAGCATTGGAATCTATTGGGGTCTATTGGAATCTTTTGAAATCCATTGGAATCCGGCGTTTTTTGTTTTTTTTTGAATTCGGCGTTCATCTCTCGTAGGACACGGAGCGACACCTGCAAAGCCTATCACCCTGGGTCTATCTGCGCGCGGGGCAGCAGCTGGAGAGTCGTCAGAGGAAGACGGCCACGGTGGTGCAGGACTGGGCTTTTGAAGATCCCATATGTTCAATAGGAAATATCGTGTGAACATATACATGATATGATATTACAATTATATTACATGTAATTATCAAGAACATTCAAGAACTGCAGGGTTTTCCATGCTGAGGCTTGATCGGATGGCAATTTTTAGACTACATTCCAAATTTTATTCACTGGATCTATGGGAACCTATGGGGATCTAATGGGACATGTCCAGCTGAAGAATGGCAGGTGCTCTTCGACAAGTCTGAGCCGATCAGCCTCGAGGTGCCGCTCTGGTTATTTGACATAGCCATGGGAAATGGCCCATAAAAATAGATGGTTTACCGAACTTAAAAATTGTGATTTTCCATGGCTATGTTACATAACCAGATGGTAGATATTTAGATTCATTTCCTGGAAATGATCTTCCAAACCCAGGTAATCCGTGGTAATCCGTGGTAATCCCATTTTCAGTTCCTGCTTTGCTATCTTCACCCGCGTCCAAACTAAGTGTCACGTTCTGAGGTCGAGTGGGCCGCTGGCAAGAGGCAGACATCAACCAAGCTAAGTACGACAAAAGTCAACGATGCCCAGCTGCAGTTTGTTCGCTCTCCGGGATGATTGCGCACCTGGAGTTTGAAGATTTTGAAGTGGCCGGCGAAGAAAATCACAAACGGGTTTGGCATTGACCACACGCCCATCATTTCACGAAAAACATGCCGAAGGACGAGATGTTTCTGCATGCGGAGTTCCAAGAGGCCGATGCCAATGTGTTGCGTGGGTTTTCTTTGCAGCTGAGGGTTTTCTCTGCTTTCCATGTCCCCGATTTGTGCAGGGAGTGTCCCATGAGTTCTCCGCGCGGAAGTTGCCGTGGACTGCAACGCCAGCAGATGTGGCAGCAGAGACGCGCTTCGTGATTGTGCTGTTGCTCTGCAGCAATTCTGTTGTCGAGCTCAAACCAGGGATGACCGGCGGCGAAGCAAACTTCCCCTGGCTTCCAACGCCAAGGTTGTCCTCGTTTACATCCAAAGAGAGAGGCAGCTCAGTGTTGGGAAGGCCCCTCCGACTGCAGATGAATGATTACAGAGCCTTGCAAGAGGACAGGGAATCAAAAAACAATGAGTATTTTATGTATTTTCTATTACTGCCTTGACTGGACTTACCGTGGGACGGCCTCTCAACTTTGCACCATACAATACCCCACAGAATTTCAGAGAACAGACCTATAGCCTACAAGGCCTACAACTGATACCATATGAACATTTATTGTCATTTGCTGCTTTGCATGGATGAAGTTCAGGTTGGAGAGTCGCTTGCAGAGCTGCAGCACACAGTTGCGATGCAGTGGCTGTTGCACCACCATGAACCTTGGCATCCCAACAGCCACCGGAAGATCTTTGAACCGCCTACTGCAACGACATGCAAATCAGTACTATGTCGAACTATTTTTTAAAGAATACTTGGACATATCACACATATCAAATCTCATATATGTCTCATCATATCTGGATATTGAGGTTTGGCAGCTATTGCCAATTCCCCTTAGGTTTTTGCGTTTAACACTACCGCCTGGATTTTGCAGGATTCCCTTGGTCCTGGGTGGTGGTGCAGCAGGGCTCCGCCTGGCCACCCACCTCCGAGATGCTTTGTCCACCCGATCTTCGTGGTGGATGCCGTTCTACCAAGCAGACGCATCCACTGCAGACACCAAGGCGGAGGTCACCCGATTGATGGAACGCATCACTGAGGCCATGGCGGCCGTCGCATGGGATTGGAAGCTGAAGTCGTGAACCGGTCTGTAACTTCGGAAAGTGGGATAAATCAAAGCTCCATGCAAGCACTCGTGTTTGGTACCAACATGTGCCAACATCCAATCTTCCGATGTAGGTGTTTGAAAAGCCCATTTTCGATTTGCAGCCATTGCCATTGGGTGAAATTTGAAACGTCAGCTCTGGAAGGATTTGGGCGGATGGTTGAAGAGCTGGGACGAGATTGAGGCGCCAGTGCCATGCAGCGGGCATCAGTTAGAGTGCAGCTGAGGTATTGGAGGAGCATTGATACCATCTTGATCAATACGCGAAACTAGGACAGCTATTCGATTTCAGAAGTATGTCATGGATACGCGGAGGGTACCTATATAATGATTACAGAGGTCGTGCATACTGCAGAATCTGCTAATTTAATAATGGTTATATAAGTTATAAGTTATATTTATGTAGATTTGGATTAGAACGTGGATGATGTGGATGTTTCTCATTGCCAATCGGGCCTTCAGGGCACCGCGCTAGTCTCCCTGTCCCTGGGCAGCACCGCCGCCAGCGTCAGCTGCGGCTTCCTGGAAAGCCCCACTGGGCCAGCCTCGTGGAAGGTGACGCTGCACTCTCCCGGGGAGGTGCCATCATGATGATCAGAGTTGCGATCTTGTTGGGATCGATTTCAGACCATTCTATTTGATCTATTTGATCTATCAATCACTCACTCACTCAATCACATCTATCTAATCTATCTAATCTATCTAATCTATCTAATCTATCTGCTGTTTGTCGCCTTCAGATTGTCATCTTTGAAGGGTTGGCATTTGAATTCACATTGTGAGGCTTCAGAGGCGCGCGGACAGTGCATCTTGTACAAGGGCGAGTGACTCGAATGAACTCTGCCGCGTTGCACCGCCACGCTGCGCTTCCATGCGGCCCGGCTGAGGCTTCCCCGGAGAGACATCTGGGTGGATGACGACGAGTATCGCCTCGTCACCTGCGAGCCACCGGCCATCAGTTGCTGGGCATGGAAACGACGAGTATCACCTGGTCCCGGTTTGTCAGTTCCAACTTCTTGGATCCCGGTTTCCCATGACACTAGATTTATCATCACTGATTAAGCCCCCATTGGCAATGCCCATTGGGCTTCAAGAAACTGCAGTCCCTCTGAATCAAGATTCAACATATTGATGCACTGTGAGGTCTTACAACAGGGACCATCGACCACTGGAGACGGGCGCTAGAGATTTCTCTGGCGCTGGACCGCTCCCTGCGGCTTTTGGTGGACGGGGGAGATCTGCAAAAGCTCGAGGTCTGTGTTGCTACATTGTTGCTACCACATCAAAACACAGAGGAGAACAAACACATGCAACAAAATGCAACAACATTTAGACAAGATGAAGATGGTGCTTTGCTTCTCTGTTTCAATAGGTGGAACGTTAAATCGGTATAACTAGATATAGATATATAAATATACAGATATAAAATCACACACACACATATATATATATATAAATAACTAGATTAAATTCACGTGGTGGGAGGCGTTTGTCCAGGAGAAATTGGCTCAGCAGCTGCGTGCCACATCCTTAGCCTCCCTGGATGGTGGACAGATCTCCGACTGGGTGACGAAGCTTCGGACCATGGCTGAAGCGCTGACGCCGCCCAGGCCGGGTGACATGTGATGATGGTGATCCAAAGCTGTTCCCTCTGGTAATTTGTTACATAGCTGGAAAATCACAATTTTGAATGGGAGAATCAGACTATTTCTATGGCCATTTTCAATAGCTATGTTAGTTTTCCGGAGGGTACCTGTTGAAACTGTTTGTTTCCGTCACCAGATTTATCAACCTTTGGATGGAGATTTGGATGGAGAATCATCCAGAGGAAAAGATGGACACGGTGACCTCTTGCTGCACAGGCCAGACAAGAACACGCTTCAAGCCTTAAGCAGGCCGGGAGTGCAGCTCGTTGAATCAAAGCAGGGCTGTGAGGTTCGCTGGCATTGCCTACCGCACTAACCAGTCATAACTCATAACCAGTCCCTTTTGCATTTTTGGACGACGAGCCAACGATTTCACGTCGTGATAGGTTGCCGCCTTCTGAGTGCGCAGCCATGGCCACGCGGCTCCGAGGCTTGAGTGGTGGCCTGCAACGTCATGGCCCCAAAGACTGGCGACGATTGACTGGCGCCATGGACACTGCTGGAACTGAGGCACTGCCAACGCCATCAAGGATGCTGCTGAGCTACATCATGCGGCAGAGCAGGCTTGGACAGCATTTACAAAGTTAACAAATCACATGGAACATCATAGAACATTGTGGACATCATGAAACATCATGAAAAAGGTCCTTGACAGATGTTTTTTGGTTGAACATAGATTTTGTTTTGTCATGTTTTGTCATTTTGTCCGCAATGTCAATAATCATTTTTTTGGTCAGTGTGCCCCCAACTGTCCAGTGGGCCAGGAACCCTCCAGCGCCGCCTGGCTGCGCCGTGCCTCGCAGATGAAGTACGGTGTAAAGGCGCCTGAAAGAACGCAGTGGTTCCAGGGCTAGGCTGAAGTTCCTCGACGCTTGGCAAATGACATAGAAATACATAGAGCATATAGATGCATATAGATGATTTAGATGGAGATCGTGTAAATCATTGTGAATCCTGATGGCTTCAGGGATAATAAGGAGATCTTCCTTGGCAGGTGCTTCAGAGGGCCAAGAAGAACTTGGAAGCTGGCGAGGATCAGGATGGCTTGGCAATTGTGGACATTTGGAGTTGTTCCTGGGAGCACAATGTACAAAACTAATCAAGACAACTAACTAACAAATACGGATGCATTCTTCCCACAAACCGTGTTTACTTGTGCCATATGCCGTTCATTTTGGACTGGCGCTGCCGCGGCTGCAGGACCTTTGGTTGAAGCAATTGGACACCCTGACAGCCCTGCAGCTGCCTGTGATTGAGCAAGAACTACCGTCCCTTTGACCCAAGTTCATCCAATTTCAGGTGTCAGACTGACCGGTTTCCCATCACTTTCCGCGGGGATCTGGCTGAGGTCATCCATGGTCACAGGCTGCACCATGCTGCAACAGCAGCAAGAGTTGCAACGCCGTGCGCCAGAGCTCAGGAGTGGCAACAAAGCTGCACCGATGGATGAAATATGTAATCCCTTTTTGTAACATGAAGTGCCTCCCAAAGGATGAGGATCCAATTCTTAAGCCAGGGTTTATTTATCTACATATTAATATATGTAATATATATTATGTATATATATACACATACACCTATGTGCACATATGATGATATAGGATTCTTTACTTCAACACATCCAAGCCATTGATTTTTCAGGAAAATATGTCAATCACATCGACAGGATATCTAATAGGAATAGAGGATCGGACAATTTATGGATGTCCCAGTCTCTCAACTCCAATAATCCCAGAATATGATCATCCACGAACACAACATACATATATGTGAAATATAAACATATCGTTTCATAATGTTTCATACATACGTCCTAGAGACATACGTATGTATAAACATCTCTTACATATGGAATCACATGTAGGTTATGTAGATGATGTGGATATATAATGTATGACATATGATATCATACACTATCTATTCTATATATCAGTTTTTTTAAACAAAACTGGATATACATATGTGATATGGCTAAATATCATAGTCTATATGGATATCCCATACACTATATATGATACCCTCTGGTTATTTAACATAGCCATGGTATATATGGCCCATAGAAATAGATGGTTTACCTATTAAAAACGGTGATTTTCCATGGCTATGTTATATAAATAACCAGATGATATATGATACTCATAAGATAATATATCATGTTATATACTATATATGATATATGATAATTCCTTATATTTTTCCATATATTGGGAAGAATATTATTTTTCAGAGGGTTGAAACCACCAACCAGCTATATATATTGTGTGTGTGATATGGCTAAATATCATAGACTATATGGATATCCCATACACTATCTGGTTGGTGGTTTGGAACATTTGATATTTTTCCATATATTGGGAAGAATAATCCCAACTGACTAATATTTTTCAGAGGGTTGAAACTGTTAAAACCACCAACCAGCTATATATGATATATATGATATATGATTCCCATGGCTGCGGTGCCAGGAAGCTCCGGCCTTCGGAGGCACTCTACGCCTGCGGCGCCCTTGGGGTGGCGCTGCGCTGCCGCCGCTCCGACGCCGCGGAGGTGGAGCCCTGGCGACTTGGAGAAATCGCGGTGATCTAGGGGGATCCAACAGGGAAATCAGGGGAAAAACATGTGGAAATCCATGGTAATCACCATTTTTCATAGGTAAATCACCATTTCTAATAGGACAATTCCCATAGGAATATTGGATGTATCTATCATATATGGCCTATTTTTTAGGCCTATTTTTAGGGAATATCCCTACAAAATAAGGCCAAAAATATGGTACTAACGTACCTCCATCTGTTGGATCCTGAAATTCCCATAGAAATCTTGGAAATTCCAGCCAGAAATCATGCAATGTCTGGTGAAATGCTGCAAAATACAGAGCCAAACAACATGATAAAAAATGCAACAGCAACTGTTGAACTAATAAAGCAAAAGAATCAGCTTGATAAGTTCTTGCAGAAGGCTTTCAAGTTGTTGCAGTGGTGCTGCTCCAGTGCTGCTCCAGTGCACTTGGCAATATAGAGGCAGACCTACTGATGGTATTACCGGCAAGGCTGCTGGAAGAAAAGACTTCTAACGCCAAACTGTCTAACATGAAATCATCATATCCAGCACCTACAAGTAGAAGTTTGCGCGAAATCAGGAATAGGATACCTTGTAGTTCCTCGCTGCCCTGGCATTGACACAATGACCCTGCCAAGGCTTCTGGTGGTTGAGCATGTGTGGACCTGAGACCGCATCAGCTCAGATCCAATCAACCTAAGTGCATATTTCAACATATTTCAACATTTGCCCAGTCTCAACCCTGAATTCTTTGGGACACTTTCTGAGCCATGGAATTCTGGATGGCCCATATGGCCCGGCAGGTCTCTCTATCCTGGGTGGACACTGCCAGTGCAGCGCTGACGCTGGACTCCGGCTATCACTTGCGTGACGATGCGGGCGAGGCCAAGGAACCAGGATTGAATTGGCTATGGATCAATACCTATTAATACCATTTTTAGTGGGATGAACATCCATAAATCCCAGCTATGACTTGGGGTTCACTAGGTACCAGGGTTTTGACCCATCCCCAATTGTGTTTTTTTGGTTTTTGGGTGGCTTGGTGCACTGGTGAGCCAACCAGCTGGAAAGCCGCAGATTCCACCTGGAGGTCGCACCAGATGTGGCAGTGCTGGCCTGTGAGCCGCGGGATGCCTGGCGGAGAGAGGGGTCCTGGTAGGTCCTGGCCTGCGAATTTCATGGTTCTCAGAAAAGCAATCCGCATCATCGAGTAACAGAGCTATTTACAAGTTTGATGGTTCAATCATGTTCAATCATCTTCAATCAATCTTTCTGGAACTGACCCTGGTGTTGCCACCACGTCGCTTTGCTTAGCCGTGCTTCGAACTGAGGAGTTTTACCACTGGCTCCTTGCCTGAGTTCAGTGTTGCCCTTCAATTTTACCTGAATGTGCCGATCCTTCAGTTTTCAGTGACTTCTTAACGTCATGACAATCATCACATGGTCCACCATTTGCAGAACTCCTAGCTAGTTCCTTAAGTTCCCGGCTGTCAAAGTTTGTCAAAGTTGTATGGTTTCCGAGGTTTGTGACATCTGAGATGTACAAGAGCCCCTTGGTTTCCAAGTTTCAATTGGCAGCGATGCCAACCTTTGGCCAAGCGGCCAACCGGCCTTGGCGCCAAGGTTATTTGGCCATGGTCTTCACGCGCAATCCTTTGGGTCAAGTACCAGGCAGGGATGAAACCCAGCTCCAAAATGAAATGACACATTTTAGGTCATTTTAGGTCATTCAAATCTAAATGATGCAGAATTTTGCCTGGGATTTTTGGGTTTTGCCGGAGATTTTTCCATCCAAAAAAGTAGGGGATGCACCAGGTCAACCCTACGCGCTGCCAGTGATTCTTTGGGTCAAGACGGCGGAGCTGTTGATTGGTCGAGCTCCGCGAGATGCAGCTGTGATGCCCAAGGAGGACACATTGGATGCCACTGGATGTTGGGATTTTTGGGACCAGATATGCATGTTGATGACATATGATTGCTCCCACACTCTTACTGTATCTTACTGTAATATTTGTCGAATTTTGTTGATATCATTATCCCTCAATCGGGTGTTCGTCTTCTGGGGGATGGGCATCGATTTGGCCCTGTGCAGGAAGCCGATTGGTTTCGCCACATGCTGCGAATACATCTGATGGCAATGCATACAGTGAAGCAGCTGACACAGGATAGAGGCAGCTGCAGCTGTCCAAATTTTAGTGAATTTGTTTGTTGGTTCTTTGACGGTCTCTCAGCACCATCGATCTCCTATCATTGTTCGGCTCAACAGGATAACCAACCCTTTTCAGCTTTGATTCCCCTATTTAAATTGCCCATGTGTATCTGGTGCAAAACTCACATTCGCAAGGCATACACGTCGATCCATTCCGAAGTTCAGGCTCCATGGAGCAGCTAGCTGAAGCACTCGGCAGCCCTGAACCAGCGGCCGCGCTCACGGAAGCTGAAGGACAGCCCTATGGGCCTATGGACATTAGATTCGTCACACACTTGAGAAATTCAAAAAGTCAAACCAAACCTCGGAATTGCTGTATATATTGTATATCCAACTTTGGTTTCCTCGCCTTGCAAGTCATCGCAACTTTGCAACTGTTCTCACCGGAGCCACCGAGCCAAGTACTCGTTAGGGTGGCACTGGTTGCACGGTTCATTTAAAGGGTACATCTCAGAAGATCACCAGCAGCGTTTATCTGAACAAACGAGAAATGTACCATCTGGTTATTTAACAGCTCGCCATGGAAAGATCCACCATTTTTAAGAACGGTGAACGGTGAACCATCTATTTTTATGGGCCATCTACACCATGGCTATGTAACAAATAACCAGAGGGTAAAGGATACCATTTCATTGGAGATGTCATGAACAGCAACGGTATCCGTTTTGGTATCTGAAATTGTGGTCAAGTCTTGAAGCAAGGAGGGCCCCAGTCTGTGTGTTTGGCACTGGCAGCCTGTTGCTTTGCCAAGAACGCCCTGCCGACGTTCTGGGGGAGCCGTGGCCTAGAGATCCTCGACTGAAGTGCATCAGGGTGATGTCAATGTTGCCTGAATGTTTTCCATCACTGTCATTGTCAATCATTGCCCTTCATTTCCACCACAGTTTTTTCAGTTTCCGCTACCATCACGAATGATATCACCGATTTGATTTCCATCTGCGTTCCCAACATCACAAATCATGTCGACACGCACAGTGAGCAGAGGCCCTACTAAATGGAATCCTTTGGGATCCTTTGCAAAATGAGACCTGAATAAAAACATGTATAAACCTGAATAAGACACGTATAAACCTGAATAAAACATGTATATTAACACCGTTAACACCGTTAAGACATTTTGAGACATGCCAATGACTGAAGCCCAAGGCGCGCCAATTCCAGAACTCTGCAGCGCGCCCTGGTGATGAAGCAGTGGATGTCTCCAACCAATGGAGGGTATCGAAGGTATCCTGGAGACAGGGGACTTGAGTAGATTTCGAAAAAAACTTGGCCCCCTAGAAACATGGATGGTTTGGCAAAACTCACAACTTTGACCAATCCCCAGGTGCAAACTCCAAAAGCCTCGGCAGACAGAGAACCGCTGAGATCGAGGTGGGCGAATGGTGTGACAGCTTTTTTGCAGATTTGTTGGTCATCTCATCCTATCCTCTTGCATCGTTTTGAAGGTCAGAGTTCAATACAGTTGGAGGATGTTGGTTTGTGCTCATGGATGTATTTATGTATTTTATCATATTTTATCATATTTTATCATATTTTATCATACCTTATCATATTTTATCATATTTTATGATATTTTATCATATTTTATCATATTTTATCATATTTTATCATATTTTATCATATTTTATCATATTTTATCATATTTCATCAATGTTCATCACTTTTGATGTCGCCTAGGACGCGGCCAATTGGCCACGCCGCTTGCGTCGCTTGGCCCTGGCGATGATGGCAGAGGCCATGCTATGGAATCCCCAGGTGGTTACTAATTACTAATTGTTTTAAACATGCTAAAGGCAGGTAAAAGATGGTAAAAGCCATTAAAATCCAGTAATGTCTCTTGAGATATCTTGAGGTTTCCAAATGCAGTTGCCCTCGAGTCAACGTACCATCTCACCCATTCTCACCCAATTCAGGTGAATCATGGTGAATCAAGTTTCCAATTTTCAGGATTTCGGGATGATTCAGCATGCTTTCCAGGCAGTTTCCCGGGCTTGCCGACGGCTGGTGCGGTCTCTTTGCGCCTTGCTTTGGGAGATGTATTTAATTTTATTCAATGACATTCCTGAACAGCCAAGTAGCGTGGAGATTTTGCACCGACATGTGAAATTCCCACCTTGGTAGACGAAGCTGACATTTGTCAGCTACCAAGCATCAAGATGGCCTCAATTTCGCCCCAAACATCATTGCCACGTCATGATTGGGACAGTATGGCCATGTCCAACATGTCCAAGGTACTCCTGAGACTGAAGCCGACGTCCTGAAGAAGTTGCTGTGGAATGCCTTAGGCCTGACTCGCATTGTTTGCAAAGTTGACGCCGAAGTAGGACACGGCACAATGCCATCGAAACCTAAAGACTATGAGGAGCGTCTGCAGATTCCATTGCCACTTCGTTACATCACTTCAATACCTTCAATACCTTCAATATCTTCAATATCTTCAATATCTTCAATACCTTCAATATCTTCAATATCTTCAATATCTTCAATACCTTCAATATCTTCAATATCTTCAATATCTTCAATACCTTCAATATCTTCAATATCTTCAATATCTTCAACAGGCGTTAGTATTCTGCAGGGTCGTTGGAGCTGGTTTTCAGCCCAGGAAACCCACTGAGGTGTCGAGGAGTCCTCCATTGCCCAAGTGACACCTCCTGGAGCATCGGAGCCTCCAGAGCTGGCGAAGCCGGAAGGGCACTCCGATGACTGTGACGTTGCGCACGTCCAACGGCGCTCAGCGTTGCTGTTTGCACCGCAGGGGAAGTACTTCCAGGTACTATGACGGCATCAGGAAGAATATCCTCATATAATCTCATATATATATAGGGATACCAATATATATCCCATATATGATGATATATACCCTAAGCATATTTCTTGATTGCCCACTGTTGTGTAACATTGTGTAACATATCTCGCATCATCTTGAAGCATTCCAAAGTATCGATCCTGTAGCAAGATCCTTGCAGCCCCTGGTTTGCAGGTGGCTTTGACTAATTGCACACCGCAAGGGGTGGCCGCTTGCCTGGTACTCGTACGTATGTTACACTGCAGTGAAACTTTCTCACAATTCCATGTAGAAGCTGATAAAGCCGCACAGTCACTCAACAGTAACCATTGATTCACATGGGTCACATCGATCTCCCGCCATTTTTCATTGATTTTGTAGGTATTTGTGGGATTTTGTGGGCATTGTCCACTGTGTGTATGGTTCCATCTCTGGGATTTTCATGGATTTTCACCTTCAAACCATTCAGAACCTTTCGGGATCTCCCAGCTTCTCAACGGTCTTCCCAGAATCTTCCCAGGTTGGCACATTGATGATCCGCATGGCCTTGCTACAAGGGAAACTGGATCCAACCGATGACACCGTGGAGAAGCTCATGCAGCAGTTCCTCGTCAACTCGGAGATGACCCACGGAGTGGGGTCGACTGGTTGTTGTTTCATATTCTTTGATAATTTTAATGTTGTTTGATGGGAGGTCGATGCTCTGGGATTTCAGATGATAGTCAGGCGTGATTTCTCATGATATACCGTATACCCGAAAAAAAGCTGGATAATGTGGGGTGTTTGTGACAGTATCTCAACCTTAGAGACGGGTTTTGCTTGAGGTTGTGGCAGCGAGAGATCTCAATGAAGGCTTTGGGGCCAGAAGTGCCACTGTGATCTTGTCGTTTCAAGGTGTGTTTCTGTCACATGCTACATGTGCATACATGTGCTATATTTTCCTGCCCACAAAACCCCGTAAATATGTCAGGTCCAGGCATGTCAGTCTAAAACGGCCTTCGTCCGGCAGCAGTAGATGCTAATAGACATTCGGTACAAGAGCGGCACAACTTATAAACGCACATGGACAACTTGTTTCAATATGTTTCAATCGGATAGTCGGAATATGTCGGAATGTTTCACATGTTATTTCCAGAACCGTTCCGTGGCATCAGCGGAGGCCTTCGTAGAAGCGGTTCTGCCTGGCGACGTGTCTCCCGGGGCCGTCCAGGCGGCTCTGTATGTGCAAGGCCTTCGCTACCACAGTGCCTCTGACGAACCCAAAAAAGTCGGCAGTGTGGAGATGGGGACAGAGACATACAGAATGGTACTGATCTTTTGCGGATGGGAATGTTCGCTCGAGACAGCCTGCACCAACATTTAAAATCGGAGGGCTATGTTTTTGAGTCTTTTTCCCGTTTTATGATTTTGTTGATTTCTGTTTTCCTGCTTCGTTGCTTTTCCGCTTATTTACTTTTTGCTTTCTGCTTTTCCCTGCTGCTCTGCTTTGATGTTTCCTTGCTTCTTCGCTTCTCTGCTTCTCCACTTTTCTGCTTCTTTGCTTCTTCGCCTCTCTGCTTCTCCACTTTTCCGCTTCTGTGCTTCTTCGCTTCTCTGCTTCTCCACTGTTCTGCTTCTGCTTTTTGCCTGCTTCTCTGCTTCTTCGCTTCTTGAACCCAAACCAACTCTAAAACCAACCCGAAATAAACCCTAAAACAACCATAAACCAAGGTTAAGTGAACCCTAGTCGCAGAATACCATGCAACATGAAAAGTCTATGCCCCAAACTCTTTTGGGATCATTGTTGGGAACCTCATTTTTGGTGTGCATTACAGTACTTTGTGGCCTTCCACTATGTTGAGATGATTTGACTTGATGTCCCTCACGTCGCTTCGTGAGGGACGTGATTGATCATCCTTTGCGGGGATTCGGCTGTACCCCTCTCGCTGTTTTCAACACTTTTTGCATAAACCCTAAAGAAAACCTAGAAAAATACTAAAGAAACCCTACATGAACCCTAAAGAAACCCTGAACAAAAACATATGTAAGTGTAATAAAGTGTATCTAGCGAAGTACCTGTGGGGCGTAGCGTAGTACGTGCTGCGGGAAAAGTTTGAGCACCAAATTGTTGCAAATCCAAGTGAAATGGCAGCTTCCAGCGCCAAAATGCTGCAAATGGCAAGGAACACGGGCAGAAAAAAAAGATTCAAAAAAAAGCAAGACAGAACAACATAATTCTCGAATTCTGGACCCTTTAATATTTAAAGATCCTGGGTTTATCAACGTTCTCGAGGTTTGGCCATCTCAAAAGATGTGTAAGAAGTTCTAGAGCGATAAAGGCCTGCACCGGGACTATGACAATGCGATGCTTATGTGTAACTCGTGCCTAGGTCACATGCCCTAGCATGCCGTGGCATTTTTGGTGCCGGTGTATGTTTGAATGAACACTTTTCAAATGGAGAGAAAGGCAATGTGAAGATTATGAATATATATATATATAACATTATATCACACATTCAACGTTCACCAGGTGCAAAGCAACGCCGTGGTGGCCTGGCTCCTCTGTCAGCACCGGAACAGATCTTGCGCAGCCTGGCTCGTGAGCAACGACATTTGGCCTATTTGGAGCGATGGATTTGGGGGCGACCGACTGGGCAAAATTCCCGGCCCCTCATATGTCATACCCATGAATACCCTCAGTAAGGGACCCCAAAATTGACTCCACCAGGATATCTTTTGAGAGTATTCAACTTTAATATTTTCGACATGAGAGTAGAGTACCAAAGTTCTCTTTCTGCATGATATGGCGGAAAAAAGCAGGCGATGTCACCCCTTACCCCTCTTTGCAGGAGCAGCTGCGTGCGAAGCTGCAAAGCCAAAGCAGTGGCGCAAGACACGCAGCACGTTCTGCTCAGAGGCGCCATCGCAACCACAGCAGTTGGTCCAAGGCTGATCTGGGTTGAAAACCAATTATTGTAAGGATAGAGTTCATCCCGCCGGTTCGATGCATATCGATGCATGGTTGTTATCATTTTGAACAGCTTTATGAAAATCCAATCAGCCTTATATCTTATGACTAACCACCAATCTGGCTCAACACCCCAGGCAACTTGTGCTTTCCAGCTTTGGTCCAACGCATGCGGGTTTGCCACGGCTCTTCAATCACAAGGTGTGGGACCTACTACGGCTTGAGATGGCGTTGTTTTTACTGGTTCTCTCCCTCCAGTCACATTTGACACTAATGGCTATCCATGGCTAAACCTGTTTGAACATGCTTGGACTACGTGTCTCATCGTATCTCCACATCACAAAACACCAAGTTGACAGCCTGCTGCATGCCTTGAGAGCTTGGATGTTGTTCGATAAATGCTGCTAGGACGTGTCTGATTTGAATGCACTGCGGCCTGCCACGGAGCCTTGGCCCTCGAGAACTACTTATTTTCTTTGATGTTTTTGTAGGGAGAATATGGGAGAATATTCTTGCTGGGTTTACCCGAGGTTTTGAGATGTCACTTGAGGAAAAGGATGAGTTGGTTGCCTTTTTGGCCAATCTGCGCGCTGAAATCATGATTTCACCACCTGAGGATCAGCTCGAGTTACTTCCCAATGGATTGCTGCGGCTTGGCACATCGCTTTCAGCAAAGCTTGCAGCTGCGGCAAGTTACCATCATTTGCACCTAAGACATCCTATAGATCTATCGCATTCTATCGCAACAAATTATGACATTCTGTTTGCCGATAGTTTCATGCTCTATGGCATGCTGTAGATCCAGACTGGGCCACGGGCTTGGAACCGATATGAACCGATGAAAGACGCTTGAAGTGCTTTGGCGGACCAGGAAGCATCACTGCTGCTTTCCATCGTGCCCGCAATATCTTCAAGACTTGCGGACAGAGAAGGATAAGTTGGCCGAGGTGTGATGTTCCGGCCGAAGGGGCTACACGGCTACACTAATGTAAGCACATTGAGGATTCATTGAATGCCACTTCTGGGACTATTTGGGATTTCTTCATAGGATCTGGCTTGGCGATTGGTCAGCTTGATGCGGCTGTGTAGTGATAACGCGTTCGGCTGACATGTTTCACGACCTTCCCAACCGTTGCCTTGCAGGTGTCGGAGCAAAGAGGTGACTTTGGCAGCACAATGCTGTTGAGAGTCGCCTGATCGTTTCTTTCCGCGCCAAGGACGGAACCTGGTGGTTGCGCAGCGGCGCCATGGCCTCTTCAAACATTTGGCTCCCATGACTTGGGTTGAAGCGGGCCAGGAGGCCAGGACCGTGAGTTTCTCCCTGTCCCAGATTTTACCGTGCCCCTTTGGGAATGTTCTCTCCCATAAAGCTTTGATACTTCAGAAGATAGGCTTTCTCCAATGATTGCTGGCGGTATTTTGCACATGGCCCGGCAGGACGGCTATGTGCCAATGCTTCATGCAGCGGCCCATGCGGCCTTGCAGAATCAGAAGGGAAAAAACCAGCAACACTTGTTACGAAGCATCAAAGAGCAGTTCCCCGGTCGCCATGGAATCACACATTCCAGCAAGTTCCATGGCCAATCTCAGGCCAATCTCGGCTCTCAGTCCTGGCAGGTTAGAGAAGAGACTCGAGAGACTCTCATCTTCAGGAGCTTCCGAGGTGGGATTTTTTCTGTGGTCCCTTGGGTCCATTGACAGCTGGCCACCTCTTGCTATGCTGCTGCGCCATACTAGTTGAGAACAAGTTGTAACATGTTGAAGTGACTATGACACGCGTTTAATGTCTTCGAGTTTAACGCCACTCGGCGCCTCATTGTTTCATCGCTTGGATGTGCAAGGAAAAGGAACTGCAGGGGCTTTGGAATCGGTGTATTGCCTTTGATGATGATGATGATGATGATGACTGTTAGTCACCCAGCATACTTGCATTATACACATGCATATGTATATTACACACACACACGCACACAGACATACTTTACCTATACACGCACACACACACACAGACACACACACACACATATACATACATACATTACATTACATTACGTTACGTTACGTTACGTTACATTACATTGCATTACACTACATTACATTACATTACATACATACACGCATACACGCATACGCGCATACGCGCATACACGCATACACATACACATGCACCTACAGATTGCTTGGCATCCTCCTTCAGTAGAGTCGCTTGGTGTGGGTTCATCATGTGTACATTGGAGCAGTAGATTGCCAGGTGCTTCGCAGCAAATGGCTGGAGGACATCTTGGAGAAACTGGCTATGGAGATGTGTCGGTGATGGTAATGAAAAGCACCCATCGTCGCCTCTCAAAACGAGATGGTGGGCCAATTGGGAGCCTGGGAGCCTTTGAACTTCCAGAAAATGGAGCTGCGCGGGGTGGAATTGAATACTTGCTTCAGGCTGAGCTAAAAAGTCATCAAAATAGGTTTGAACGTCACACGTTATCCTTTGTGTATCGCTATGCGTCTGTGAATATCGTGCTCTTAGGGTATGTTGAGAACTCACGTGGCCTGTTTCAAGTCATGCCATAGCATCCCATAGCATGCCATAGCATGCCCTAGCATGCCATAGCATGATGTTTCCCAGTTGTCAAAGCCTAGACAGGTGGCCCCTGCACAAACCCTACAGTGTTCCCAATTCGCAGGCCTTGACGTTGGACATGAACACCACCTTCATTTCAGCCGCCAGCGCCCTAGTGGCCCTAGTGGCCCTAGTGGCTCTAGTGGCCCTAGTGGCCCTAGTGGCCCTAGCCCTTGGCAATCCTCAGACGGTTTCAAGATCCAAGCATTCCGAGCCATGTTTCACATTGTTTCACCCAAGGCTGATCGCTTCAGCTTGAACCAGATCTTTGGACAGTTGCCAGCTCAGCGAAATCAGCAAATCGCTCTTGCATGTTGGATAAATCAGATCAATGATCAATGGCTTTTTGGATATCTTTTTTGGATGATGTTGTAACTGATTTTTCGAAAATGTGGGACGCGGGGGTTCAGCCATGACGTACACTGCCAGGCTCAGCGTGAATGGCGACCTCTACGTGGATCGCGTCGCAGAGGGGCCAAGATCTCAGAGCATGTTTCGTGCTCACCTCTGGAGAGATGGACGATTTTGACGTCTTGATATTTTTCCCCAAATGCGTCCACACTGAGGGGTTCTTACGGTAAGTGTAAAGACCAGTGCTTGATCAGGGTGCTCACTCTGGGCGCCGGCATTTTTCCTGTAAATTTCGGTATGAAGTGGCTCTTGTGAAATCTTGACATGCGTTTCGACCGCGCAGGCTCCCACAAAGTGTGGTCCTAGCTTCTGGGGCGCGGCATTTTTCCTGTAAATTTCCCTATATAAAGTGGCTCTTGTGAAATCTTGACATGCGTTTCGACCGCGCAGGCTCGCGCAAAGTGTGGTCCTAGCTTCTGGGGCGCGGCATTTTTCCTGTAAATTTCTCTATAAAGTGGCTCTTGTGAAATCTTGACATGCGTTTCGACCGCGCAGGCTCGCGCAAAGTGTGGTCCTAGCTTCTGGGGCGCGGCATTTTTCCTGTAAATTTCTCTATAAAGTGGCTCTTATGAAATCTTGACATGCGTTTCGACGGCACAGGCTCCCACAAAGTGTGGTCCTAGCTTCTGGGGCGCGGCATTTTTCCTGTAAATTTCTCTATAAAGTGGCTCTTATGAAATCTTGACATGCGTTTCGACGGCGCAGGCTCCCACAAAGTGTGGTCCTAGCTTCTGGGGCGCGGCATTTTTCCTGTAAATTTCTCTATAAAGTGGCTCTTATGAAATCTTGACATGCGTTTCGACGGCGCAGGCTCGCACAAAGTGTGGTCCTAGCTTCTGGGGCGCGGCATTTTTCCTGTAAATTTCTCTATAAAGTGGCTCTTATGAAATCTTGACATGCGTTTCGACGGCGCAGGCTCGCACAAAGTGTGGTCCTAGCTTCTGGGGCGCGGCATTTTTCCTGTAAATTTCTCTATAAAGTGGCTCTTATGAAATCTTGACATGCGTTTCGACGGCGCAGGCTCCCACAAAGTGTGGTCCTAGCTTCTGGGGCGCGGCATTTCTCCCGTCAATTTCGGTATAAAGCGGCTCTTGTGAAATCTTGACATGCGTTTCGACCGCGCAGGCTCGCGCAAAGTGTGGTCCTAGCTTCTGGGGCGCGGCATTTCTCCTGACAATTTCGGTATAAAGTCGCCCTTGTGAAATCTTGACATGCGTTTCGACCGCGCAGGCTCGCGCAAAGTGTGGTCCTGGCTTCTGGGGCGCGGCATTTTTCCTGTAAATTTCTGTATGAAGTGGCTCTTATGAAATCTTGACATGCGTTTCGACGGCACAGGCTCGCGCAAAGTGTGGTCCTAGCTTCTGGGGCGCGGCATTTTTCCTGTGAATTTCCGTATGAAGTGGCCCCTGTGAAATCTTGACATGCGCTTCGGCTGTGCGGGCTCGCACAAAGTGTGGTCCTAGCTTCTGGGGCGCGGCATTTTTCCTGTAGATTTCCGTATGAAGTGGCTATTGTGAAATCTTGACATGCGTTTCGACGGCGCAGGCTCCCACAAAGTGTGGTCCTAGCTTCTGGGGCGCGGCATTTTTCCTGTAAATTTCTCTATAAAGTGGCTCTTATGAAATCTTGACATGCGTTTCGACGGCGCAGGCTCGCGCAAAGTGTGGTCCTAGCTTCTGGGGCGCGGCATTTTTCCTGTAAATTTCTCTATAAAGTGGCTCTTATGAAATCTTGACATGCGTTTCGACGGCGCAGGCTCCCACAAAGTGTGGTCCTAGCTTCTGGGGCGCGGCATTTCTCCCGTCAATTTCGGTATAAAGCGGCTCTTGTGAAATCTTGACATGCGTTTCGACCGCGCAGGCTCGCGCAAAGTGTGGTCCTAGCTTCTGGGGCGCGGCATTTCTCCTGACAATTTCGGTATAAAGTGGCCCTTGTGAAATCTTGACATGCGTTTCGACCGCGCAGGCTCGCGCAAAGTGTGGTCCTGGCTTCTGGGGCGCGGCATTTTTCCTGTAAATTTCTGTATGAAGTGGCTCTTATGAAATCTTGACATGCGTTTCGACGGCGCAGGCTCGCGCAAAGTGTGGTCCTAGCTTCTGGGGCGCGGCATTTTTCCTGTGAATTTCCGTATGAAGTGGCCCCTGTGAAATCTTGACATGCGCTTCGGCTGTGCGGGATCGCACAAAGTGTGGTCCTAGCTTCTGGGGCGCGGCATTTTTCCTGTAGATTTCCGTATGAAGTGGCTATTGTGAAATCTTGACATGCGTTTCGACTGCGCATGCTCGCACAAAGAGTGGTCCTAGCTTCTGGGGCGCGGCATTTTTCCTGTAAATTTCCGTATGAAGTGGCTCTTATGAAATCTTGACATGCGTTTCGACCGCGCAGGCTCGCACAAAGTGTGGTCCTAGCTTCTGTGGGGCGCCGCAGTTTTCCTGTAAATTTCCCTATATAAAGTAAGTGGCTCTACTGACATGTTGAAGTGCATTGTGACTGCGGAGACTCGTGCAAAGTGTGGTCCTAGGTTCTGGGCCATCCTCCTCCTCCTCCTCCTCATCAACATCATCATCATCATCATCACATCATCATCATCATCATCATCATCATCATCACCATCGCCATCCCCCATCATCATCATCATCATCATGATCATCATCATCATCATGATCATCATCATCATCATCGTCATCATCATCATCATCATCATCATCCTCACCGTCATTATCATCACCATCGTCGTCATCATCATCATCACATCATCATCATCACCACCATCATCATCATCATCATCATCACATCATCATCATCGTCACATCACATTACTTCATCATCATCATCATCATCACCATCATCATCATCATCATTATCATGATGACGGTCATCCTCACCAGCATCGTCATTCTTATCCTCATTCTCCTCAACATCATCATCCTCACCATGCACATCCTCAACATCATCATCCTCAACATCATCATCCTCAACCTCATCATCCTCAACATCATTCTCCTGCACCTCATCATGCTCATCATGCTCCTCATCATCATCATCATCATCAGCATCATCATCATCATCATCATCATCATCCTCATCCTCACCATCAGCACCCTCAACATAATCATCCTCAACCCCATCATCCTCAACATCATCCTGCTGCACCTCATTTTCCTCAACATACCATCCTTACCACCAACATCCTCAACATCATCATCCTCAACTTCCTGCACCTCAACATCATCCTCCTGCACATTAACATCCTCATTAGCATTAACATCATCATCACCCTCATCAACATCATCATCATCATCGTCATCATCATCATTTTCATCATCATGAACAAGGTGATAATACATTATCTTCCTGCTCCCCCCAAACTGTTTGGGGTCTCTTGCCCGGACAATGATGTTTTGATTGAAACTTGGTCAAAGCGTCTCGCTCCAATGGTCATGTTTTCCACCCCTCTTGCGCTTAGGATAGAGGTCCATGAGGGTCAACGGCTCAGGACGATCATACAGTGCACAATGATAATTTGTTATACCTGGGACTGTGGCGTCGCAGATTTGCCTGCATGGAGGGCGCAGACCAAATTTGTTATACCTGAAGATTTGTAGCATTAGCGCAAAAATTGCTTCAGAATGTTGAATCAGAAGTGCTTTAAGTGCGGCAGCCTTTGGCTTCAAGGTAAGGTCAAAATTGTGCAGGCCAAAGCACGCTTCACATGTCGCAAATATTTTGACAAACCATTGGGATATTTCATCTTCCGGGCACCCTGGGGATAAAATTTTCTTTGCCACACACTTTGAGGCAAAGGCAGCGACAAGGAGTCGGGAACCTCATGACACGGACTGAGATCAAGCCGGGAATGGATGGAATATATGGAATGGATATGACGTTGCAAACCCACCAAATTACTGTAGGTCAAATTAGAAGATGTCGCATACAAAGAAAACAATCAAAAATTATTAAGTAATGAATTGTAAATCAGATGTGGCTCCAAAATCACAACCTGAACACGAGCGAACCCATGTCCATGATACCATGACCGAAGCATGTTGCTCACACGCAGTGTCTAATGAAGGAGATATGATGCACGGCAATCACCCCAACAAAATTAGACATAGAGGATCTTAGAGGATTTGGACAAAGGCTGAGGTACAGTCAGATGTTGCATCGGCATCATGTTGCATCTGGGGATGTCAAACTACCGTTGATCATCAGCAAGTCCCATCGGATCTGTGGCACCATTTGGCACCCCAGGTGGGTCCGAGAGATTCTGCGGGAGCACTTCCCTGGCAGGCCATGCCATGAAACTGGGTCCGGAACTGCAATCTCAGAGCTGGCGGATGTTGTGCAAGTTATACCTGGAAAGAGCCGATTTCATCGACTTCGTGAACATGTCTAAAGCCAAGCGATTGCCGCAAGATACCCTCTGGTTATGTCAAAATAGCTGCATAGCTATTGAACATGACCATTTATAGTGAGTTTTCCCATTGAAAATGGTGATTTTCCATAGTTATGTTAGGTTACCAGAGGGTAAAACATGATAAAACTAATGCCTCTTGAGATTGCGTGAGATGTTGCACTTGGAACATCTTGGAACGATGGTTCGGCGGTAAGGTACAGACGTCATCGTCATGCCTTTATGCAGAAGATTTTCAGTGAGGCATCGGGATCTCTCAAAATGTCAGTGTTGGACCGTTGGACCTGGTAAATGTTGGTCAACTTTCATCTACTTTCCAGGTTTGGACATGTTCGGCCATGTTCGGCTCAATTTTATGAGTTGCAACATATTGCAACGCAGGTTGATCAAGATGGCTCCAAGTCGGTGAGTCTGGAGGAAATCGTTGCTCGATCCTGCGACACGCGACATGCGAATTTCACCATGGCGTTTCACAGGCGTTTCCACCTTCCCAGGTTGTACTCTTGGGTCGTCGCGGCATCACGATCCTTGGTGAAATTGGGCCAAGCTGCTGCAAAGGTTTGGACACTATGTGTTCCTTGATGTTCCTTGTAGGTGCGCCAAAGACATACTATTGACATCTATTGATCTATTGTAACAACCATCGCAGTTTCAAAATCAGTGAAACATGAGACCCCTTAAAACACTGCCAGAGTCTGGACATGTCTGGACACTCCAAGTTGCAAAGCCCAAGACTTCAAGATGCTGTGAGACGTAGTGATCTAGTGTAAACATCTGTAAACATCTGTAAACATCTGTAAATCAGAATGGAGCCCAGTTCTGATCCCCGTTCTTTTGATGCCTCACCAAGACCTGTGCTGAGCTGCGTGGAGCGAATCTTTCGTGAAGTCACAGGCAGCGCAGCATAGCGCAGCATAGCGCAGCTGTGAGAAATGCAGATCTGGATTTTTGGAAAACCAGGCAGTTAGTAGCTGTTTTCACAGAAATGTCATGTCTTGGGTTACTTGGGTTTATTGATGATATTCATTTGATGTTAACTGAAGTTATTATGTTTGATGATTTCGTTTCTTATACATACCATTACATACCTTATACAGAACTTATCCGTACCGACACATATTCGAAAGCTACGAGAGAAATGCACACCTTGAGACTTGAGACTTCTGACTTTTGCAAGCTGTGGCAGGAGAGAGGACAGTGCGCGATCTCTCGTTTGACGAGTCCCTTGGCTACCCATTCAGAAGACGTTCCAAGCAGGGAAATTCTGCCAGAAAAGTCGCTGCTGATGATGATGTGATGTGTTCTGTGTCATTTTTCATCCTTTTTGAAATACTGTATTTTGAAATCGTGTTGCATCATGGTTTGTGCATCCAAACCATCCAGGTTTGTGCAGATCTACGACGTGGTTCAAGCTCGTGCAGGCTTTTCTGAACACGACTTGGCGAGGTACCACGGTACCACCTGTCTGAGGAATCGGTGGAATCGGTGGTAAAACATGGTAAGACATGGGAATAGTCTGGAATAGTGAATCGACTTATGGATGCTTCAAGTATCTTCAAGTATTTGCCATGTGCATCGTCAGCCGAAGTGTTCAGAATGGTGCACCTATATTTTGATATATTTTTTAGGCCAGTCTTCCTGCTTCCCGGATCTAGAGAGATCTAGTAAGTTCAAGGCAGATCACAACAGTTGACCATATGATGATGAAGTGCGGCAAAGTCTCCAAGTTTCATTATTTGTGGAGGTTCCTGAGGTTCCTAGTTTCATGCTGTAGAGCTTTTTTTCTGGCAGCTTCGGCTCAAGGCCGTTGCTTGATGTTCCAACCATGCCGTTTTAACCAGACGTTCATCTGTATTGCAGTATGGGAAGCTCCGCCTTGATTCAGCAAGCACATTCTTTAATTATCATCAGTTGTTGGCCAGTTTCATTTATAGGAAAGAATTGAGCAAGTTCAGCCCTGCCCAAATGCAGAGTCTCAAAATCTGGCATCGCTATTTGGATCCCGACCACATGCCGCGGTTCAGCACCTCTTTTCCTGATGAGGGAGAAAAAAAACAACCTCGATCCCAACAGATTTTTTGGATGAAGTGATGCACATCACTGGCGTAGGTCTGGGGATATTTTGCTATTATTTTTAATCAGTTTGATGATGTGATTGGTACATTGCTATTGCTGAGGCGACTGAGATATGAGATATGGAGACTCTGGGGCTCTCGACGGATGATACGATTTTCTTCTGGTGCGCTTGTGCACTGCTGCTGGTGAACTTGTTAGTTTACTGCCGCGAAGCTCCAGTACTCTGCAGGACTTGGTATGACTTGGCCGTGAAGAGTCTCAGGTGGAGAGACTGGTATCCCAACCGAGAGAAGGATCAGATCAGGGAGGCCTTCCTTCAAAGAGACTTGTGCCAGAAAGGTCATTTGGGCACGACGCCTCATGTCATATGCCCTTCCTCTCCCTGCTTGCGGCACATGTTCGGTTTTATGGAACATGTGGGCAGGGAATGCACAATGGATGTCTGTAGCAACCATTTGGTCACTTCTGTTGTTGCACGTTTCCTTCCTGATGGTTCACTTGGTGCCATCAGTGATAACAGCTTCTGTGTTGGACTTGATTTGCTTGGCCGCCCATGGTTTCTTGGCTTTCTTGGTATCTCCACTGGGAAGCCCCAACTTTAATGATGTGTTCATCTTGCAGTTGGTGGGCTTCATGGTGCTGCAGATCGTTTTCGTTGCCGTTGCCGCACGGTACACTGGAGTCCTCGTCAGCCACAGCTTAGTCGTTGGAGTGGTTCTGTGGCGTGTGTCCATGGAGACAGACTTTGCATCTGGGGAACCCGACACAGTTGCGAACTCCCGGACTTTGGTTTTCTGCAATATAGTCTGCACAGGCAAGACACACCTGGTGCACCCTTTATCTTTCGATGGTTTGAACATATTTGAAAGGGTTGGGATATGTGGGGATTCATGACAATCCTGATCAATCCTGATCAGTCGTGATCGTGACAGGTGCGGTGGTCGCAGTCCACAATATTGCGAACCAACTCATTCGTCACACCCTGGAGACAACGATGATGGCAAGCGATAGCAATCGGCATCTCAGTGCAGCTTCCGCACTGCTAGAGCTGACATGCGATGCGGTTTCCCGGCAGCTGCAGCCATTCTGGGATTCTGGGGGGAAGCGATGGCAGTTTTGGACATCCAGCTGCCAGGTGTTTTGAGACAGGGGCACCAGAGCATGCATAGCAGCATAGCATTGTCATTTGATGTCATTTGAAAGCGTTTCTATACTTGTGACACGAGTTGTATGTGACTAAAGGGATCTTGGGGGTAGATTGGTAGATGGTGGTTTCGCACTTTCCTTTAGGTCTGCGAGATTGACAGCGATTTGAAGCTCCAGTCACACTCGCAGAAGTTGGCAACCATGCTCTTGCGGTCTGGTACGAGTTTGGAGGGGCGGAAGCTGACAGATTTCATTGCCCCAGGCAGGTGTTTTTGAAGTCACCACTAGTGCACCAAGAAATACCGATTCGTCCATCATCACAAGAAAACGAAAGCTTTGCAACACAGGGCCTGAACTTGACCATGCTTGTGTCCCCTTGACCAACATCTTCGCATATTCTCACAGCAAATTATTTCATAGGGATGGATAGGGATTTGTATCGCTTGCATCTGTGCCTGTAGGTGAGGCTGAACGTGCCCAAGAAATTCTGATGTCTCGAATTCGGAGCGATCGTGCAGCCCATGCCTTTCATACCCACTTGGTTGATAGTTACTCCAGCAAGTTCCGCACCGAAGTTTTCCAGGTGAAGTATGCCATGATGGATGGCCGCGAGTGCCACCTCGTTGGCCTTCGGGATTTTACCGATTTGAAATCCTTAGCAGGTGAAAATGCTACAGATGCAATTCAGGATGAGTCTGAAATGGCTGAGGCCTCTGCCGAGGCCTCTGCCTCTGCCTCTGCCTCTGCACAGTCTGGAAGGGGATTCGATGCCTTCGATGCCTTCTCAGAGCCCAGCTACGAGCCACCCTCGGACGCCAGCGAGTCAGTCCTGAGCAACGAGAGCAACGCTACACTCGAGCGAACCGACCGTGAGAACGGAATTGTAGAGAAGAGATTGAAGTACTTTGGACCAAGTCATGGGCCTTGAGAGGGACATGAACTTAGGATTTTCTTTCAAGATGACCCCAAAAAGGAAGAAAAAACATGAAAGCATATGAAAGCCACATAAGCCCCAGCATCAACTCACCACCAGCATGAACCTGAGTGAATCAGGTATGCTCATAAGGATGCCTTTCTGGAGATTGATATGGAAGCTGAGATCGTCGAAGCTGCATCTGCTCCCTTTTGCAGCCTCGCTGGAAAACCCCTCAGCCAGAGTCTTTTGCACTGCATTAGAGCTAGGTAGAGCCGAATTTCGGGCAGTGGGCAATGTAGATATTCTGGTGAATATCACCAGATTGGGCTAGATATAGTTAGCTAAGCAATTGGTGGACCCTGATTAGCAGTTGTAGATAGTTGTAGATATGATATGATATGATGTGATGTGATATGATGTGATATGATGTGATATGATATGATGTGTAGATGTAAACTATACGAGATATGCTGCTCTCAGCTACATGACTGCTCCGCACAGGCTACAGATAGGCTCTGATTGTGAGCCAGTTTTGGCCACGCCTTAAAGATGCCTTTGCAGAAAAGAACCCAGTTCCAATTCACAACCGGCTCTTGGGCACCTGATCCTAAGATATTCTCGCGTAATATCATGTAAATATGTAATAGGTATGGTATATATATATATATATACATACATGTAATATACATATATATATATATTATAGTACTTATACAGTAATCAATTATAGCCTCCTTTGCACCTCGTTTTTATCATCTTGGCCACAAGGACGATCTCCCGTTCCCACCATTTCCCACTTCGCGAGGTTTCGCATCAGACTTCACCCGCGAGCTCCTTCATCGCTTGCGCAACCAGGATTTGATGACGCCGTTTCCCAAGGGCACCCCAAAGGGCACCAGTTTTCAGCGCATAAAAGTCTTGGATCCTCTGACTCATACTTTATTCAAACTATAGACATAGACTATAGACATCTATGGATATCTATGGGCTATATCCAGATTATTTCAGAGTTGATGATCTGATGTGTCTTTTCTGTTGGCGCCGCCACAAGTCGTTGTAGGGACTCACATCTCAGGTGAAGATGCGATCCAAAACGCCCAGCGATTTCAATTACCGGACCAGGTGGCGACATTTCATGCAATGCCGATCTATGTGGATCGGTCCATCGTCATGACGTCTGGTGTGATGAAAGTTTCTCTTACACGCTACGGCAGCCTCAACGTCATCATGTGCATCAACCATGCGGAAGTGCAGAGTTTCACAACGAAGACGTCTGAAAGGATGGACATGAGACCCAAGGGACCTTTGGCGCTGTAACCTTTTGAAACAATCCTCTCTCTCTCTCTGTGTATGTATATACGTATGTATATATATATATAACATATCACATTATAACACCATATGACAGCCTCTCCCATGGTCTCCCTGCATCTCCAGTTCTTTATACAGCCAACTGGTTGGCTGTATCTGTGGAACGCTGGAAAGATAGGCCACCATGGCCATGGACCGTTTTGAAGGGAAAAAAAAAGGCACAAGGTGGACTGAAATGTTGCACATGTCCTGAAAGAACACCCCGCTCCACGTGAAACTATGAAGCTTCAAGTCATTCAAGGCACTGCTCACACGGGGTCCATGTCCCATCGATGGCGATGGATGCCTATGGGGTATGTTGTTTTGGATTGTTTGGCCAGGTTGAGAAAGGTGTGGAGCCGCTATGACCAAGATGGAAATCAGGTTCTCTCCGTCCGAAGCCCGGAGCTGTATAGATTGCATAGAGTTGTCAGCTGTGAATTGGGCCTGTTGGCGCCTGTTGGTGTCATTAAGGCCGGTGGGGGTCATTCTGCACAGGTAAAGGGAACATTCACAGTGTAATGGTGAAGGAATGTCACCATACATAGCAACTGCGAGGACAGCTTGGTTTGCGATTTGCCACGTTCTAGGGACTTATGATCGCTGGGCTGCCTGATCCGCTGATCCGCTGATCCGCTGGGCTGATCCGCCGATCCGCTGGGCTGATCCGCTGATCCGCCGATCCGCTGGGCTGATCCGCTGATCCGCTGGGGTGATCCGCTGATCCGTTGATCCGCTGCGCTGATCCGCTGATCCGCTGATCCGCTGGGCTGATCCGCTGATCCGCTGATCCGCTGGGCTGATCCGCTGATCCGCTGATCCGCGGGCTGATCCGCCGATCCGCTGGCTGATCCGCTGATCCGCCGAGTGATCCGCTGAATGGCGGGTCTATACTCTTCTCCTCCGCGGATCCACGAATCCACCCACAGATCCGCCGGCTGATCCGCTATTATAGTCTAGCTGACTTCCTGATCCGCTGCCTGATCCGCGTATCCGTTGAGCCTTTGGCAGGCTGATCCGCGGATCCATGGTCTGTCTGTCCCCATGCATGAACCCGGACTTCTACATGTATAGAATAGTATATTCCAAATCTGCGCGCCTGAGGCACTGCGCAGAAGAAGAGGAACATCATCCGATCCTGCGCAGAAGACAGTAAACACGCATGAAGTAGAATGACCTGCGTGTGCATGGGGTTTGATATGCATGTGCGGAAGCATCTTTCCAAGGAAAAGGGCTTTCTGGCATTTCGGTCTGTTTCTTTACGCGCTCATGCTGGGGCTTCAGCCACCGTGGCATCTTGCTCAAATATATGGTCATTGTGAGACCAAGCCATTTCCTGCAAGAAGAAATTGAAACCAAAGCGGTTCATATGTTTTGTCTGACGTCGGTACGCTGAGAGCCAAGTGAAGGTAAACTCGCACACAGATGTGCGAATCTCTTGTAGCCGGTCAGCGTGACATGGCAAGTCAGGATGGCAAGTTTCGCGGCAAAATGCATCAACATGATTTCCCATGTGAAACGGGTCTATGGCAAAGCTCATCTGTGGCGGCGCAATCGAAGCTGCAGCAGTAGATGCCTGGGAATCACAGCAAGCTCATCCGAATATAACTTCAGAAGTTTCTCCAACCTCTGACTCTGACATGAAGAGAAACCGATTCATACCCTTTTCTTGGGAACAAACCACAGGACAGACCTACCCAAAGACAACGTTTAGCAAATGCCCAACCGGCCTCCTTCCTTTTCAAGCAATACTTGTACATATGGCAGCTGTCATCGTGAACCAAAAGAACAGCCTCAGGGACGACCGCCTTGGCCGCAGCCAAGCAGAAGTACCTCTGAGGCAGCGACTCGCTGCCATAAATCTCTTGCATCAGCACAATGATACCGGAAGAAAGGCAAACACATAGAACCCCTGCAGTTTTTGCGAGCAAGGCATCAGATCCAGCTTCTTTGTGGGTGGCGCAGGTGACTGCTTGCAAATCTTCTGGCGCGGACTCCGGAATGAGCAAAGTAGGCCAACTTTCTCCTTCTGCGGTCGGCCCTGTGGGCGCATGACTTTTCTTTCGTTGCTTTCGACGCGCTTGGCCAGCTTGGTTGAAATACTCATCCCGCAAAGCCTTCTGCACAGAACCTTCGGAGACCCATGCAGATCTTTTGTCGCCACATGTCTCGGACAGCAAAAGTTCAACACCATGATCGCTGCGCACGCGGTGCTTGACCACTGTCATGTCCTGCAAGACAAGGCGGGGCAAGTTTCGAGATTCTGCAGGCAACTGACAGAAACTGACATTCTGCGAATGCGGTTTGGGCGTTTCTGAAAACTTCCTTGCATGTTTGCATGATTCAACATGGCTCATACTGTTCGCATGACTGGTAGGAACTGCAAAGCGACTCAGGTGAGAACACAGGACATAAGTCTGTCTTTTTTATCTGGACTGTCTGGGCGGGTGTGTGGTGACTCATTCACTCGCGTTCGTTCTCTGCCGCTTTGCAGCAGGGGGCTTGGCAGCGGCCTGCTTGGGAGCAGCCTGCTTTGCCTTCTCCACTGCTTGCTTCATGGCATCTACCAGCTCACGAAGGCTGAGGCCGCACAATGTCATCAAGTTATTGTGGTACTCAACACGGAGGGTGGCATCTTCAGGGATTCTTGCGATCTGCAACTCATCTCCACTGAGCTCAAGGATTGGGCTTTCCTTGCTGGCGGTGGTCATCACGGCCATCCAGTTCACCCTGGGCAAGGCTTTGCGCCCCTTCTCTCGAGAACTTCGGAGTTTGTCACAAGCTTGCTTGCAGCTGATCTTGGGCGTCCCACGTAGCAAGGTCATCTTGACAATGTACCTGTCCGTCAAATGCTGGGCGTGCAAGCTCGGCTGAACTGAAGCACCACCGTCACCATAACCGAAATCCATCGATCGCACCTGCTCACTGGTGAGTGGCTGGGCGCCTGCTGCTGGCGGCAGCTCAGCTTCCGCTTGCGGAGGAGAAGGCGGGGCCACAGCTTCCTGGCCATCCTCGTCTTCAGGCGGCTCATCCATGTCCTCCTGGTCCTGTTCTATTTCCCATTGCTCTGGCTGCTCGAACTCTTGGTCTCCGTACGGCACTTCCAAAGCGGAGAAATCCACGGGCGCAGGCTGACGGGGTACTTCTACGCCAGGCTCTTCTCCCTCCTCACCCAAAGCAATGCCCTTGATTGCGTGGACCTGAGTACTGGTTGGCACGAAACTAGCGCCACAAACTAGGCTTATACACATGGAACCATGTTAACCTATCACAGAGAGTGGCATGCCGGCTTCAACTCACAGGTGCAAGTTCGAAACAACTGAGAAGCTGACAATTTTGATCAAAGCAAAAGCCATTTTCAAATGGTCTGCAGTGATACGCAGCGATCTTGCTTCCAGCTGCTCATGCGAATACAAGCCGGCAAAGATTTCAAAGGCCAGCAGACAGCCAGAGAGAACACCAATTTGCCAGGGCGCGGCTCCCATCCGAGCCCCTGACATTGTGTCTCCCTTCTCGCGTGCGACGTGACTCTGCACGTTGAGGCCTCCTTGAAATGATCTGTGCCATTGAGCTGCATCTTCAGAGAACTCCAAATTCATGTGGGGAGTGCCGAAATAGTCTGTCACTCTTTTGACTGCAGGAGCCAATTCAAACTCTGGAGGGATGGCGAAGGACCTTTTGGCCACGCGCCATTCAGGTACAAAACCTGTGGCTTCAGCTGCATCTCGGCGAAAGCGCAGCCTGCTCATAACGCCGTCTAGGAGTCTGACAGGGTAGCCTTCTTCAGAAGGGATGAAATCTGCTTTGAACTCTTGGGTTGCTGGCAGCCCTGGCGGGCTCTGGCCAGGCCAAGTGTCTTGCCATTCTGCCCGAGCCGCTTCAGTGGATTGGGCTTCTTTTGCTACTCCGAGCATGTCTGCGACATCCGGAGTCAATGGCACCCACAAATGAGGAGGAGCTCCTGCGACAGGAAGGGCAAAGATAGCATCGTATAATAGTGGGGCATTTTGGGGCAGCCAGGGTTTATTTGAATACGTGGACTGAAGAGAAACCTAGAACTTGAAGCCCCACCTCCAGGTAAAGGATAATCTTCTGGGAGATCTTCATGAGGCTGAATGGGGCGGCCAGTGCAAATGAAGAACCTTTCCTTTGTGGCCGCATGATGGCTGCCCGTTTCAGACCGTTCCATGGGCACGTAAGTGGCTGGATGCATGTTCCCCACAACACCGAGAGAGATGCCATTACCCGAGCTATCTCCGTAGCTTCCACTTGTCTTGGTTGCGCGGGCTGCAGAACCAAATTGCATAAGCTTGTTGAGCGCACTCTGGTGCGGGTTGACTTTGGCGTTGACTTTGGACGCTTTCCCACCCTCTTCCGACAGCAACCCAAACGCAGTGAGGAAGTCGTACGTTTCATCGAGGTTGCCAAGAACGCCAAACCATTGCCGACCTTGCCACTGTCCAGGCTCACCAGGAAGAGCAGCGGAATTCTTCACTTGCTTGAAGTCACTAGCACAGCGGTGGAACCACTCTTCAGGAGTAGCGCTTGCGATGGCTGCGGACAATACTGCGGCTTTTGGCCTGAAGCACATGCAAGGTAAGTCACGGAAAAATTGAAAACGTGTGACAGGAGCTAGTAACTTTGACAATGAGAACCTTTCATGGACACGAGACATTCGACGCCAGAAGAAAAGCAATATGCAGAAGCGGCCGCGCCTGCTCATCACTTGGCCCTGATGGTGAGGCTCCCGAAGCTGCTGTTCTGCTTCCACTTGGCGCTGGACAGCTTTGCTCACTCGATGTTGCACCACCTTGTCCAACTCTCGAGTAATGGAATCAGCAAAGCTGGTCACGCTACTCTTCCTGGTCTGCGAGTAGTTGACGTTGATGGTGAAGGCCACTAATGGACTAGGGCTCGTTGGAAAGATGGAAACCCGCGCTCCATTGGTGAGAGGACACATCAGCGACAACATGTTGAGGGCGTATGGGAACTCATGGTGCGCTGCCCGCACTGCCCAGGTCTGGCAGAACTGGTGTCCCAGCTGCGTCAGCAGCCGGGGTGGATCCCACAACTTATCCACAGTGTCCCACATGGATTTCACGGCTGTCAAGTATTGACGGTCGACTTCGCGACTCATTGTCTTGGAACGTACACTACACGACTAGTACCCAGAGCCCTTCCGCTGCGCCATTGCACAAACATTGCTCTTACAAGAAAAAGTTCTGATGCCTGGTTAGGTTACGAAAACGCTCACAAAAAAGCGAAGACTTGCTACAGAATGTTGCAATTTTTAGACATAGGCCGGCCGCAGAGCGACCGCTGCCCAGAACAACCTGTCCTTGATCACAGTCGCTCCATCAGAACCAATTGCCAGGTGGTGCGAGCACAAGCTTTTGCCCAAGACTGGTGTGCACGGGCATGTATGCCGCAGAGTTTGCCCTAGAGAAAGTGACTTCAAAGATCCTGCGAGCAGTGAGGCACACACGGCGCGTCTGTTTTTTGCATTCCCATCCATGACCAAAACATCGCAGCGCATCTTTGCGTTGCGGGCCCTGTCTACAGCTTCCCTTGTGAACTGCCGTTGGAAAACTGCCATAGCAGGTTCGAGCAGCTGTTCGATGTTTTGGCGAAGGTCGATGGAAAATGGTACTCCACAGGTAGAGGCCCGAAGCAAAAAGCGCCATTTAAACCAGCCTTCGCTGATCAAGAGGCGCAATCTTGCTGTTGGCAAAAGATGTTGCTGACCTTCTGCACAGGCATTCTCACGGACGACATCGCTCTCACTGATGAAACTTGCATGCTGCCTCACCAATCTTGAATGGAACTGTCGAAGCCATGCAGTGGAAAAGCCGAAGGAGGAAGTGAGCATAAAGCATTTCAGGTCATGCGGGAAGCCAGTAAAAACGTGTTTGCCTGACTCAACGCTGTAGTTGTGCCACAGTAGCACACTGCATCTTTGACAAGCTCTGTTTCTGCAACGAACTGGAACATGCTGTTTGCGGATGGGCCCTGTGGTGTGCAGAATCACAGCCGTGGTCTTCAAGGAGTCGCATCGGCTGAGCGCCGCGTTGCAGTTGGAACAATGGCGCTGCAAAGGAAGCAGCTGTTGCAGATCAGTTTCAGCGCCAAAAAGAGGCAGCCACCGGCCGATATCATCTTGCAACCGTTGAGCCACTCTGCGGCTAACTTCGGGAGGCACTTGCACTGCTGGATCCGCAGCTTCGAGAAGGGCAGTGAGGCATTCCAAGCTCTGCGCCATGGTCCATGTATGGCAGGAGTGGCGGCGGGCAATGACTTGAGAAGAAGTTGATCAGGTTATGGTTCAAAGTCGTGCCCATGAAGATGTAATAATTCTTTTTAAAGATTGCAGGGCTAAAGCCACATGTATGGCTTCCACGTCAAAATGGTCGATCCTAATGGCTGCGGAAAGCTTTGAAATCAAGTTGATTTTTGCGCATGGAGTCGCGCATGCGCGGGCAAGCGCAAAATGTCATAGATTGTTGTCTCAGCATCGTCGCGTCGGGTGCGATTTATTTGTGATCCTGCCTTTTGAGGCTGAATGCCCGACTGTGGGCCGGTAAGCTTATAGTGGTCGAGGTCAATGTGCAATGCCTGGCTAGATCAGTAAATCCTGTTGCAGTAGATTCCTCTGGGTTCTATTACTGTTCCGGGAATCCTGCCAGATTCTAGATCATTCGGCAGTATAGATATCATGCATCACGCATACAAATCCTGAATTTCCAATTTTCTGAAGTCGATCCCTTCGTATCATGCCTAGCCATGCTTCCAAGGCATGGAACCATCCTGGCAAAGAAACGGGCTGGCGTAATAGGAGGATGTATCCGCCAAGAGCCGAAAAGAGGTTCAGAGTATTATTTGTGTGGGTTGACTGAAGGGAGCTAGGGACAGCAGGTGACTAGCGAACAGGTGTTCTGCAATGATTGCGGTGAATGCGAAATTCGGCAATGGTGCATGCAACGTACTTAACTCACTTGGCAAACCCTGTCCTCTGCGACACCAAGTTCCTGAAGCGAGCGCGAAGAAGAAGAAGAAGAAGAAGCCTGGCTGGCGGGTCCGAATGACACGCCTATTATGGGACATGTTCGCTGTGGAAAAGACTTGCGATCTAACCTGCACTGACCCAGTCGTTGTGATTCTCTGATCCGCTGATCCGCCGGCGCGGCTGATCCGCCGAGTGATCCGCTGATCCGTTGATCCGCGGGCTCCGCTGATCCAAGGACTGATCCGCTGATCCGCTGATCCGCCGAGTGATCCGCTGATCCGTTGATCCGCTGGCTCCGCTGATTCATCCAAGGACTGATCCGCTGATCCGCTGATCCGCCGAGTGATCCGCTGATCTGTAGATCCGCGGGCTCCGCGATCCGCGGGCTCCGCTGATCCAATAATGACTGATCCGCGGATGCGCTGATCCGCTGGGCTGATCCGCTGATCCGCCGATCCGCGGGCTGATCCGCTGCTCCGCGGGCTCCCTCATCCACTGATCCGCTGATCCGCTGGGCTGATCCGCTGATCCGCTGATCCGCTGGCTGATCCGCTGATGGCCGGGCAGTATGGGGATCATGAGTGGTTCTAGGCTTATTCTGCAGCCATTTCGGCAGCTAAGACAGCGCCACGCAACAAGTTGCTGCACATGGGTACCTTTTTCATTGCAGGCACTCTACACCCTTTACACGGGTGACTATGGTGACCCTTCAAGTTGGGACTTATCATATCACCCTTGAGACACGTCCAGTGCCATGGAGACTGAGCGGAAAGGGAAGCCGCTGGTGGAATTCAAAAGTCTCAGCAACGTCGCTGCCTGGCGTTGATCTTCCAAAGGCAATGGAATCAACCTACCCAGCTACCAATTTGGATCTTTGGAGCGGAATGATTTTGTTGGAACCAAACCTACACCGAGAACTTGCCGAGAACCAATGAAATATTATCTCAGTCAAGGAATGACATATCCCACTGATCCAGAGACATCCAGAGAGATTTTGCGCACGTTCAAAGTGGTCCACATGTCAAAGGAAATCCTTCCCGAAAGGTTTGTCTGAAATTCGGGGAAACCCATGGTAACCCCAAACCCACATTTTATATTTTACCCATCAAGCCAGTGGGGCCAAAAATCTCCCATTCAATCCAGTTAAACCAAGGTTTTGGGCGATGCAGCTGGCTTTAGCGATGAGGTGTGGCAACATGGATGGCTGCTGCGGTTTCATACATGGCAAGAATTCAACATTTGGCATTCTTGCCAAATAAATCCCAGATTGGAATGAATACTGTTTTTCCAGCAGTATGTCAGGTACAGAACTACCGTGAACTACCAGGATTTTTTTTGGGACCTTTAGAACAAACTTGCGCATTTTGATGGCACCCAAACGACACTGGCACACTGGCCACAGATCACCTCCCTGGCTGTGGGCGCTCGGGTGGCGGCTTTGGGCACCCGCATGGGAAGCATCTTTGTCTTGGAGCATGGTGTCACTTGGCGAAGTGCTGTCATTTTGGAAGATGCCAGCCATCCACAAAGGCTCCAAAGTGTTGATAGATCTTGTACTATTGTATCTCTTTCTTCTGTGTTGCGGAAAGTTTCTGTTGCATCTTTCACCGACCTTAGACTACACGGGCAAATTGGGGGTTGGAGAATTATAGGGACAATTGCTTCCGAAATTGCTTCTGATTGATTTGGGATGTGGGAAAGCCCAAGGTCAACGTCATCCGGCGCCTGGGCAGCAAGTTTATTGAGTGCTTTCCACAGATAATAGCCGTTAGTAGCCCATACCCGCCATACCCGCCATACCCATGTTTACCCCACACAAAAATCCAGATCTTCCACGGCTTTTGATTTCATAGATTTTCATAGTGACATAGTGGTTTTCATGGTGTGTTAGAAACCGGGTATACATGGGTATACGATACAGATGGAAGGCATCTCAACTCTAACCCAGGAAGATCTCCACCAACAATGCCTGCATCCACGTGCCTCGGCAGCCTCGGCAGCCTTGGCAGCCTCGGCATATCGGATATGGAGCTGAAACATTGAAGATCGTCCTAAATATATGCTGCAATATGCTGCAATCACATTCCAAACGATTCAATAATGATCCAACAAAAACGTTGAACATATATCCTAAACATATAAGATCATATAAGCTAAACACAATATCCTAGTCCTAAACATATCGAATAGCCACAATAGCCGTAATAGCCCAAACCATTTATTCGTTCCCCTGATCTCCCGGTCTCGGATCCCATCCCCAGGCCCTGGGTCTCGACGTTGCTGGCCGTTTCTGCGTCAGTGGTGCTGGGGATGGTCGAATCACCGTGTGGTCCTTGGGCCTGGAAGCCCGGTGCCGTGGCGCCGTGGTGTCGTGGTGTCGTGGCTCCTTGGAGTTGGTCTTGGAGTCTTGGAGTCTTGGATCATGCTCAGGCAGATATCATGTATAATCATGTGCAATTTGTATGTATATATATATATGTGTGTGTGTGTTATATTATATCTAATTTCATGAGAAAGATGAATTTTCGTCGTGCTCATTTTATGCTGATCTGCTGATCTTATGCTTTCGGCATCCGTGAGGCCCCGGTTCTGAGCCTTGGGTCACGGAGCATTCACAGCTGCCCATCTTGGGTGTAGCACTGGCGCCCGACCAGTCCGAGGATAGTGCGATGTGGGAGATGTTTTTTGGAAGATTTTTGGGAAAGTCAACTAAGCCAACCAAAAAATAGAAACATATAGAAGCGTGTTTAAGAAAGATATTTCGATCATCATGTTTAAATATGTTTAATGAACGGCCGGCTGTGTCTCGGAGGAGAAGTTGACCCTCTGTGCTGCTGGGGAAGATGGCCGTGCCCTGGCCGAAAAACTCGGTGGAGTTCATCAAATGTGTCAATCCATGATTTTAAGGGATAGAAATGGTGGGAAAATGCTGGGACAATTTGTGTCATCAATAAGCTTTAGAAGCTTTCACTTGGGCATTTCAGGATCCAAAATTCTCTCCTTGGTCAGGTGTTTGGTCGTAATGCCAGTGCATTGAACGGCAAGTGGTGCGATTCCAGAATACCCGGCATCATTTGCGGATTGGATTCGTTGAAGCTGTGGGATTTCCATGGGTTTCCATGGGTTTCTTGTCACCTCGCCACTCAGGCCTTGTGCTTCACCAACGGGTGATGTTTGGTGGGCAGACAGTGCTGCATGCTGGAGAAGGTCCCATCACAGAAGTGCTTTGGCGAACATCGCTGATTGCCTGGATGAACGACCGGGGTGCAAACCTCAGTTGACATAAGTTGAACACCAACTGATGGCAGCGTTGATCGGTGATTCTGAAAGCACCAGGTGTCAAGGTCTACAACGTCAAGTCCGGACGGAAGGCTTGGGCTGAGGGGCCTGGTATGGCCTGGTGCTGCTGAGTGGTCCACCTCCACAGCAAAAACTGCAAATACAGTACGGAGCGTATTTATGCAACTTGTCATTTAAACTTAATCAGATAAGAAGAAGAACGTCAAGAATCGCAATAATAATAAGAAGAAGAACAAGAAGAACAAAAAGAAGAAACATAACAAAAATAAGAATGCTGAAATATGCTGAAATAATGATTCATACTCCGACCCAGTGGGCAGCCCATGGCCAGGTGACCTATGTGGCACGACCATCACGTGCCAAGGGCTGTCTCACTTGGCTTTCTGATGATCAGTGGCTTTGGCCGCGTTGGCTGCGGCAGTGTCAGTTGGTTTCCTCTCGACTCGGATCTCGGAAGAACCCGAGAAGCTTTCAGCCCAACATGTCAGCTATTGTCAGCTGTCATGTGAAGATATGTGAAGTTGCTCCAATGTTTAACATCTTCGGGCGCTTTTTGCCAGACCGCAACACGATTTTTTTCCAGACAGATTGATGACAACCCAGGTGCTATGACATGAAAACTATGATGTCATAGGAAAATCCACCCAGGGTACCAGCGGGTACCAGTGGCGGCGACAGCGACATGCCCGAGGCTGGCCATGTCGTGGGGATCCTTGGTGAAGATTGCTGTTCTGGTCACCACTGGAGATCTTCAAATCGCAGAAGTGCGGCATCAGTTCAACTGCGGCGATGTCACGTGGGGTGCTCAGACATCCAAATGGGAGGCTGCAGATTTGAAGCGCCCAGCATCTCATCATGTACCATCTTAATTCCTCACATTTCGAAGCCAAGAGTAGCTGAAGAGTAGCTGAGTGGCCATAGACAAAGCTAGGACCAGCTAGGACAAGTCTCTGAATATTGATGTTCATCCAATGTTTGATCATATTTGATCAATGTATCATTGTATATATATATATGCCATATATATATACACATATATGTATATATGTATATGTATATATATATATGTATATATGTATATATGTATATCCATCAATATTACATGTTTACTAATTCTTCATCACATTTTCATCACATTTTCCATGTTTTGATCCCACCCGACCCAACTTCCAGGATCCAGGGCCTCATGCCCTTGGGCCGGCAGCTCGCAGCGTTGGAATCCGATGGCAGGAGCTCAGCGATGGAACCGGCACAACTTGAAGATTCACCATAGATTCACCATCAATTTCTGCACCAAAGATGATAAAGATGATCCAAGCATGGCTCTAAGCAAAAATTCTGGATCATTCTGGAAATGGATGGAAATGGGTCATGGGATCAATTTAGATGACCAACTTGATAATTCTGGTGGATCATTTGGCTCAGGATGCCCTGTGCGTCCTGTCCGGGTCCCCTGGGTCCCCTGGGTCACCAGTGGCTCTTCCCCCCAGCAGCGGGCAGGAGAACATCCCTGAGATTTTATAGCAACAGTGGCGACTTGTTCCATGCCGTAGAGGTGCCAATGTCTCGAGGACCTAAGTCACATGGCAAGGCCAAGAAAAATGGGATGACCTGGAAAGGCCTAAAAACATGGCAAGGCAATCATTTGCCGATGTTCATTGGCCATGTCATCATGTCATGTCCATTCTGTTGCAGTTTCAACCACGACGCTGCTTGGAGCATCTTGAAGCATCTTGGAGCTGTATCGTTCTTGTTGGAACTCCTTGGGTTTCCGTTGGAACTATGGGGAAGGCTGCGGAACTGCCAGGAGCCTTCCACAGTCACTTGCACTTGGCGGCTGCAGCACCACATCTTCCCATGTACCTTACAGGGCCACGAGAGTTTCTGGTCTTCCAGGTGCCTCTTCCGTCAAGGGCTTTGTCATGTTGAATATCATTGAATGATATATGACGCTATCTATAATAGTATAACCCACACACACACAGATATATATATATATACACACATATAATCATATCATATAATTGTTTGATGTTGATGATATTGAATGATGTTTTTCCCCTCTCCAGGATTCTGTGGAGATCAGTGCTTCACAACACAACATTTTGGGCAATTCAATCGGCGTGACACGGTGCTAGGTCCGCGACTTGCTGGAGTATGTGCCTTGGATTCACCCCAACACCCCGGATATTTGTCACAATGGCGATCTTTTTTAGGCAACTGTGACTGAAAAACCAGTTTTTTTTTGTTGGGGGGATGATATTTGATAACATATGATAACATATTTAATTGATTTGAATTTGTGATTTGATGATATTTGATGATATTTTTTTTGTCCTGGTGGCAGCCTGGTGCTGTTTCTGAGGCTGTGCAGCTGCTGGAGGAGAAACGTTTCGATGAAGCCATTCGATTGGCCAACAGCGTGGGCCACGGCATCGAAGGACTCGGCCACATCGTGTGCATCAAGTGCCTCAGCTGATCGCTGGTGTCACTCCAACATGTATGGATTAATATAATATGGATTAATAATTAATATGGATTAACATGAATTAATATGGATTAATATGTTTATATGGATTAATCAATCACAAAATCATCAGAATGCCATTGGGAAGTTGGAATCTCTGGTGACTCTAAGACTCTAAGAGTCTAATATGGTCGAATACAATAGGCAGCTCCAAGACATGTTTTGGTTTTGAGGTCCTTGGGCCCTGATGTTCAAGAGGGCAACTACGAACGCGCTTGCCAAATCCTGCAGCGCTTCAGACACTCGTCTTTGACAGTTGGATGTTGCAACTGGAAATTGTTGGAAGCAAATGTTCCCCCAAAGCATGTCGATGTGGAAGTATGGATTCTTGGGGCACTTCTCAAAGCATTTGATTCCGTTAGGTTTATTTGGCTTAAGGGTCTCTAGGCAGCGCCTTAGCTGTGCCACGTTTTTTGAAAGAATGGCCAGCTACGCTTCGTTGCTCTTGGCCTGCTGCCTGGGCATGGCCTCCATGCACCTGGTCTTCGTGGCTCAGGGCTCTCCTGGATCATCTGCACCACAGACACCCAGCCAGGTGTCAAGTGCTCAGCTGCCAGGAGCACCCGACATGGAGGACAACGGCATGGCCCAGGCTGCTTTGCGCTTCGGAAGCGGCCTGATGCTTGGCCTTGTGCTGTTGGCCTTTGGACAGCCCACCTTTGCTGATGTGGAAGATGTGGTGATCCCTGTGCCTCAGCCGCGTCTAGCTGGCTGTGGCTGACTCTAGCTGACTCTAGCTGACTCTAGCTGACTCTAGCTGACTCTAGCTGACTCTAGCTGACTCTAGCTGACTCTAGCTGACTCTAACTCTCCTGGCAGTCTTCGATTCACTCGAACTATCCGACTCTTTCAGTTAAAATATTTATATATAGAGTATATAGAGCTGAACTGCCCAACTTGGAAGATAAGGATTGAAGGCATGTTTTTGCTTGAGTCTGGAGTCTTGACATGTTTCTGTTGGCACCTGGCGTACCTGGCTGACTTGAGGTGGATGACAAGGGCAAGACCACCACCTTGACCAAGGAGCAGGTGGTTCGTGGCAAGCGTTTGTTTATCGCGGCCTGCGCCTCTTGCCATGTCGGCGGTGGCACCCGCACCAACCAGAACGTGGGCCTGGCCATTGAGGAGTTGAGCGGTGCCCAGCCAAACCGAGCCACTGTCGAGGGATTGGTGGACTACCTGAACAACCCCACCACCTACGATGGACTTAAGGACTTGCTGACGTAGTGTCATTACAGTCACGGTTTTGACAATGTTGTGAGAATGAGCAAAGCAGCAACTTACTGTGCATCGGTGGTACAAGTACATTGGAACCACGTGCATTTTGTTAAGAGCTCACGGGGTGGTATCTAGCTTCATTGTGCTTCATTATTCAGCCCTTTGAACGCATGGAACTGCAAGGCAGAAAGTTGCCCTGTCACGGCTCACTGTTTGCATAGTCTTTGCATCTCTAAACTTCTTTTATGCGAGTTGCCATTTGCTGGCGATATTGGGGAATGATTCTGGGAAACCACAGGACATCTCTGAGGTCCACCCATCCATCAAAGGTGGCGACATCTGGCCAAAGATGATCTCAATGAAGCAGCAGGACCCTTTGGAATCACACAATTTGCAGTTTTGAGTATCCGCCGCTAGTTTTCCAAATGTTGAGACTGAAGTTGGACACGTGTTACTCTGCAAGAGTTCTCTTGTCCCTTGTCTCTTTGGGATGTTGTGAGTTGAGAGGATTTGTACGACATGTCTGCCTACATCCTCTACCAGAACCAGACCATCCCAGAGAAGTGGGGTGGCGGAAAGGTCTACTACTGAGCCTAGAAAATGAGCATTCCATTTTTTGAGCTAGGTAGAAATCCAGGAAGCGTGTGCTTCATATTGGAACTTGGGCTTCAGAAACATCACGGTCTGCGCCGAAGAAAGCTCGAAAAGACGTACTATCACTATCACTATCGGCCGAGTCAGGGTTGCAATTTGGTCAGAAGCTGCTTCAACAGATTCTTGAATCTCTCAATTCTCCTCCCTTTGCTGAAACATGCTGAAGCAAGTGTTGTTGTTGTGCTGTCCCCTTTTGCACCCATCATGGCTACTGTAGAAGCATCCCAGCCGTTGTTCACCCGGCCATGCTTAGTGACTAGCAGAGACAATTTGGGCCGAATCTTTTTTTCACGGCACATGTTGCACGGAAACCAAGCATTGAGTTGTCAGTGCATTAGTGCAATCTTGCGCATGTTTCTTGCAAATATTTGTGCAACGCTATTTTGAGTTCCGGCTCCTCTCTAGGCACCTTAGGCTGTGAGGTTCGCCGCGCATTTTTGAAAGAATGGCCAGCTACGCTTCGTTGCTCTTGGCCTGCTGCCTGGGCATGGCCTCCATGCACCTGGTCTTCGTGGCTCAGGGCTCTCCTGGATCATCTGCACCACAGACACCCAGCCAGGTGTCAAGTGCTCAGCTGCCAGGAGCACCCGACATGGAGGACAACGGCATGGCCCAGGCTGCTTTGCGCTTCGGAAGCGGCCTGATGCTTGGCCTTGTGCTGTTGGCCTTTGGACAGCCCACCTTTGCTGATGTGGAAGATGTGGTGATCCCTGTGCCTCAGCCGCGTCCAGCTGGCTGTGGCTGACTCTAGCTGACTCTAGCTGACTCTAGCTGACTCTAGCTGACTCTAGCTGACTCTAACCACCTCACAGTCTTCGATTCACTCGAACTATCCGACTCTTGCAGTTAAAATATTTATATAGAGTATATAGAGTCTAGAGCTGAACTGCCCAACTTGGAAGATAAGGATTGAAGGCATGTTTTTGCTTGAGTCTGGAGTCTTGACATGTTTCTGTTGGCACCTGGCGTACCTGGCTGACTTGAGGTGGATGACAAGGGCAAGACCACCACCTTGACCAAGGAGCAGGTGGTTCGTGGCAAGCGTTTGTTTATCGCGGCCTGCGCCTCTTGCCATGTCGGCGGTGGCACCCGCACCAACCAGAACGTGGGCCTGGCCATTGAGGAGTTGAGCGGTGCCCAGCCAAACCGAGCCACTGTCGAGGGATTGGTGGACTACCTGAACAACCCCACCACCTACGATGGACTTAAGGACTTGCTGACGTAGTGTCATTACAGTCACGGTTTTGACAATGTTGTGAGAATGAGCAAAGCAGCAACTTACTGTGCATCGGTGGTACAAGTACATTGGAACCACGTGCATTTTGTTAAGAGCTCACGGGGTGGTATCTAGCTTCATTGTGCTTCATTATTCAGCCCTTTGAACGCATGGAACTGCAAGGCAGAAAGTTGCCCTGTCACGGCTCACTGTTTGCATAGTCTTTGCATCTCTAAACTTCTTTAATGCGAGTTGCCATTTGCTGGCGATATTGGGGAATGATTCTGGGAAACCACAGGACATCTCTGAGGTCCACCCATCCATCAAAGGTGGCGACATCTGGCCAAAGATGATCTCAATGAAGCAGCAGGACCCTTTGGAATCACACAACTTGCAGTTTTGAGTATCCGCCGCTAGTTTTCCAAATGTTGAGACTGAAGTTGGACACGTGTTGCTTTGCAAGAGTTCTCTTGTCCCTTGTCTCTTTGGGATGTTGTGAGTTGAGAGGATTTGTACGACATGTCTGCCTACATCCTCTACCAGAACCAGACCATCCAAGAGAAGTGGGGTGGCGGAAAGGTCTACTACTGAGCCTAGAAAATGAGCATTCCATTTTTTGAGCTAGGTAGAAATCCAGGAAGCGTGTGCTTCATATTGGAACTTGGGCTTCAGAAACATCACGGTCTGCGCCGAAGAAAGCTCAAAAAGACGTACTATCACTATCACTATCGGCCGAGTCAGGGTTGCAATTTGGTCAGAGGCTGCTTCAACAGATTCTTGAATCTCTCAATTCTCCTCCCTTTGCTGAAACATGCTGAAGCAAGTGTTGTTGTTGTGCTGTCCCCTTTTGCACCCATCATGGCTACTGTAGAAGCATCCCAGCCGTTGTTCACCCGGCCATGCTTAGTGACTAGCAGAGACAATTTGGGCCGAATCTTTTTTTCACGGCACATGTTGCACGGAAACCAAGCATTGAGTTGTCAGTGCATTAGTGCAATCTTGCGCATGTTTCTTGCAAATATTTGTGCAACGCTAATTTGAGTTCCGGCTCCTCTCTAGGCACCTTAGGCTGTGAGGTTCGCCGCGCATTTTTGAAAGAATGGCCAGCTACGCTTCGTTGCTCTTGGCCTGCTGCCTGGGCATGGCCTCCATGCACCTGGTCTTCGTGGCTCAGGGCTCTCCTGGATCATCTGCACCACAGACACCCAGCCAGGTGTCAAGTGCTCAGCTGCCAGGAGCACCCGACATGGAGGACAACGGCATGGCCCAGGCTGCTTTGCGCTTCGGAAGCGGCCTGATGCTTGGCCTTGTGCTGTTGGCCTTTGGACAGCCCACCTTTGCTGATGTGGAAGATGTGGTGATCCCTGTGCCTCAGCCGCGTCTAGCTGGCTGTGGCTGACTCTAGCTGACTCTAGCTGACTCTAGCTGACTCTAGCTGACTCTAGCTGACTCTAGCTGACTCTAGCTGACTCTAGCTGACTCTAACTCTCCTCACAGTCTTCGATTCACACGAACTATCCGACTCTTGCAGCTAAAGTATTTATATAGAGTATATAGAGCTGAACTGCCCAACTTGGAAGATAAGGATTGAATGCATGTTTTTGCTTGAGTCTGGAGTCTTGACATGTTTCTGTTGGCACCTGGCGTACCTGGCTGACTTGAGGTGGATGACAAGGGCAAGACCACCACCTTGACCAAGGAGCAGGTGGTTCGTGGCAAGCGTTTGTTTATCGCGGCCTGCGCCTCTTGCCATGTCGGCGGTGGCACCCGCACCAACCAGAACGTGGGCCTGGCCATTGAGGAGTTGAGCGGTGCCCAGCCAAACCGAGCGACTGTCGAGGGATTGGTGGACTACCTGAACAACCCCACCACCTACGATGGACTTAAGGACCCTTTTTCAACAGCTTTGTGGCAGACTGGTTTTGATGTTATTTCAGACCAAAGTCTTCTTTCTTCTTGCGCCATAATATGTTCAACCATGGTCCGGGTTTTCGGAGTTCTGATGTGCTTTTTGAGTGTGATCAAGCGTGATCGAATCAAACTCAGTCCGGAACTCTATGAGGTCTCAGTCATGTTCCTGGCACTTTTTGACAGGACATCTCTGAGGTCCACCCATCCATCAAGGGTGGCGACATTTGGCCAAAGATGATCTCAATGAAGCAGCAGGAGCGGTATCAACTGCTATAGTGTTGGTATCGCAATATCAGTGCATTCCACATGGCATATCATGCGGCACATCCTATCGTTGAAAACGTATGAACTTTCAATTCAGTAAGGGCTGCCATTGCATTTGCAGCCGCGACGCTTTGACACACGATATTTTCTCTTGTGTGAAAATGATCCAGATTGCATCAAACGAGACTGCGCAGCATTTTTGAAAGCGGGGTAGACCGTGAGTTGCGGCAGGACTTGTATGACATGTCCGCGTACATCCTGTACCAGAATCAGACCATCCCAGAGAAGTGGGGCGGAGGAAAGGTCTACTATTAGGCGACGCAGCCTCCTTTCCGTTCTGATCACGATGCACATAGTATTGCATTCAAGGACAAATCAGTCCTGATGCTTCGCACGGCTGTTTCGCAACGTCAACGGCCGCGCGATTTCTCCACATACACAAGATATCACGATGGGGACCCTGCTTCGAGGCAGTTGAAAGGCAAAGCGAGCGATAAAAGTGTAACAAGGGTTCTGTGATAGTGATAGTATAGTGACAGTGTTGTACCTTTCTCGTAGTCAGGACCGCTCCATTTCAAGCAAGGCTCGCTGCATCTTCAAACTTTGAACTTCAGCAGGTTGTTTGATCCGTTCAAGGAGCTTGCCATGTAATTAAATTCCGGTGGAGGGCATGATTTTTTGCAGTGCAGTGCTGGTTATATTGCCTTTGGAGTTGTTAGTGCATCACTTGCACCTGTTTGTGTCACCTGTAAATGCAATTAAACTGCACAAACGGCTGATCTGACAGCCGGTTCTGAGTTGAGGGACAGCTCTCATAATGTCATATCTTCCAGAATTTTGATGAATTTTGCATCTTGGATATACATGGATATACATGGATATACTTGGATATACCGTATACCTCTTTCGATTCTTTCGCGCTTTGCTGTTTCCAGCTCCGGCTTGCTTCTTGCCTCCCCTGTAGAACCCCCAGGCTTTGAGGTTTGCCGCGTTTTTTGAAAGAATGGCCAGCTACGCTTCGTTGCTCTTGGCCTGCTGCCTGGGCATGGCCTCCATGCACCTGGTCTTCGTGGCTCAGGGCTCTCCTGGATCATCTGCACCACAGACACCCAGCCAGGTGTCAAGTGCTCAGCTGCCAGGAGCACCCGACATGGAGGACAACGGCATGGCCCAGGCTGCTTTGCGCTTCGGAAGCGGCCTGATGCTTGGCCTTGTGCTGTTGGCCTTTGGACAGCCCACCTTTGCTGATGTGGAAGATGTGGTGATCCCTGTGCCTCAGCCGCGTCTAGCTGGCTGTGGCTGACTCTAGCTGACTCGAACCACCTCACAGTCTTCGATTCACTCGAATTATCCGACTCTTGCAGTTAACTTATTTATCATATGGAGAAACATATTTATATAGAGCATATATAGAGCTGAACTGTCAAACTTGGAAGATCAGGATTGAAGGCATGTTTTTGCTTGAGTCTCTTGACATGTTCCTGTTGGCACCTGTCGTACCTGGCTGACTTGAGGTGGATGACAAGGGCAAGACCACCACCTTGACCAAGGAGCAGGTGGTTCGTGGCAAGCGTTTGTTTATCGCGGCCTGCGCCTCTTGCCATGTCGGCGGTGGCACCCGCACCAACCAGAACGTGGGCCTGGCCATTGAGGAGTTGAGCGGTGCCCAGCCAAACCGAGCCACTGTCGAGGGATTGGTGGACTACCTGAACAACCCCACCACCTACGATGGACTTAAGGACCCTTTTTCAACAGCTTTGTGGCAGACTGGTTTTGATGTTGTTTCAGACCAAAGTCTTCTTTCTTCTTGCGCCATAATATGTTCAACCATGGTCCGGGTTTTCGGAGTTCTGATGTGCTTTTTGAGTGTGATCAAGCGTGATCGAATCAAACTCAGTCCGGAACTCTATGAGGTCTCAGTCATGTTCCTGGCACTTTTTGACAGGACATCTCTGAGGTCCACCCATCCATCAAGGGTGGCGACATTTGGCCAAAGATGATCTCAATGAAGCAGCAGGAGCGGTATCAACTGCTATAGTGTTGGTATCGCAATATCAGTGCATTCCACATGGCATATCATGCGGCACATCCTATCGTTGAAAACGTATGAACTTTCAATTCAGTAAGGGCTGCCATTGCATTTGCAGCCGCGACGCTTTGACACACGATATCTTCTCTTGTGTGAAAATGATCCAGATTGCATCAAACGAGACTGCGCAGCATTTTTGAAAGCAGGGTAGACCGTGAGTTGCGGCAGGACTTGTATGACATGTCCGCGTACATCCTGTACCAGAATCAGACCATCCCAGAGAAGTGGGGCGGAGGAAAGGTCTACTATTAGGCGACGCAGCCTCCTTTCCGTTCTGATCACGATGCACATAGTATTGCATTCAAGGACAAATCAGTCCTGATGCTTCGCACGGCTGTTTCGCAACGTCAACGGCCGCGCGATTTCTCCACATACACAAGATATCACGATGGGGACCCTGCTTCGAGGCAGTTGAAAGGCAAAGCGAGCGATAAAAGTGTAACAAGGGTTCTGTGATAGTGATAGTATAGTGACAGTGTTGTACCTTTCTCGTAGTCAGGACAGCTCCATTTCAAACAAGGCTCGCTGCATCTTCAAACTTTGAACTTCAGCAAGTTGTTTGATCCGTTCAAGGAGCTTGCCATGTAATTAAATTCCGGTGGAGGGCATGATTTTTGCAGTGCAGTGCTGGTTCATCACTTGCACCTGTTTGTGTCACCTGTAAATGCAATTAAACTGCACAAACGGCTGATCTGACAGCCGGTTCTGAGTTGAGGGACAGCTCTCATAATGTCATATCTTCCAGAATTTTGATGAATTTTGCATCTTGGATATACATGGATATACTTGGATATACCGTATACCTCTTTCGATTCTCTCGCGCTTTGCTGTTTCCAGCTCCGGCTTGCTTCTTGCCTCCCCTGTAGAACCCCCAGGCTTTGAGGTTTGCCGCGTTTTTTGAAAGAATGGCCAGCTACGCTTCGTTGCTCTTGGCCTGCTGCCTGGGCATGGCCTCCATGCACCTGGTCTTCGTGGCTCAGGGCTCTCCTGGATCATCTGCACCACAGACACCCAGCCAGGTGTCAAGTGCTCAGCTGCCAGGAGCACCCGACATGGAGGACAACGGCATGGCCCAGGCTGCTTTGCGCTTCGGAAGCGGCCTGATGCTTGGCCTTGTGCTGTTGGCCTTTGGACAGCCCACCTTTGCTGATGTGGAAGATGTGGTGATCCCTGTGCCTCAGCCGCGTCTAGCTGGCTGTGGCTGACTCTAGCTGACTCTAGCTGACTCTAGTTGACTCTAACTCCACTGGCAGTCTTCGATTCACTCGAATTATCAGACTCTTGCAGTTAAAATATGACAAAAAATAAAATACAGAGCTGTACCGCCCAACCCGGAAGATCAGGATTGAAGGCATGTTTTTGCTTGAGTCTGGAGTCTTGACATGTTCCTGCTGGCACCTGTCGTACCTGGCTGACTTGAGGTGGATGACAAGGGCAAGACCACCACCTTGACCAAGGAGCAGGTGGTTCGTGGCAAGCGTTTGTTTATCGCGGCCTGCGCCTCTTGCCATGTCGGCGGTGGCACCCGCACCAACCAGAACGTGGGCCTGGCCATTGAGGAGTTGAGCGGCGCCCAGCCAAACCGAGCGACTGTCGAGGGATTGGTGGACTACCTGAACAACCCCACCACCTACGATGGACTCAAGGACTTGCTGACGCGGTGTCATTGCAGTCACACTGTATTGACACTGATCAAAGCGGCAACTTATTGTCCACTGCTTGCATAAAACATTATAAAACATGTTGTAACCAAGTGTTTCTTTTCAAGAGCTCGCAACATGCTATTTAGACACATGCTTCATCCAACCACAGTTTGTGATTTGGATGCTTGAAACGTATGGAACTGTAAGGCAGAAGGTTGCCCGTCACAGTTCACTGTTTGCACTGTCTTTGCACCTCTCCACTTCTCCCATTGTTGTGGGTTTCTGGACATGCTCCGGAATCATTCTGGGAATGATCTGTAGGACATCTCTGAGGTCCACCCATCCATCAAGGGTGGCGACATTTGGCCAAAGATGATCTCAATGAAGCAGCAGGAGAGTTATGGCAACATCGGTGCATGTTGTTTGAACAATTCCACACGCTACAGCTTGACTTGTGAACTGATTCCAGGTATTTTTCACATTCCCATTATTCCCTGTCGGACCATTCAGCGTCATTTATCTTCAAAAGAGATGAAAAGAGTGAATGCTATTTGGATGATATGTTGGTACAGTTTCCAGCTGTGCCCTTTTTGCCCTTTCCCTGTGACACTTTGTGGCCCTTTGTGACAAGCCGCATGACTTGCAAGTGATTGCAGGACTTGTATGACATGTCCGCGTACATCCTGTACCAGAATCAGACCATCCCAGAGAAGTGGGGCGGAGGAAAGGTGTACTATTAGGCCATTAGTGTAGCGTTTCTTCGACCATGCCCAGCCACCGAAAAAAGGCATTGAGCTTCAGATGTCCGTGGTTGATGGGATGCATTTGAAGACATCGTTTTCTTGATTCTTGTCCTCTGTTCTTTCACCTGGTGATAGGCAACAGAATCTTATAATATCTCCAATGAAGCATCTATTGGCGAACTAACATGGCCGTGTCTTGCAGTTGCCTTTCGCCGCGAATTCTGAGTTGAGGGACAGCTCTCACAATGTCATATCTTCATATATCTTCCAGAATCTCGAATCTTGGATCTTGGATGTACTTGAATACACCGTATACCTCTTTCGTGCTTTGCTGTTTCCAGCTCCGGCTTGCTTCTTGCCTCCCCTGTAGAACCCCCAGGCTTTGAGGTTTGCCGCGTTTTTTGAAAGAATGGCCAGCTACGCTTCGTTGCTCTTGGCCTGCTGCCTGGGCATGGCCTCCATGCACCTGGTCTTCGTGGCTCAGGGCTCTCCTGGATCATCTGCACCACAGACACCCAGCCAGGTGTCAAGTGCTCAGCTGCCAGGAGCACCCGACATGGAGGACAACGGCATGGCCCAGGCTGCTTTGCGCTTCGGAAGCGGCCTGATGCTTGGCCTTGTGCTGTTGGCCTTTGGACAGCCCACCTTTGCTGATGTGGAAGATGTGGTGATCCCTGTGCCTCAGCCGCGTCTAGCTGGCTGTGGCTGACTCTAGCTGACTCTAGCTGACTAACTCCCCTGGCAGTCTTCGATTCATTCGAATTATCCTACTCTTGCAGTTCAAATTTCTTGCAGTTAAATTTTCTTGCAGTTTTTTTGCGAACAAAGTGAGTTAAGGGGGTCTGGGGGCAAACCGGGCATAGAGGGTACGAAATCACGGAATTAGGTGCAGTGGAGCCCATGTTTTTGGAGCATTTTTGCGGGGTATGTGCCAGGTGGCAATTGGGTGACGGTGGGGTATCGATTCCCCCCTGGTCCGTCCTGGAGGTACATTTTAGGAGGCGATGGAGAGACCGCAATAGAATGAGGACAGGGGCAAAGGCATTGCTTGGAAAGGTGGGAACTGAATGGCTACTTTTCTTTATGTCTCTCTCTTACTCTTCCAGCCGTATCTGTCGGGCTCCGATGTGGGACCAGTATGGTCGCAAGGATTAGAAGGGGAACTTCTGTCAGTATAGGATGTGAAATTAGGAAGCTTCCAAGGTGACGGGACCACTATTCTCTTGGACCGTTCCCTGTAGGGGCTTTCAGGGAAATTCTGTCATAATTATGGGATGTGAAATTGACAAGGTGATAACATAGCAGAAGATGAGACTGCTGTGTCGGCTCCGTCAATGCTTTGCGCAATTTTTCAAAAATTAGGACGCTTTGGAAAGGGGTGACGAAAATATGAGGTGAGGAGGGCACAGGTAAGGGTCGTCCGTGAATGGAGGCACAATAGCCATATGGGGAAGAAATTTCTGTCGGTATAGGATGTGAAATTAGTTGGAAAGGGGTGATGAAAATATGAAAATATGAGCGTAAGGATCCTTGTAAGTCTGTTGGGGGAAAGTTTGCGGGGAAAAACCTGTGGGTGAAAGTCTGTGGGTGAAAAGTCTGTGGAAGAAGAGCCTCTGGGTGAAAAATATGGATGAAACGTATATTGGTGAAAAGTCTGTGGGTGAAAAATGTGAGAAGGATGTGCGTGAAAAAGTCTGTGGGTGAAAAGTCTCTAGGCGAAAAGTGTGTGGGTGAAAAGTGCGTGGGTGAAAAGTCCGTGCATCAAACGTATATTGGTGAAACGGGTATGGGTGAAAAGTCTGAGGGTGCAAAGTCTGTGGGTGAAAAGTGTGTGGGTGAAAAGTCTGCTGGGGAAAAGTGTATGGGTGAAAGTCTGTGGGTGAAAAAAATATGGTTGAACAGTCTCAGGTGAAAAGTATATGGGTGAGAAGTATATGGGTGAAAGACGATGGGTGAAAAGTCTGCGGGTGAAAAGTATATTTATGGGTGAAAAGTCTGTGCGTGAAAGGTCTGTGGGTGAAAAACCAGTGGAAAAAGAGTTTCTAATTGAAGAGTCTCTGGGAGAAAAATGTATTGTATATGTGAAAAGTCTGTGGCTAAAAAGTCTGTGGGTGAAAAGTCCGTGGGTGATAAGTCTGTGGGTGAAAAGTCTGGGTGAAAAGTATATGGTTGAACAGTCTGTGGGTGAACAGTGTGTGGGTGAAAAGTCTAAGGCTGCAAAGTCTGTGGGTATATGGTTGAACCGTTTGTGAATGAAATATATATGGGTGAAAGTCTGTGGGTGAAAAATCTTTGGGGGGAAATGGGGGTAGATGGGATGCTGGCTTTCGTACCCCGCTTCTCAGGTATTTGAACTGCCCAACTTGGAAGATCAGGATTGAAGGCATGTTTTTGCTCGAGTCTGGAGTCTTGACATGTTCCTGTTGGCACCTGTCGTACCTGGCTGACTTGAGGTGGATGACAAGGGCAAGACCACCACCTTGACCAAGGAGCAGGTGGTTCGTGGCAAGCGTTTGTTTATCGCGGCCTGCGCCTCTTGCCATGTCGGCGGTGGCACCCGCACCAACCAGAACGTGGGCCTGGCCATTGAGGAGTTGAGCGGCGCCCAGCCAAACCGAGCTACTGTCGAGGGATTGGTGGACTACCTGAACAACCCCACCACCTACGATGGACTCAAGGACTTGCTGATGCGGTGTCATTGCAGTCACACTGTATTGACACTGATCAAAGCGGCAACTTATTGTCCACTGCTTGCATAAAACATAATAAAACATGTTGTAACCAAGTGTTTCTTTTCAAGAGCTCGCAACATGCTATTTAGACACATGCTTCATCCAACCACAGTTTGTGATTTGGATGCTTGAAACGTATGGAACTGTAAGGCAGAAGGTTGCCCGTCACAGTTCACTGTTTGCACTGTCTTTGCACCTCTCCACTTCTCCCATTGTTGTGGGTTTCTGGACATGCTCCGGAATCATTCTGGGAATGATCTGTAGGACATCTCTGAGGTCCACCCATCCATCAAGGGTGGCGACATTTGGCCAAAGATGATCTCAATGAAGCAGCAGGAGAGTTATGGCAACATCGGTGCATGTTGTTTGAACAATTCCACACGCTACAGCTTGACTTGTGAACTGATTCCAGGTATTTTTCACATTCCCATTATTCCCTGTCGGACCATTCAGCGTCATTTGTCTTCAAAAGAGATGAAAAGAGTGAATGCTATTTTGATGATATGTTGGTACAGTTTCCAGCTGTGCCCTTTTTGCCCTTTCCCTGTGACACTTTGTGACCCTTTGTGACAAGCCGCATGACTTGCAAGTGATTGCAGGACTTGTATGACATGTCCGCGTACATCCTGTACCAGAATCAGACCATCCCAGAGAAGTGGGGCGGAGGAAAGGTGTACTATTAGGCCATTAGTGTAGCGTTTCTTCGACCATGCCCAGCCACCGAAAAAGGCATTGAGCTTCAGATGTCCGTGGTTGATGGGATGCATTTGAAGACATCGTTTTCTTGATTCTTGTCCTCTGTTCTTTCACCTGGTGATAGGCAACAGAATCTTATAATATCTCCAATGAAGCATCTATTGGCGAACTAACATGGCCGTGTCTTGCAGTTGCCTTTCGCCGCGAATTCTGAGTTGAGGGACAGCTCTCACAATGTCATATCTTCATATATCTTCCAGAATCTCGAATCTTGGATCTTGGATGTACTTGAATATACCGTATACCTCTTTCGTGCTTTGCTGTTTCCAGCTCCGGCTTGCTTCTTGCCTCCCCTGTAGAACCCCCAGGCTTTGAGGTTTGCCGCGTTTTTTGAAAGAATGGCCAGCTACGCTTCGTTGCTCTTGGCCTGCTGCCTGGGCATGGCCTCCATGCACCTGGTCTTCGTGGCTCAGGGCTCTCCTGGATCATCTGCACCACAGACACCCAGCCAGGTGTCAAGTGCTCAGCTGCCAGGAGCACCCGACATGGAGGACAACGGCATGGCCCAGGCTGCTTTGCGCTTCGGAAGCGGCCTGATGCTTGGCCTTGTGCTGTTGGCCTTTGGACAGCCCACCTTTGCTGATGTGGAAGATGTGGTGATCCCTGTGCCTCAGCCGCGTCTAGCTGGCTGTGGCTGACTCTAGCTGACTCTAGTTGACTCTAACCACCTCACAGTCTTCGATTCACTCGAATTATCCGACTCTTGCAGTTAAAATATTTATATAGAGCATATAGAGCTGACCTGCCCAACTTGGAAGATCAGGATTGAAGGCAATGTTTTTGGTGTCAACACCAGTAAGAGGCCATGCGCGTGTGGATATTTTGGGTGTGGGGGCGGGTGGTGCGGGTTGGGGTTGGGGGGGATGTTAATGTTCATTGATGTTCATTGTGACTGCAACCACATAGTACATTCTCTTGCACTTCCACACGTACGTCATGCTACGCTGCTGCACGTTCTCTTGCGCTTCCACACATACGTCATGCTACGCTGCTGCACGTTCTTTTGCGCTTCCACACATACGTCATGCTATGCTGCTGCACGTTCTTTTGCACTTCCACACATACGTCATGCTATGCTGCTGCACGTTCTCTTGCGCTTTCACACATACGTCATGCTACGAGCCAGAACAGCTTGCTATGCTGATGGTTGCAAAGCTTGGAAAAGAGCCTCCAAACAACAAGTGCCAGAAAAACGCCTCAAATGGCAAAACGTTGCCCGCAACTGCGGTGAGTTTGTGAAGCACTTGGACAGAAAGCCCACAAAAAAGAGTTCTTCTTTGGCCGGAACACAGGCTTTAGACAGACAGTGGGGTTGGTTAAAAAACGCGAGTCCCCGGCAGTTGCATACACATAAAGACTGCAGACAGGACTTCAAAAAGAACTGGAAGCACTTGTATGCTGCAGTCTGGCGCAAGAGCGTCAAAGGCAATGCCCTGAACAACCTCGGACAACTTTGTGCTTGAAAGGGGAAAAAAGAACTTTTTGACGAAAGGGCTCGACGAACAAAACTCCTGTTTCGTGCTTGTAAAACACTAGGTCTTCCGCTTTTGAAGTGACCCTTCCCAAGGATTTGCACCAGAAATTTATTCCAGTAAATTACTTTACTTCGTGTGATCCCCACCCTGACATTTATACATTTTGTTACTGGCAAATCTTCTGGCATTCTATCTGACATATCTTCTGGCATTTTATCTGGCATACCTTCTGGCATTCTATCTGGCATGCTATCTGGCGTTCTATCTGGCATATCTTCTGGCATTCTATCTGGCCGTTGAGGTCCAGCGGTGCTCACTGAGCTCGGAAGGTCCCAGGTTGAGGTCTAGCGGTGCTCACTGAGCTCGGAGCGTCCCAGGTTGAGGTCCAGCGGTGCTCACTGAGCTCGGAAGGTCCCAGGTTGAGGTCCAGCAGTGCTCACTGAGCTCGGAAGGTCCCAGGTTGAAGTCCAGCGGTGCCCACTCCCAGTTGAGGTTCAGCAGTGCCCACTGCGCGCGGACGTTAGCGAAGAGTTGGCAAATCGGAAGTGGACGTGGAATTGGATGCAGAGATGGTAGAAGAGAAACTGGACGAGGAGGAGGAGAAGGAGGAGGAGGAGAAGGAGGAGGAGGAGGAGAACAGCTCTTATAAAATCTAACAACCCTCACCTGGCAGGTGGGGAATAAAAATTACAGTTTCCGACACTTCCCTCATCGTCCTGGCGCTGTGTGATGTCATCACCGACACGGCCTTTTGCAGACGCTGTTGCCATGTTTTTGCTTGAATTTTCACATGTTTCTGCTGGCCGCCGTCGTACCTGGCTGACTTGAGGTGGATGACAAGGGCAAGACCACCACCTTGACCAAGGAGCAGGTGGTTCGTGGCAAGCGTTTGTTTATCGCGGCCTGCGCCTCTTGCCATGTCGGCGGTGGCACCCGCACCAACCAGAACGTGGGCCTGGCCATTGAGGAGTTGAGCGGCGCCCAGCCAAACCGAGCGACTGTCGAGGGATTGGTGGACTACCTGAACAACCCCACCACCTACGATGGACTCAAGGACTTGCTGACGCGGTGTCATTGCAGTCACACTGTATTGACACTGATCAAACCGGCAACTTACTGTCCACTGGTTGCATAAAACATAATAAAACATGTTGCAACCAAGTGTTTCTTTTCAAGAGCTCGCAACATGCTATTTAGATGCATACTTCATCCAACCACAGTTTGTGATTTGGATGCTTGAAACGTATGGAACTGCAAGGCAGAAGGTTGCCCGTCACAGTTCACTGTTTGCACTGTCTTTGCACCTCTCCACTTCTCCCATTGTTGTGGGTTTCTGGACATGCTCCGGAATCATTCTGGGAATGATCTGTAGGACATCTCTGAGGTCCACCCATCCATCAAGGGTGGCGACATTTGGCCAAAGATGATCTCAATGAAGCAGCAGGAGAGTTATGGCAACATCGGTGCATGTTGTTTGAGCAATTCCACACGCTACAGCTTGACTTGTGAACTGATTCCAGATATTCTTCACATTCCCATTATTCCCTGTCGGACCATTCAGCGTCATTTGTCTTCAAAAGAGATGAAAAGAGTGAATGCTATTTGGATGATATGTTGGTACAGTTTCCAGCTGTGCCCTTTTTGCCCTTTCCCTGTGACACTTTGTGGCCCTTTGTGACAAGCCGCATGACTTGCAAGTGATTGCAGGACTTGTATGACATGTCCGCGTACATCCTGTACCAGAATCAGACCATCCCAGAGAAGTGGGGCGGAGGAAAGGTGTACTATTAGGCCATTAGTGTAGCGTTTCTTCGACCATGCCCAGCCACCGAAAAAAGGCATTGAGCTTCAGATGTCCGTGGTTGATGGGATGCATTTGAAGACATCGTTTTCTTGATTCTTGTCCTCTGTTCTTTCACCTGGTGATAGGCAACAGAATCTTATAATACCTCCAATGAAGCATCTATTGGCGAACTAACATGGCCGTGTCTTGCAGTTGCCTTTCGCCGCGAATTCTGAGTTGAGGGACAGCTCTCACAATGTCATATCTTCCAGAATCTTGAATCTTGGGTCTTGGATGTACTTGAATATACCGTATACCTCTTTCGATTCTTTTGCGCTTTGCTGTTTCCAGCTCCGGCTTGCTTCTTGCCTCCCCTGTAGAACCCCCAGGCTTTGAGGTTTGCCGCGTTTTTGAAAGAATGGCCAGCTACGCTTCGTTGCTCTTGGCCTGCTGCCTGGGCATGGCCTCCATGCACCTGGTCTTCGTGGCTCAGGGCTCTCCTGGATCATCTGCACCACAGACACCCAGCCAGGTGTCAAGTGCTCAGCTGCCAGGAGCACCCGACATGGAGGACAACGGCATGGCCCAGGCTGCTTTGCGCTTCGGAAGCGGCCTGATGCTTGGCCTTGTGCTGTTGGCCTTTGGACAGCCCACCTTTGCTGATGTGGAAGATGTGGTGATCCCTGTGCCTCAGCCGCGTCTAGCTGGCTGTGGCTGATTCTAGCTGTCTCTAGCTGACTCTAACTCCACTGGCAGTCTTCGATTCACTCGAATTATCAGACTCTTGCAGTTAAAATATGAAAAAAATAAAATATAGAGCTGTACTGCCCAACTTGGAAGATCAGGATTGAAGGCATGTTTTTGCTTGAGTCTCTTGACATGTTCCTGTTGGCACCTGTCGTACCTGGCTGACTTGAGGTGGATGACAAGGGCAAGACCACCACCTTGACCAAGGAGCAGGTGGTTCGTGGCAAGCGTTTGTTTATCGCGGCCTGCGCCTCTTGCCATGTCGGCGGTGGCACCCGCACCAACCAGAACGTGGGCCTGGCCATTGAGGAGTTGAGCGGTGCCCAGCCAAACCGAGCCACTGTCGAGGGATTGGTGGACTACCTGAACAACCCCACCACCTACGATGGACTTAAGGACTTGCTGACGCGGTGTCATTTCAGTCACACTGTATTGACACTGATCAAAGCGGCAACTTACTGTCCACTGGTTGCATAAAACATAATAAAACATGTTGCAACCAAGTGTTTCTTTTCAAGAGCTCGCAACATGCTATTTAGATGCATACTTCATCCAACAACAGTTTGTGATTTGGATGCTTGAAACGTATGGAACTGCAAGGCAGAAGGTTGCCCGTCACAGTTCACTGTTTGCACTGTCTTTGCACCTCTTCACTTCTCCCATTGTTGTGGGTTTCTGGACATGCTCCGGCATCATTCTGGGAATGATCTGTAGGACATCTCTGAGGTCCACCCATCCATCAAGGGTGGCGACATTTGGCCAAAGATGATCTCAATGAAGCAGCAGGAGAGTTATGGCAACATCGGTGCATGTTGTTTGAACAATTCCACACGCTACAGCTTGACTTGTGAACTGATTCCAGATATTCTTCACATTCCCATTATTCCCTGTCGGACCATTCAGCGTCAATTATCTTCAAAAGAGATTAAAAGAGTGAATGCTATTTGGATGATATGTTGGTACAGTTTCCAGCTGTGCCCTTTTTGCCCTTTCCCTGTGACACTTTGTGGCCCTTTGTGACAAGCCGCATGACTTGCAAGTGATTGCAGGACTTGTATGACATGTCCGCGTACATCCTGTACCAGAATCAGACCATCCCAGAGAAGTGGGGCGGAGGAAAGGTGTACTACTAGGCCGATGCCTGACCCGACGCCTTCTTTGCCTGTTTCATCAGGGTCATGATGCACATAGTATTATCGCATTTCAGGGCTAATTCGTCCTGATGCTTCGCACGGCTGATGCGCAATGTCAACAGCCGACTGGTTTTTCCCCAGCATGCAAGGGGGCCCAAAAAAGTGTGAAAGATCCTGCATCGGAGCAGTGGCAAAAAGATCGAGAAGGCTGCCATGTGAATGCATCTGATGAATTTTGCAGGGTTCGCCCATTGGACTTTGGTGTGGAAGGGCCATTGGACTTTGGTGTGGAAGAGTAGCAGCATGGAATCGGATTCGCAAGTTTAGTAGTTGTCTAGTACGAATCCTGACCCTGGCTGGCTTTCTAAACAACACTGACCTTGCCAAACTCATGACATTCTAGGATATTCTAGGATTGAATTCTGGGATATTCCTGGCATTCCCTTTCCGATAGCTCAGAGCCAAGGAAATCCAAGAATGAAACAACAAAAAGAAAGAAACTTATAGCTGGTAGAGAAAGGGCAAAGGTGCAAAATGGATCAAAATGGAAGTATGTGGCAGCAGACACAGAAGCCGGAAGGATAGCCCTTTTTCAGAATTACTGTATGCATACATTTGTTGAGCCGTCGGCTATCGGTACTTGTGATTGGTTTTGTCGTTTGGGCTTGGTTGCCGCAGCCAAGGATATATGGAACCGCCCACATGGCAGGATCTGTGACGGATGGGGATTGAGCACTTGTTGGCATGGTTTCTTCGAGGGTCGTTGGTTTTCCCTGTTTTTCCATCCTCCCAGGAGTCCTTGGTCTTGTTTGACCGTGCGGGAGGGCTGCCACATATTGCACTGCAGCTGCCTGTGCCACCGAAAGAAACCTTACCCAAGGAGGCTGGAGATTGATTTTGACTCCTTCGCCGGATATTGGCTGATGATCCATACTTAGAAGTTTATTGATGTAATAGGATTGGTCCAGTGCAAACAGGTCTACGATGAAGCACTTCGTAGGCTGATTCACTATCCTTCGGCATTGGTAGCTGCAACTTGGTCAGTTCGAGTTCATAATGACAATACTTGTGCAAGGAAATGCCAAGGGCCAAAGTCTGTGGCATGTTTGGAAATCTGCAAATAGTATCTTTCCTGGATTTGATGATTGTTGGATATTGTTGGAAGCATGTTGGAAACTGAGGTGTTGTCCTACTGGCCCCTGACGATTTTCTCAGTGAATTCCTTACAGGACTGGACCTTGCTCTGCCATGCTATCCCGTTGACCACCGGCCTGCACCCTCCCAGGAGCTCCTACGAAAAGAGTTGCCAAGCGCAACCCCAGGTGAAAATCCCAGCCAGGACAGCATTCCACAGCTGCATTTGAAATGAGCCAGTGACTGCTAGTGTCATACTGGAAGCTACACATATCATCACATATCCATGGTGTGAAAGAAGTCAATATGGCACTGGTATCAGAATAAGATTACACGTACTGCACACGGTTATCATGATGGTTAGTGTTGCTGCTATCATCAGTTATCATTATCATTGTCACCGCGTTTACTTTGATTCTTGATTGTTGGATTTTATTTTTTGTGTGCGTGTGTATGTCTACTTTCATCTATTTTCTTAGATGAACCAATATGATCAAGTAACATCAGACTTACTGGTGCTTAGTAGGGAATTTTTGATGGGAATGCGGGAAATGGGATGATTTTTACATATTTTTACTAGGGATTATGGATCATTCCCTCATTCCCTGGGTTTAGCACCAGTAAGATAAATATGGGTTTGTCTGAAAATAGTGTACCCCTACACCCAAGGGTTAATGATCATTATCCCTACTAAATGGCTATAATTGGGGGTATACCCCATTTTCAGACATACCCATATCAGCCATCATTCAGCCACGAAATGTGCCCGTCCCAGGAGGAGCGCTGTCGCTACGAGGCTTTGGCGCTGATCTCGGAACAGGACGACCCAGAGATGGCCTTGGACCTGTCACCCGGCAGCCGCCACGAATGGATAGGAAATCCATGCATCAACTACTCGATGACTAACACTCATAATGTACTGTGCACACACACATATATATAATATATTAGATGATATCATGTATACATATTTATATGTATATATATATACATGATATATATATATATATACTTGCGTGTGTGTTCTAATTTGATTAATGCTATTTGATGAGTACAGATAGAAGCGATAAGATCTGACTTAAATGAATATATGAGCATACATGGAAGGATGGATGGATCCCAAAAATGAATATGACGATCACCTGACGAATTTTGGTGCAAATTGCAGCCAATCTATCCTTCTTTAAATGGCTCCAAAGCACAAAGAAGATGAACATGGATAAACGTGATTGCAACCACCATTCGTTTGGACTGTCACTTGTACGAAGTCATTTCAGGTTGTTGGCCTTGGGCAGCTCAGAGGCGGGAAAAGTTCTGGCAGCTGTTGATCCCAAAATGCGGAAATGGATTGTGAGACCTAAATTGGTGCCCCAAGTTTCAACATGTTTCAACTGACCATTGCTAGACAGACAGGCCTTCAAGTTGCTTCGGCGTCAAGCTGTGGGCGAAAAGTTCTTCATGGCGAGGTTGAAGAGATTCTTCCAGGCAGCGTTCACAAAATTTGGGTGCCGAAAGCTGATTTACAGCAACCCGCACACAAGCATGCCCATTGTGTTTCACATCTTTCACAGAAATTAGAGGTTTGGTATGGATTTGCATGGTATGTTCAAGCAATGCAGCCAACATCAGCCAACGCATTGCCAAGAGCAGTTTGGAGCGGCTGAGACTCTGGGGCTGTCAGGTGGATCATCAGCAGAGCTGCGAATTGGCCGTGGCCTTTCGCAGTGCGGTGCCGGTGGACGACGTTTGTGCCGCCCTGGAAGGTGAGACGAGATGGAAACACGAGCCCCGTGGCTATGGAAGAAACAGTGGGTTAGGTCGGCCCATGGTGCATGCCTGTTCATGTTAGTTCGTGTCCTGCACAGCGCAGTATGGAGTCCTACTTGGTCCTATTTGACGTTTGACCTTCAGGTGGTCCTACAGTGAATGCAGGGCCAGCAAGCTGAGGTATTTGAAGCTGCTCTTTGCACAGGATGAGATTGCTGGACAAGGCTGACGGAGTTGGAATTGTAGCCATGTACTATGACCTCAGATTGAACCGATTCTTGTGGTTGTTTCTTGCTTACGGGATTACAGGCACACTTTTTAACAGCCGTCCATGTTGGGGCACTTGTAGATGAATGTCATGTACTTCTGCCATCCTGTACCCTTCTTCCCCTGCAAGGATACCACATGCAGATGGTGGAACTCTTTGCTGAATACGATCCCATGGGTTTATTGCCGTTTCTTCGCGCCAGCGAACGGTATCCTTTGGAAGAGGTGAGGGGATTGAGGGGGTTCAAGGTGTTAGTCTGTTAGACAAGGATGCATCCCGATGAAACAAGATGAAACCCGATGAAACCAAGACCCAAAGACCAGTGCCCACAGAACACGTTGACGCCCAGCATTCCGTGCAGGCACTGGCCGTGTGCCAGCGGAAAGGTTTGCGTCCGAAACTGAGATCTGTTTTGTTATCTTTATGGCCTCCGTGGTTGTGAGCCAAAAATTGTGGTATGGTCAATTTGACAGCATTATTCTTCTGCGATTTCGCAATTGGGGATGTCTCAGGTGAGGAAGTTGCCTACTTGCTTGGCCGTGCTGGCCGAGTGTCAGATGCTTTACGGACTGGGAAAGAAGCCGCCATGCCAGGGACACCGATGATCCATGGCAGAATCCTGAATGATATGGTGTCGTGCTAGCAGAAAATCAAAAATCATTGGCATTTCCATGCACGGTAACCCCATGCAGGATTATGCATGCTGCAAGCCATTCTTCATCTAGTCAGGTCCAGTCAGATCATCTATGTCATCTATGTCGATCTATGTTCTTGATGTTCTTGGCAGGATTTTACTCGAAGAAGTGGGGGACGTTGGCAGGGCTGTGGAGTTTGCGTCCGAGACGCAGGAGAACCATAGTAATCATAGATCACGGGTCGCATCAGAAGTGAACGTGGACAGGGTAAGAAGTTGGGAATGGTCTTTTGTGCCTTTGGAAGTGGTATGAAGTGGTTAAAGCAATTGGCAATGCGTTTGCCTCAGGGTGATTTTACAAAGACGCCGCATGCAGCAGGATTGCAACATCCAATCTCCAGAGAGTAGTAGCATTAAAGCAAAAATGAGGCAGAGAACTCTGGCCAGGTTCCAGTGATAGTAGTGATTATTAAAATCAATTATAGTGATATTCACTATTAATCATTATATTATTAATCAATTAATCAATTATATCAAGTGATTATATAGTGATATTCTGTGATATTCTTGAAGAGTTTCATGAAGATATCTTCAGGATCCGCAGCTCTGGGAGACTTTGGTGGGCTTCGTGTTGCAACATTCGCATCTTCTGGTGCCGCTTCTGGACGGGCCACAACGGCCACTGCTGGTCTTGAGTTTTGCAACAAACTACATGTCCCACATACCGTATGTTTGGATAACCCACAGTAAAGTGAGATACGTATATGACATGATTTTATTTGATTCAGGAAAAATGGGCAATACAATTCCAGACAATACATGTGTTACTATTGTTATATTATACATATATCATAATTCATATATCATACATATATCATACATATATCATACAATATCATACAATATCCTAGATATATCATACATATATCATACAATATCATACAATATCATACAATATCATACATATATATATCTCATATATAATTCATATATTATACATTATTAATATAACATGATATGTCATGTCGATCCATGGCACATGGCGGCAGGATCACCTGGATGCCTTGGAGTCCAAGCGCCTGCGGGCCATTGGGAGCGAATCGCAGCAGCCGCCAGGGATCCAAATTGATCTTGGAATGTTAGTTGGTTCGCAGATGTTGATCTGGCTATATACTGTATATATATATATATGCACATATATGCACATATATTCTTACCATTATTAGTATGACTATTATTATGACTATTATTATTATGACTATTGTTATTTTTTTTTGTGATTATTGTGTTTATTGTAATGATCAATGATGATATTATAATCATAGCTTGATGTCGATGGCATCGAGGCAGCCACCTCCCATGGCCACGCCGGCGCACGTCCTGCGGCTCCTGCCCAGCGAGACGCCATTGCCTCGCATTGCCACTTCAGTACCTCGCAGCCGCGAAACCTGGGGGAAATCTCAGGAAATGTCAGGAAACATGGGACAGGAAATGTTATTTGATGTTATTTGGGATACTTGTACTTTGAGGGATTTCATGGTATTTCGGAAGAACGAATCATGGCAGGTCGAATATGTCAGTGCTAATTTGCATTAATTTGCTAGTCATTTATTCCCGACATGTTGCCAGGTGCAGCGCGTTCTGGACTCGTTGCGTCTTTCTGCAGATCTTCATGCACCTCGGCAGGATGAGAATCAACATCAATCCAAAGGGATCCAATTTTTGGTCCTTGTGGAGAAGGGAAAAATGGAAAAATTGCTAAGTTTGAATGGAATATATGTATCCTATCTATGTGAATTTTGTGTCTATCTAGATATGTATATCTCTATATATATATACACATATGTATATATATATACACCTCTATAATAGCGTCAGATGAATCAGGGGCATCACAGTGTTCCAAGGAGGCTTGCTCGAAGATCTCGGCTTCCGAGATGGTGAGCCAGAAGAAGGCCACGGCCGCCAGAGCATGGTGGCATCAGGGATGCTTATGGTTTCAGCCGTTCAACGGTTGTTTTGACATGTTTTACCCTCTGGTAAACTAAGATGGAAAATCACAATTTTTCTTAGGTAAATCGGTAAATCATCCATAAATGGGTCATTTTCAATAGCTATGTTAAATTAGCAGAGGGTAAAGTTTGTTTCAACATGTTTCAATATGTTTCAATGGACCTCGGGGTGGTTCCAGACCGATGGTTGGATGGCAACTGATGCTGTCACCAGCTTCTAACATCTTCCAACATGTCCCAAATAGGTCATGACATGTCATGACCATTGGGGCCATGGGGGGCCATTGGGCAGGCATGCATTGCAAAATGCAATCGTGGTACTGCTACTTTGGCACTTCACTGTAGCCTTTGTGGCGGAGCTGTGTCGTCTTCTGGTGCCTTGGTGAAACATGGCGAAACTGTCACAGGTGGATTGATATTGAGTCACAATGGGAACCCCCGTTGCTTAACAAGATCCCTTATTCATTTTATTTTCAAAAAGGTCGGCGCTGATTTTTGGGATTGGTGCAACTGAGGAATTGTGATTGTGGGGCGGGCAGTCCTGCACCAGCAATGCCACTCACCGTGTTAGATTCGACTGATTCGATTCAAAAAAAGGCCCTGCTGCCGTGCTGCCGCGCTGCCCGGGTTGTCCAGGATGTATTTTGCTTTCGTTCATGGATTCATGAGCCAATGGGCCAACGAGAATGTCGGCAAATCATTCAGGCCATGGAGACGAATCCAAGTTGTTCACATTGCGAACAGCTGTGCTTTACGTTCAGTCTACACTGTGTCTACACTTCAATCTCTCACCATCACTGGACCATCAGTCACCATCTCTCACCCACATTCGCAGGAACGTCACGGTAGGTCACTGTGCCGTAACTCGTAGGACTCGTAGGACTCGTAGGACTCGTAGCCGAGGCCGATGAAGTTCGTTTGGCCTTGGACTGGCAAGGCTTTGTGGTGGATAGTGTTGCCAACGACTTATTGAACAATCGGATTTCATGGGCTGCACAGTGGCAGTTCTTGTTTCATGAGCATGATGTCAGATATGTCAAGATATGTCAAGCAAACGAAGATAACCTGCCCAATTTTGGCTGAATTCTACCAAGGAGGTGGAGTCGTTGGTCCATGAAGTTGGCCAAAGGAAAGGCCTCAACCAGCCAGGAATCCCAGAATCCCAGGTTTCAAACAGCACAGTGCGCAATATGAAACTCTACAAAGATTATAAAGACTGGGATGGCATTGTGACAGAATATGACAGAACAAGAAAATCGTGAACTGACGAGAAACTGGAAGAGATTTTGTTCACCTTTGAGTGAAGCCATCCGGCTGAGGCATGAGTTCTTGACCTTCATGCGGAAGTATCGTGACTTCGAGGTGGACGAACCGGACGAACCTTGCAGCGTGCCACCTGCGTTGCCACAGCCGAGGTGCAGAAATTCATGCAGCTCAATGACAAGCTGAGCAGCGGTGAAAACGCGGTGACTTTAGCGGATCTTCCCAGATTGTACCGCACCCCAGATGTGGGCTGGGCTGCTGCTCCTTGCAAAGATTTTGCGCATATCATTTCATATAAACATAATGTCTTAATATATCTACTTGTTTGTTTGATTGATTGATTGTTTGTTTGTGTGTTTGTCTATCTATTTGTCTATCCATCTATCAATCTATTTATCTATCTACTCTCGATCTATCGGTCTATCGATCTATCTATCTGTCTGTCTATCTATCTACATACAGTATTGTACATTATTGTACAAGTATGCATGTATATATATATATATACACGTAAATATACGTGTGTGCGTGTATGTATAGATACACATATAATTTGCACGTATGCATTTGCATATATGTATATGTGTGCGTACATGTGCGTACTTAGGCATATTGTACACAGTTTAATTGTCTATATAGACACATATAAACACACGGATATGTATATATAGATATATATATATATATATTATATATATGTGTGTGTATGTGTTACATAGTATGATATACATGCACATACGCATTTACATATGCAGGGCCTTTGGAACGATATATGTTTGTCATTTTTCGAAATCACTTTTTGTATTTCATTGTTGTATAATTTTTTCGTGGGGTTGATATTGGGCAATATCCCCATGAAAATCCATCAGCCATCGCCATTTTTGTGGCCGTAGATTCGCGCATTTTTTCCCCAATAGAATTGGAAACTACACTGGAAACAGCAGGAAATAACAAAATAAAACAGGTAAATAACCACAATAACACCATGAAGAACCGGGGAAGTATCACCAGTTCAACTTGGGACATACGGCAAAGGCCCGCCAGCTCCGATACGCCTCCAGCAACGCGGGAACGCGCCCTTGGTTCGCTGTGCCCGGCGCCGCCCAGAAATGGTATTTTGGTGTGTCCACTCCTATCTTTATTTTTTATTTTAGGGCTTGACAGTAGACCGACCCTTTGGTTCTAAATTTAACAAATTGTTCCCCACATTGACGTGTGGGGTTTTTGTTTTTAGTTCTGTATCCGCTCCTCCTCCTCCTCGTCCTCCTTCCTTCCTTCCCGTCCTCCCTCCCTCCCTCCATCACTCACTCACTCACTCACTCACTCACACTCACTCACTCACACTCACACTCACTCACTCTCACTCACTCACTCACTCACTCACTCACACACACGCACTCACTCACTCTCACTCACTCACTCACTCACTCACACACACACACGCACTCACTCTCACTCACTCACTCACTCACTCACACACACACACACACGCACTCACTCTCACTCACTCACTCACTCACTCACTCACTCACTCACTCACTCACTCACTCACTCACTCACTCACTCACTCACACACACTTTTGCGTGGCAGGCGTGGGACAATGTGCACTGCCAAGGGGTCGGATGTACGCCCTGGCGTCCCTCGGGCTCCGCCTCTTTTGCGTGGCAGGCGTGGGACAATGTGCACTGCCAAGGGTCGGATGTACGCCCTGGCGTCCCTCGGGCTCCGCGTCTTTTGCGTGGCAGGCGTGGGACAATGTGCCCTGCCAAGGGGTCGGATGTACGCCCTGGCGTCCCTCGGGCTCCGCGTCTTTTGCGTGGCAGGCGTGGGACAATGTGCACTGCCAAGGGGTCGGATGTACGCCCTGGCGTCCCTCTGGCTCCGCCTCTTTTGCGTGGCAGGCGTGGGACAATGTGCACTGCCAAGGGGTCGGATGTACGCCCTGGCGTCCCTCGGGCTCCGCCTCTTTTGCGGGGCAGGCGGGGGACAATGTGCACTGCCAAGGGGTCGGATGTACGCCCTGGCGTCCCTCGGGCTCCGCGTCTTTTGCGTGGCAGGCGTGGGACAATGTGCACTGCCAAGGGGTCGGATGTACGCCCTGGCGTCCCTCGGGCTCCGCGTCTTTTGCGGGGCAGGCGTGGGACAATGTGCACTGCCAAGGGGTCGGATGTACGCCCTGGCGTCCCTCGGGCTCCGCCTCTTTTGCGTGGCAGGCGTGGGACTAATTGTGACCGGCCAAAGGGGTCGGATGTACGCCTGGCGTCATTGGTTCTTCCGCATATTTTGCGTGGCAGGCGTGGGACAATGTGCACTGCCAAGGGGTCGGATGTACGCCCTGGCGTCCCTCGGGCTCCGCCTCTTTTGCGGGGCAGGCGGGGGACAATGTGCACTGCCAAGGGGTCGGATGTACGCCCTGGCGTCCCTCGGGCTCCGCCTCTTTTGCGCGGCAGGCGTGGGACAATGTGCACTGCCAAGGGGTCGGGTGTACGCCCTGGCGTCCCTCGGGCTCCGCCTCTTTTGCGTGGCAGGCGTGGGACAATGTGCATTGCCACGGGGTTGGATGTACGCCCTGGCGTCCCTCGGGCTCCGCCTCTTTTGCGTGGCAGGCGTGGGACAATGTGCACTGCCAAGGGGGCGGGGTTGGATGTACGCCCTGGCGTCCCTCGGGCTCCGCCTCTTTTGCGTGGCAGGCGTGGGACAATGTGCACTGCCAAGGGGTAGGATGTACGCCCTGGCGTCCCTCGGGCTCCGCGTCTTTTGCGTGGCAGGCGTGGGACAATGTGCACTGCCAAGGGGTCGGATGTACGCCCTGGCGTCCCTGGGGCTCCGCCTCTTTTGCGTGGCAGGCGTGGGACAATGTGCACTGCCAAGGGGTCGGATGTACGCCCTGGCGTCCCTCCGGTGTCCCTTGGTCTCCGCCGCTTTTGCGTGGCAGGCGTGGGACAATGTGCACTGCCAAGGGGTCGGATGTACGCCCTGGCCTCCGGTGTCCCTCCGGTGTCCCTTGGTCTCCGCCGCTTTTGCGTGGCAGGCGTGGGACAATGTGCACTGCCAAGGGGTCGGATGTACGCCCTGGCGTCCCTCCGGTGTCCCTTGGTCTCCGCCGCTTTTGCGTGGCAGGCGTGAGACAATGTGCACTGCCAAGGGGTCGGATGTACGCCCTGGCGTCCCTCCGGTGTCCCTCCGGTGTCCCTTGGTCTCCGCCTCTTTTGCGTGGCAGGCGTGGGACAAAGTGCACTGCCAAAGGGGTCGGATGTACGCCCTGGCGTCCCTGGTATCCGCCTCTTTGCGTTGGAGAAGGCGTGGGACAAATGTGCATGCAGGGGTGGACTGTACGCCCTGACGTCCATTGGTCTTCGCTCTTTTGCGTGCAGGCGTTGAGAGGGGACACTGTGGCCTGCCAAGGTGTCGGACTCATCACTCACTCACTCACTCACTCACCTCCTCACTCATCTCATCTCATCTCATCTCATCTCATCTCATCTCCCTCACTCACTCACTCCCTCACTCACTCACTCACTCCACTCACTCACTCACTCACTCACTCGCTCCCTCGCTCCCTCGCTCCCTCGCTCCCTCGCTCCCTCGCTCCCTCGCTCCCTCGCTCACCCACTCACTCACTTCACTTCACTTCACTTCACTTCACTTCACTCACTTCACTCACTCTCACATCCCTCACTCACACACACCACACTCGCATCACTCACTCACACTCTCACTCACTCACTGTACATGAACATACATACATACACACAAACTCGCCCACCATCACCGCTCCATCACTCTTATACTTCCTCTTCCCTTCTTGCTCTTCTATGGTCAGTCTAAGTCTAAAGAAGTTGGTAACATGTGGGGTTATCCGGTCCTTTAATTTTGCCGATGTCTTCCATACCTAAGGAGGACAGGATTCTCCGCATGACGCCCAGCTGCCATGTCCAGTTATGGCCCCCGGTAGGTATTACCAGCAAGTCTTGACGCAAATGCGTGTCAATGATGCAAAATGGCACCAAGAACCAACAAGAACCAACAAGAACCAACAAACATCAACAAGCATCAACAAGCATCAACAAGCACCAACAAGCACCAAAGCAAAAGCATCAACAGAAATGCAAACACACACTCGTGGACAGCTCAAAGACCCGAAACCAAAACCAACCTTTAGAACCCCCTCGCAAGAGAGAACAAGGACAACCAGCAGAAACAACCCTCCCCAATCGGCATATGTTCTTGACGCCAAGGACGCGGGAAAAGCCCCTGCCTGGGTTACCCAAAAACCCCGGTCCAAGGAAGTGTCAAGAACGCCGCCC